GTGCAAAATGTGTCTGTGTGTGTGTGCTTTTGTTGGAATTTGCAGGTGGTTGCAGGAGCAGTTTTGAACCCATTTTTGGGGTCCCAATTTTGGGCCCATTTTGGGGTCATAATTTGGGACCCAAGCATGTAAAACAATGAAAAGACCTCCTCTCTTTCTGCCAACAAGTAGGTCCAATTTTGGAAGCTTTTTTGGGCCCTGTTTTCGGGCCCCCAATTTTAGGGAATGGCTGCTCCATTTTTGTCCACAGACAGCACGCCTGCAACGACAGCTGTCGTGTTGAGCTGAAGTAGAATCTCTTGTGGAGGTGGTCTGTGTGTTCGCAGCCCGTGAATTGTTGTCCTTGTTGCTGCTGGTTGCGGCTGCAACTGTGGGGCGCTAAAGGGGTGTTGTTAATTTTGCGGGCCAAATGGACCCCCTAAACTGGGACCCCCAGGCCCCCTTTCCTGGCACGACCTCGATGCTCAGATTCGGTTGCTGAAAAGCAAAAAGAGGTGCGTTCCAGTGGCTTTCAAACATCTTTGAAGATTATGAAAAAAGCAGCTTGAAACAATGGCCAAGGAATCCGCCAAATCTTCCAACGCTCCATTGTTTAGAAGTGCTTTGAACAATGGTCAGGAAGCGCGTCTTGAAAAGCTCCTCTTGACCTCCCAATCCGCGATTTTAAATTGCTTGAAACAAGCGTTTTTGAAAGCCTCTAACAGTGCCGTTTGGACAGAAATCAACTGCAGGACGAGACGAGTTCAACTGTACTGCTGAGACGTCCATGTTGCGCGCGACGCCCAAACCGAACCGTTTTGCAAAGGCAAAGTGTCTTTCCACAATGTGAATAAGTGCGAGCGAAGCGAGCAAAACACCGGAGTACATCTGACATGTATTTTGTTGTCAGAGCTTGTTTTTGATGGTTTTACATTTTAATCGTCTTACTTTTTGTTGATTGCCAGGTTTTGCTTGTGCTGTTTTTTTCGACTCACTTTTTTTGATAAATAATTCAAGGCGCGCGTCTGGCCCCCCAAAGTGGGTTTTAAAATTGAGATCTGCAAAATCTTTTGCCGGACCAGCTTTGCAATTCTTGTTCTTCATTCTTCTGTCCTGCAAATGTGTGTCTGTGTGTGTGTGTGTGTGTGTGCTTTTGTTGGAATTTGCAGGTGGTTGCAGGAGCAGTTTTGCACCCATTTTTGGGGTCCCAATTTTGGGCCCATTTTGGGGTCATAATTTGGGACCCAAGCATGTAAAACAATGAAAAGACCTCCTCTCTTTCTGCCAACAAGTAGGTCCAATTTTGGAAGCTTTTTTGGGCCCTGTTTTCGGGCCCCCAATTTTAGGGAATGGCTGCTCCATTTTTGTCCACAGACAGCACGCCTGCAACGACAGCTGTCGTGTTGAGCTGAAGTAGAATCTCTTGTGGAGGTGGTCTGTGTGTTCGCAGCCCGTGAATTGTTGTCCTTGTTGCTGCTGGTTGCGGCTGCAACTGTGGGGCGCTGGAGGGGTGTTGTTAATTTTGCGGGCCAAATGGACCCCCTAAACTGGGACCCCCAGGCCCCCTTTCCTGGCACGACCTCGATGCTCAGATTCGGTTGCTGAAAAGCAAAAAGAGGTGCGTTCCAGTGGCTTTCAAACATCTTTGAAGATGATGAAAAAAGCAGCTTGAAACAATGGCCAAGGAATCCGCCAAATCTTCCAACGCTCCATTGTTTAGAAGTGCTTTGAACAATGGTCAGGAAGCGCGTCTTGAAAAGCTCCTCTTGACCTCCCAATCCGCGATTTTAAATTGCTTGAAACAAGCGTTTTTGAAAGCCTCTAACAGTGCCGTTTGGACAGAAATCAACTGCAGGACGAGACGAGTTCAACTGTACTGCTGAGACGTCCATGTTGCGCGCGACGCCCAAACCGAACCGTTTTGCAAAGGCAAAGTGTCTTTCCACAATGTGAATAAGTGCGAGCGAAGCGAGCAAAACACCGGAGTACATCTGACATGTAATTTGTTGTCAGAGCTTGTTTTTGATGGTTTTACATTTTAATCGTCTTACTTTTTGTTGATTGCCAGGTTTTGCTTGTGCTGTTTTTTTCGACTCACTTTTTTTGATAAATAATTTCAAGGTTCCTTTTTTTCAGACCAACTGTTGCAACTTTCTGGCAAGCTCAAAAAACATCTGCAGAAATTTCTTGGGATCTCTCTCCAAATCCGAGACACTCCATGTGGTTCAAAGTCTATCAAAGTGGTCTTAAGACACCCGTTTTTGGTTTTTTTGTTTTTTCTGCCCAAGTAGTGTTGAGACACCTTTGGCTCGATCTGGACAAGACATCCTTTGGTTGAGACGCCTCTTGGTTCAATTAAAGTGGTCCTTAAGACTCTTTTGGTTCAAAATTTTTTTGGAGTCCCTAAGTCTCTAGAGTCGCTGGATGGGTTCTGTTGGTTCTGTTGGTTCTGTGTCTTTTTTCGGTGGTCTTGGTGCTGATTTTTCTTCTTACTCTAAGTCTTGCCTTGTCCTATTCAGACTGCTGATGGAGTGAAGAGGCTGCCTTAAGTCTGTTGATTGTTGGTTGTTTTTTTTTTTGCTTTTTCTCTCTGTTCTCTCTCTGCATTTGTTGTCTGTTTCATGTTTGTGTCCATGTCCTTAGATGTTGCTGGTGGGATCTGTTCCAACAGATTCCGAAGTTGTTGTGCTTGGATTCAGTCCTTTGTCCTTTTCCCTTGTTGTAAGTTGTGGTGGTCCCTCAGCTTCTGGTCGATTGGGTCCCCTGGTTTGTTTCTTGTCATTTAAGTTGAATCGGTCTTGGTCCTCAGTCGGCCTTGGGTCCATTATTGGTTTTTTTGGCATTTTGGCCTTTCTTTAGTTCAACTCGGTTGGTGATTTGGCATGTTTCTTTGTGGGTCCGTCGGTTCTTGCCGTTGTCCTGTATCGTGTGTCTCTGTGTTGTGTGTGTTGGTTCTCTCAATGCAGTCTCCAAAAGCACGAAATGGCGCAAGTTTGGGGACCAGAATTGGGGGTGCCTGCAACCATGAATTTCTGGCAACGCACGTCTGGCCCCCCAAAGAACCTCGAGCAAGTTGCAGGAAGCCTGTTTGCCGAGTGGGTTGCACACCTGTCTTCATTGCTCCGCGCCTGTCACAGAAACTCCACCTTGCTTCAGGTCGCAGGTCAGTAAGCCGGGGTTCGGAGAGCCCATAGGTTTCAGAGTTGCTATTTATTGTGCTGCCACCAGGAAAAGCCGCAGAAAGGGTGAGAGTCTGTAGCTAAAGGTCTGGCTTTGGCATTCTGTGCAATGTGCATTTGTGCGCATTTGTCCTTTTCTTCAGTGCGCTTGCAACTTTCTTGTCAACTCGAAGCGCTACGCTGCGGCCCTGGCGCTTGTGTGGGAACTGTCTCCACGGATGCGTTGAGAGTTCAGGTGACATGCTGGCCTTGTGTTAAGTTGTCTTGCAATAACGGCCTCTGCGCTCGCGGTTGCTTCTTTATAGTCACGACTTCTTTTACACTCGGGCTTGTAGAGTTTGGCTCTCAAAAAAGTAGATGTCCTTTCGTTGCCAAGATGCCCACTGCTCCCGCTGATGTGGTAAAGGCGTCCGCTTAAAAAAAAGTTTTTTGCACAAAAGCTTGTAGCGCACGAAATCTTTTGCGTAAACCAAGAAGCTGTCATCTTAACATCCCAACCGAAACATAAGAGGAAATAATAAAGGACTCCGTGTGTTTTTTTGGTCGAGAAAAAGGTCATTGAGATTTAGAGAGTTTGGCTCGGAGGCAATTTTTAGGTCAGAGAATTCAGTTAGTAGGGACTATCATTTCAAGAAATTGTGGATGTCGCTTTCTGTCATGCACCTCGTCTTCTGTTCGTGTCAACAATCTTTTCGATTTCATGCTCTCGGATTTCAACTCTTCCAAAATGGATTTCTTAGTGGAACTGATTTCCTAAAACACTCTTTATAGTGTCTAAATGCGTTTCTGTTTTTGAGCTCGTGTTTTTTTGGTTTCTATTCATGATTTTATTGTTCAAAAAAGTGAAGATCAGGTGGAAGAATCCGCTGCGAAAAAGCTTTCCCGTAGGGATTACGAAATCTTCTTCACAAACCAAGTTGTCTCACGTGCGTTTCTTGCTAGCTGCTTTCGCTATGAGCTTAAACGTGGGCATGTCGGCGTGAACAACATGCGAAAGCCATGGAGGAAAGGGTGGAGATGGTTGTTTGACGTCTTTTGGATGATCATGTTTTTTTGATGATCATGGTTGGGGACATGGTTGGGAAGATTGATGTTTCGATGATGATTTTCTTTGGGGAGCACGATCAGTTTTGTTGTTTGATGATGTTTTCCGGTTTGATAGCATTGCGTTCCGGAGGAATGGTTAGAAGGATGAGTTGAAGGATGACGAGCTCGAGATTCATTGGGTGAATCAGTAATTTTGCTGGATGTACAGTCTTTGGTTGGTCCTTGGAAAAGCTGGTCGGTGGGCTCAACTCAAATTGACGTTTCCATGGTGCATCATGTTCGTTGCAGCAGTCCAGAGCTTATCAAAGACCTATCAAGCACTTGACAAGTTCTGCTGTATTTGGAGCATGTCAGCAAGATAGCGATGGCATGATGCGTGCGAATGGTGGGTTGATGCGCGATCGGCTGCAAGCAATACAATCTGGCTTCCAAGCAGAATTTTCCAAGGACACACGGGCCGAATATTCGATGCTGTGCCATCGTGTTACCATTCTCGGCTTTGGTCACACTTTGCCAGGAGCACAATGAAACCATGCAGGACAACTTTGCCACGTTCTTGTCGACGTTGCCCAGCAAGGCAAGGATGTGTTGGGATGGAGCCTGCCGTCACTTGAAAGATCTGCAAAGCAAATTGAGCTTTTGAGGCTGTAAGGATGCATACGTTCATGCCCGGACTTTAGATGTTTGGGATGCGTTTTTTTGGCCAGCGCACAATCCAAAGCATCCAGAAACCCTCGACATGGTCTTATGCATTCTCAAACGCAGAAGTCTCGAGCGCTCAATGAGTTAGGTTGCATGTCGTTGGCGTCGGTTGCTCTTTGGGTGGCGCTTTGTTCCTGCAAGGAGTGGATACCTTTCGCGGACGAGGCCGGTTGAGCCTGCGAAAGGCATAAAGGGTATTGATTAGAGGCATTTAAGTGTTTAGGGCAATTTGGGGCGCACCAGGGCGCACAGACCGCAACATCCATAGCTAGATCTCATGCCAGAGCCTTCAATCTCGCAACGTGTCCAAGCGTGTCCAAGGGTTGTCGGTGCTTGATGTACAGGCTCCTGCACCATGGCAGGGTGTATTTGGGGCGCCCAGCAACGACGTGCTGTTCTACTTGTGGCCTGGCAGAGGCATCAGTTGCTTTGGCTTAAGCACCCTCGGCCGCTTTTGGTTCAGTTGGCCTTCTCTGTCACTCGTTGGAAGAATCAAGAAGCACGGACACATTGTGACACAGCTCCTGAAGGAAGCCATGCCAAATGCCGGTTTGCGGTTCGCTGGATTGGAAAGCTGACCCCATCAACGAGAAGGACTTGGCTTGCCTCAAGAAGGACCCCGCCTCCTGTTCAGTACTGAGGCCCTTATTCAACCTTCGAAGAGCCCGCCCGCATAAGTTGCTGTCATGATCAACATCATTGCATTTAAGGGATCCTCAGGGTTTCTACGCATCATTCTCCATTTCTTCATGTGGGCCTTCTGATTCTGGGCTTCTCACAGCGTCATGCTGACAAGCTGCGTTTGCACGGGAGTCACAGAAGTGACCATACAGCACGTTCACCAAAGTCATGGAGTTTGGCTCATGTGTGTAGGAAGCACAAAGCAAAGGGTTAAGAGGCACTACTTTGTGGATGCCAAGTGTTGTTTTGTAAATGAGTCCCATTGGCGAGTGGCAAATGACAGAAATCACACGAACAAAGGCTCCAGACAAGGAAGGGTCTAACCGAACGTGGAAGCAGTTTTCATGACTTGGTTGCAAGTTTGGTTTAAAGAACAACTGCTTCTTCGGCTTTTAGATTTTGCCGAATGTCTCAAGCCTCTCCCAGACAAAGGTGCCAAGGGCGGCATCCATTGGAGTCAGCATGCAGGGCACTGCGGTTTCGGAGCACAAATTGTGGTTATTGCTGTGGCAACTCATGAGAGTCCAGTGAGAGTCGTAGATTCGTAGAGTGGGAACCGGCAGCCCATGAAAGTCCGCAGTGCTGCTTGTAAGCTCACACAGCACGCCAGGATGCCCAGCATGAAGTTCGGGTCAACAAGCAGCTGTCCACGCTTTGGAATGCCCGCGAGCTTCTTTCCTTCGCAGAGGGCAAGGCTGCGAAGTTTGATGTCGCCAATGTGATCACCAACCTGAACCACAGCCGCAATTTGGCTAGTATTTGCGTTCTTGAGGGACTCGTGACACCCAACAGCCGCACTATGCCGCACTTGTGAGGTCTGAAGGCCGCTTAGGGAAACAAAGCCTTCTTGGCAGATGTGCAGACAACGGGTCCCAATCAAAATGCCGGACCATGCTCTTGTAAGCAGCGGGGCGTAGCTGTCATGATCATGTTAAGGCATCGGGTTGCGAAGGCCACCGATCGATGGCAGGCGGGCGGGAGGGTAGAAACCGAAGTTGAAGCATGAAACCAAGATTGAGAAGCTCCAAACCAAGTCAAACGAGTAACTCCCCTGATCACTCCGAGACCACTTCTCTCGCAGGTGAAGAGGGACCCGCGCCTGCAAGATCTTTTCCGCCGAGGGGCCGCAGCTTCCCCCAAAAGTCCACACTTTTTCTGTTTCTTGTTGGGACTAGAGGCCTTTTGAGGCCTTTTGGCCTCCTCTTGTAAGTTAGTCGCTTGTCGATGCGGGGGATGGGTTTTCGATAAGTTCCTGTGTTCCCATTGTCTTCCTTTCTGTCCCTGTTCTGTGGGCTCCAGAAAGGAAGCCGTGACCCACGAACGAGCATCTGTTCGAGATATTGCCAAGATTCAGTGGGCCATCGGGCGCCTGCACTTCCGGGACGATGTGGTGGAAGAGAGGATGACTGATGCGATACTTTCCCATAAAGGCCAGTTCGAACCGCAAGGCCTCTCCAACATCATTTGGAGTTTCGGCTTCGCACAGCCATCGCAGCCACCGCTTCTAGAGGCACTGCTCGAGGCCTTTTCCAAGAAGACTTTCGAAAGCGACCCGCAGGCCTTGAGCAACGTGGTATGGTCACTTGCCAAGCTTCTGTGCTGCCGGACGCCTTTCTTGCAACTTGTTTCCCTGGCGGCCCTGAAGAAATGCCAGGCGTTCGACCCCCAAGGGCTTGCCAACATTGCCTGGTCGTTTGCCACACTCCAGCATTCGGACATCCCCTTGTTCTCCAAGATCTGCGATACGTTTATGTCTGGCAGTGCTGGCTGGGAGCCCCAGAACGTCGTGAACATGCTGTGGTCTTGCGCCAAGGTTCAAGTCTCTTCAGAGAGCTTCCTAGATGCAGTGGCCGCAGAAGCCATGTCAACGATGGAGGGTTGGAGCTGCCAGGGGGTCGCAAATCTGTTGTGGGGCTTTGCGAAGCTCGCCTCAGTGAAAGCAGAGCTCTTTGACAAGGGGGAAAAGGCAGTGAGGCAGAAGCTGCGAAGGTTCTCCCCGCAAAACTCAGTGAGTGTTGTCTGGGCATTTGCCAAAGCCTCCCTACTCACCTGGGACCTGCTTGATTTGGTGGCCTCCGATGTGGTTCTGAAGGCGGAGCTCAGTCCGCAACACTTTTCCTCACTTATGTGGGCGTGTGGGGCTTCGAGCCTCTATCACGCAAGGCTTCTGACAGAGTTAAGTAGCAAAGCCACGGCATCGGACCCTGCATTGGATTTCAATTGCCAAGACCTCTCGAACCTGGCATGGTCTTGTGCAAAGCTGCTCTGGACGGACAGTCCGCTACTGGGAGTGTTGGCTGCAGGTGTTGAACAGCAGGCCCATGTGTTTCCCTCACAAAACCTGGCCATAACCGTCTGGTCCTTTGGCTGCTTGACTTACTTGCATGCTCCCATGATGGCCGTTATCATGGGGCAAGTGCCCAGCGCGGTCGCGCACTTGGGACCTCAGGGCCTGGCGAACTTGGCACAAGGCTGCGCCAAGCAGGTGTTCAAGCATGATGCCTTAGAGATGCTCGCAGCCGAAGCGGCGGCTTGCCTTTCGAGTTTTAGCAATCAAGAGTTCTCAATGTTCCTCTGGTCCATGGGAAAACTGGCCCTGGGCATAGACTTGATCGAGCGCGCCGCCATGGAAACGAAAGCTAGGTGTCAGCTTCTGAACCCGCAGGACATTTCTGTACTGGCCTGGGCCTTTGCTCATTTCACTGGTGGCCGAGATGTTCTTGACCTTCTCTCCTGGGAGATTATGAAAAACATTGCTGACTTCTCACCTCAAGACCTATCCAACATCTCTTGGGCTTTTGCGGCTGCAAGTCTGGAGAATGCGGTGATGATGAGTGCGGTATCCAAGCAAGCGCTGCAGAAGATGGATAAGTTTCACGCCCAGGACCTGTCAAACATGAGCTGGGCCTTTGCAAAGCTTGGTCTGACGGACGAGACCCTCTTTGATGCCGTGGCCAAGGCAGTGCATGAGCGTGTTTCCACGCTTCTTCCACAGCACCTGTCGCTGGTTTCCTGGTCCTTTGCAAAGCTCGGGTTGCTGAATGAAGCTATGATGGAGGCGATCACCAGAGAAGCTCTTGTGAAGGTCGAGGATCTGGATGGCCAGTCAGTTGCCAACTTGCTCTGGTCTTGTGGTGTGCTGTGCTTCAACGTCTCGTGGCTCTGGCGACCTCTAGTGCACAGAGCTCTCGCGCTGGGACGGCTGAGTGGTCTGGAGATCTCCAACATTGCATGGGGACTTCATGTCCTGCAGCAGATGGACCTCTTGCGGCCCTTTTTGCATCGTACTGCGGAGTGGTTTCTACAGACTGATGCTCCGGGTTCCTCCTGGGCAGACTTTGCCAACATCTGCAAAGATGCCAACAAAGCCGGGATGGAAGAGTCAGGGCTGGAGGCAGTGCATCGAGGCTTCTGTGAAAGTTTCGTAGGGCCCCTCCTGGGGAGTTTACAACGCCTCCGAGCGAGCGGTTCGAGCGGTTCGGAGTCCTGGGAGGCTTTGGATTCTTTGGAGGTGTCGCAGCACCGTCTCAACCTCCGAAGCCTGGGGCCGCAGTACACCCAGGAAGCCCTGAAAGCTCTCGGACTTTCTGACGAGAACGGTGATTCGAGCGGGAGTGAGCGAAGTGGATTCAGTGGGCTGAGTTTCCTACGAGAGGCACGCAGGCAGTGCCGGGATGCCCTTCTGGAGTGGCAGATCCCGAGCGTGCACTCCATCCTGGCCTATGCGAAGTGGAAGGTCGTGCACCCGAGCGGGGCCGAGTGTGTGCTTGCGGGAAGGGTCTTTGCATCCCAGCTGCCGCAGGCGGAGGAGGAGCTGGTGGCTCTGCTGAGACCCTTTGCGACCTGCGAACGATTCGCAGAGAGGGTGGCCCTGCTCACGCTGCTGCAGGCCATGTCCGAGTCAATCGGGCAGCGCCTTGAACAACTTGCTGATTTTGAAGGTCACGTGAAGCTGTACCTCACCCATGTACCGTCGCTTTGCACACTTGGGATGCTTTGCCAACTGTCCTGGCCTCAGGTGCGAGCAATCGAGACACGGGCCGTAAGCCAGGAGCTGTTTGGCTTCAATGTTCATCAGAGTTCGGTTCTGGTTTTTAACTTCTGCCTTCACTCAGGCTGAGCACCTCTCCCAAGATCTCCATCCACTTTGCCTTCGACGATGCGTGGCGGAGCTTTTGTGGCAATCCGCGTGTCGCTGCGACCTGATACCGCTGGAATTCACCGGATCTCAATTGAGAAGCGAGTGCTGCACGCACCTCCACGTAAGACCTCGTGATCCTCCTGGAACTGCTGAATGTTGCTGTGGCCCGGACTATCCTCGACCTTCAAGGCTGTCCAGTGTTTCGCTTGCAGAAAAAAGCAGCACCCTCTCGCTGTCTGAAGCGATGGTGGGGACAAGGTGCACAAGGTGCCCGAGCTGCCAGCGCCGAGCGTGGCCCCACGGCACAGGCTTGGCGCGTAGCATGGTTGGAAGCAACATCTGACTCCTAAGGGGTGCACTATTTTGCTTGAATTTTCATGGTAGGTGTGCATCTGCAAGGACAAAAACCTTCTAAGCACAAAGGCTGTTTCAAAGGTGTTCCAAAAACGTTCCAAGCAGCCATAGCCATAGCCCCAATGAATCATTGTCATGAGCAGGTATTCCTTACACCTGAAGACGCAGCTGCATAGCTACTTTCGTTGACGTATTCTCTGGCACCAAGATATCCCTGAAAAACGCTGGTGATGCGCGACATGGCCCGATTGCTTGTGAATGGGATTGTTGACACCTTGGACACGCGACGAATGAGGAGGACTGTCGTTTTTCGAGGGTGACAATTGCGACGCTTGCACGAGAAGAGTTGCTACTGTTCCGGCGACAGTTTTGAGGATTGTGCAAGGACATGCTGCACACAACACACGGCGCTCCTGCCTGCAACTTCACCTCCCACTTTTTCAGTTTGGTTGAAGCTTTGTCACAGATATCAGCAATACATTCGTTCCTGGATTGCTTTCCGCAATGCTGATGGGAATTAAACCCTTCAGGGATGGGAGGGTCGACGTCTCCACCTGTTGTTCTGACTGGACTGGGCCACACTCAGGATGAGAGCTGTCTGCAGATCTGCATCTTGCTTTCAGCAATGCCTTATGGCAATCCATATTCCATTGCCTGAATTCGACTTCAAATGGAACCAAGCAGATCCCGTCGCAGATCGCGGCGCGCTGTCAACTTGAGAGTTGGCTCGAAAGCTGGCAGAGCTCGCGTAGAAAAGGCCGTGGAACCGTGGAATCGGGTTTGTCTTACATGGTGCAGTCCTGTTTTTAAGATACGTTAAAGTATGCTTGGGTCCCTTTCGAGCCTGGATCTTCAACCTAGCAAGCGTACGAAGGGAACCGCGAGCTTGGAGAGTCCGATGAGGACATCTCGCACAGACCAAGCCTTGTTTAGAAGGTGCGAGTTCAAACTTGAGCTCAGGGATGGATAGGTGAACCCAAGTTGCCGAACCCCCTCCCAGAAGTGAGTTGGCAAATGCATGGACATCTGATGGTTGTCGAGTTTCGGGCGTTCGGCGTTGAGAAAGTGCAGGAAGCTTCCGGGGGTTAGAGATGGCGGGTCGGGTTTGAAGGGCTTCGGGCATTCTTGCACAATCTTTGTGTTGCTTGCTGCTTCCTCATGCGAGTGGCCACCGCTGTTCCCATTCTCAAAGCAGCTTGGCCGGCTTGGCCAGAGAAAATATGTATGAAACCTGTAAACATGAGAGTGACTTTTCGGTGGGTCCCTGACACACGACTGCCTACGACTTGAGGTTTTGTTAGAGCGCTTGGCGCGTAAGCTGCTTGGCAACACTTGCTACCTTCCAAATAAGTTGTCCGCGGGGCAAGATAGAAAGAATGCCTCATGCCATTCTCAGATGGCTCCAAGACGATGTGGAGGCTGGACGCAGTGATGTTGATTGTTCCTGTCCAACGACCGATATCGAGCGTGGTTATCGTGTGAGTCATCATCATCAGCATCAGCATCAGCATCAGCATCAGCATCATCATCATCATCATCATCATCATTTTCATGGCGGCCTCGGCCCGGCCCGATACTTTAAGAAGCTCGTTGAAGGTTTGGGGCCGGGTTCCTAGGGCGTCCCTGAAAATTGGCTAGGGCTAGAGGGTGCCCAGAAAACTGCAGAAACAGCGCAAAAGCGCCAAAGTGTAGAAGCGTAAACGTCCAAGCTTTGGTTTTGCCGTTTGCGTAAAAGCGTAAAGCCGAAATTGCGCTTTATCATTTGCTTTTTTGGCGTCTTTCCTCGTAGGGTTTTTGGCTGTGCGTTCCCTGCGTAAACGCGCAGAAGCGTAAAGGTGTAAAAGTGCAAAAAACAGAACGCCGACGTTTCGGTCTTACCGTTTTTCCGATTTGGCGTCCTTCCTCCCGCGCGATCACTGCGTCCTCAAAAGGTGTGGGTTTGACACACACACACACACAACCCCCACGAAACACGCTGACAAGAAAACATAAACCCGCGGGTGAACTGTAGCCCCCCCACCGCCCCCCCATTGGCAAAGAGTATGTACGCTCGGCCCCCCTCCGCTCATGACAGCCGAATCAACACACAGAAAGCCGTTTGGAGTTGACCCTCAGGTGGCAAGACTCGAGGGAAACTTCGGTCTGGCCATGGGCAGCTGGATGAAGGCGAGTCGCATTGTTAGCAAGGAGGCTCTTGTTGTGTTGTTCATGTTGTTCTTGTTGTTCTTGCTGTCCGTGTTGTTTCTTGTTGTTATTCTTGTCATTATTGTTATGCTTGTTGTTCTTGTTATTCCTCTTATTCTTTTATGTTCTTGTTACCATTGTTGATATTCTTGTCATTCTTGTTATTCTTGTTATTCTTGTTATTCTTGTTATTATGTTATTGGCATATGTGTGTGTGTGTGTGTGTGTGTGTGTGCGTGTGTGCTTCGCCGCTTTTGAAGGAGTGTTGCGCTTTGAGTGAAATAGGAAAGATGTGCAAAACAGGCGCTCATATGCCATTGACAGCGTTTGCTGCTAGCGGCTTCATGATGCCGTGTTTGTTTTTTGTTTTTTTGAATGAGAGGTTGAAAATCATAATTGCAAAAGCTTGCGCGTGCCGCCTCGGCAGCCGGGCCGGCCCCAGGACAGGAAAGGAGGAAAGAGGGTTTCTGCAAAAAAAAGGGGAGGAAGGGTCCAGGTCCGGGGGTCGTAGGGAGGTGGGGCTGTTCGTGCGTTTTGAGGCTTCCTGTGTGGGGGGGGGTTCCCACAGGGCGGGGGGTCCACCACAATTTTGCATGGGAAGGGTTGGGTTGCGGGGAAGGAGGCCCGATCCGGGTCTGCTTGCTCCAGACGCTTCTCGGCAGGAAGCCGAGGCGAATTTATGGCATTCTCTGTCTCTGTCTCTGTCTCTGTGTGTGTCTCTGTGTGTGTGTGCGTGTCGGACAATAAGATTCTTGAGCACGAGCTTTGTTCCTGGCGTTCTTCGATTTCGATCTTCAGGGGCGGGTGGGGATGACGACTTCCTGGCCCAAAGCCTAGACCCCAAACGCAGGCCCAAAACGAACCACAAACCTGCGTTCAGACCCGACCCCAGCCCCCAAAACTGTGAAAGAACCAGGGCCTAGCCTTCAATCCCTCAAAATCTGCGTGCGCGCCCAAAAACCCTGACACCCAAAGCCCTGCACCCAAACCATAAACCCTAAACCCCAAACCCTGGTGTGCGGTGTGTGCAAGTATATCAGCGCAAGCTTTTTGTTGTGTTTTACATGGGAAGGCAGCCAAGTTGTGAAACAGGGTTGGGGCCTCGAAAGAAGGCGTAAACTCGACAGGAGGCATCCCAACTCCCAAACCTCCAAGGTGAAAGCACAAAAAACGCCCGGGATCTGACTGCGACCACTGTGGGTTGCAAGGGCCGTTTTTTTTTTTTTTTTTTTTTTACGGCCGCCATGTGCTTGCTGAACGCAGGGAAAATGGCGTTGGTGCAAGCGCGCGAAGAATGTTCGAATAGCCCACGCTCACGCATGTGAGTCCATCGGCGTTTTGTACACGGCAGCGAGACATGACTATTATACAGCTACTGCTAGCTACAACGATTACTGATACTACAGTTATTACAACCACTGCAATTGCTGCAACGACGACACCGACTACAGCTCGAATCAAACGCTCAGAGCGCCCAAGCCTGAACTCCGAACTGTCTGCCAGGTGTCCAAGCAAATCGTCAAGGCGCCAAGGCCCAGAACACGTCAGAGAGAAGGGGCGGGAGGTCAGCTGTTCTTAGGTCTCAAGGCTGGAGGCCAATGGTTCAGGGCAGGGAGTCCGATTTATGGGCTTCTGTCCCCTGTGCAGGGAAGAGGCGAAGAGCGTCGTGCTGACAAACCAGACAGCCGAGCCAGAGTTGCAAGAGGTGCCCAAGATGTGTGACAAGAGGGAAGGCAAGAAAGCCTCCAAGTCTTTTCCTGCCCCCTAAGCCCTGACAGGGCACCAGCCTGAGACTGTTCTTCGACAACCTCTGCTGTGAGATTACTTTTGGCTCTGTCAGCGCCCGGATCTCGGGACTGCGACTCTTTCTTTTGGGATCGTCGTCCCAAAAACCCCAGACGTGACAGTCCTGCAATACTGTGCGATTTTTGTGGAAACGTCTTGGAACCGGATGTGGGACTTGGGGATCTTCTTTGTCAAGGGGGTTCGCAGCCTGGGTTCGTAGCAAGACGAAGGAAGCAATGGAGTACAAGGACGTGGCCATGAGCTGCTGGCAGAAGAAGCCGTGGGCACAGCTTGCAAGCTTGGGCTGCTCACTCTCCGTTGAGCAGGTAGGCACGGCAAAGACTTGCCCCTTGGTTCCAGAAAACCACAAACCACAGAAACGATCAAAGAATCATGATAAAAGTAAAAACCCATCCGAGGTCTGCGCCAGCGCCAGTCAAGGTGCTGGAGCCTGGGGTGCCAAAGCCCGCACCCGAACCTCCGAGGACGCCGAAGTGTTGAGATTCGAGATGGAACTGCAAAGTAACCAAAGCCAAAGCTATGAAGGCGCTGAGGCTTCGAGGCTTTGAATGAGCCCTGCAGGAAGCGGCCCAGGTTCGATGACGACGGCTTCACGCAGCGGGCCCAGAAGCGGAGCGCTTCCAGGTTTTTCAGGCTCGTGTTTCCCTTGTCAAGGTTTTTCCTTCGGTCGTCAGGCTTTCTCTTTAGCGAGCGTCAAGTTCTAGCTGTTTTGTTTGCCAGCGGCGGATGCTGGTACAGTCAGCGCACGAGGACCATGTCCAGCATGAACCAGCTGAAAAACCACGCCAGCACCCCAGTGGTCATGGCAGCTCGTCCTTCGGAGTAGTTGAGGCCGCTCCCACGACCTTGGGTGTAGCGTTGAGGGCCACGAAGCCCCAGACCCGAGATATTGCTCCAACTTGCAGCTCCAAGCCCTTTAAAACTTTAAGCACCCGTTAGCCCCAAGACCCCAGGGACCCAAGATAAGCCCTAAACTTGCCTCTCTCGACTCGGAGGGCGAGACGCTGAGCTCCAAGCGCGCCGCCCTCGATTCCAGGCCACATCCCTGCAGGTTTTGTTGCGGTATCGGGCTGTTTTGAAGGGTATTTTCTCAAAGCCACGAGCCCTGAGCCACGCACACCCAAAAATGTTAGTCAGGGAGGCTTTGAGGTGAAACCATCATCTTCAAAGGCTCCCGATAAGCCAACCCAACCTCAACGAACCCTACCAGCTATCCCAACCTCAATCCGAGAGAAAAACAGCCCCTGCAACCCGTCCAGGGTGGAGACGAAAACCTCCGCCGACCTGCCCCTGGCGTGCCCCGGGCACGTGAGATGTTCTTGGCCGTGGTGTTTGGGGGCTCAGGGTTCGTAGAGGTGAGGGTTTCGAGACAGCCTTGAGAGCACGTTGGTGTTTGAATTTGAAAGAGCTTCAGGCTTGAACGCAATGCTCGGGGACTTGTGTTTAAGTCCCGCAAGCCCTTCGACCCCGATCTGGCGAAACCCTCAACATCCCTCAACAAAGAGTCCCACGAAACGATGATGTTCCCGGCCCTACTGACTCTATGGGCTTGGGTTTCCATCGCCAGGCGGATGAGCTATGCGCCTGCGAAGCGCCTGCCGTTCACTTGGCAGATCTTGGTAGGGCTTCTCTTGGGCATGCGAGGGGCCTGCGGGCAGGGGGTGGAGCAATACAGTGCCTATGCTTGCTGTCCAACAGACAATGCCTACAATGCATGCTCTGCGTATTGCTTTGCTCCAAAACTCGGCGATGATCGCGAACTGTTTCGTGTGGCCTGGCTGTAACCTGAACAAAGTGTGGGAATACATGCCATGCAAAGAGAAAGGTCTGCAGGGTCCTGATGCAGGGGGCGGGATCCTAGCGCGATTCAGAAGCTGGACGCGATGCGGGAAACCAGGATTCAGGAAACCAGCCCCGCGATTCAGGAAACCAGGATTCAGGAAACTACTCGATTCAGGAAACTAACCGATTCAGGAAACTGCGATTCAGGAAACCACGCGATTCAGGAAACTGAAAACACGCGATTCAGGAAACTGCACGATTCAGGAAATTGAAGATGCGCGATTCAGGTGGGGGGGGATGGGGGGGTTGGGGGGGTGTCAACTTGTCCAACATCGCTTCCATTTACAAAAAAGGAGATCCAGCAAAACGGGAAAACTACCGCCCAATTACACTCTTGCAAATTCCGCATAAAGAAGTCAACATCGCAAGCGTTTTTCATTGCAAGAAGACGTATGGATATGGCAGATCTCACGTTTGGTACTGTTAGATTGGGAAAATTGAAGTTCTGAAGTTTCCCGAATCCCCGGTTTCCCAATCCGTGCTTTCCAGTTTCCGAATCCTGGTTTCCCGAATCAACGCTTTTAGTTTCCCGAATCAGGTTTTTTCTAGTTTCCGAGTCAGGTTTTTGCTTCGGCGAAAGTATCTAAACTTCTCCGAAACCCGAAGCCTGCAATCGCAAGGCAAGCCCCCAGGACGACGCTGCTCCAGCGTCAGGCCTCGAACCCCCTACAGGCACCGCATTTTCTCCAGTTGAGAGCTGTGATTTGTGGGTCAGAGCTTGAGGTTTTAGTCGAGCTTGTTTTTGGCTTTGAGGACTTCTAGCTTTACTTGTAGGTGCTTGTAGGCAATTTCCCAGGGTTTGCCGCGGATACATCTCCGCGAAATTTGTCATAGTCTTAAATACAGCCTCCCCCAAGCCCATTGTGAGTTCCAGCCCCTGATGCTGCAGGACTCTTCCGTCTACCATGGCTACCGGTCTTCCCTGACCTTCGGGCTCCAAAATTTAGGCCCCGCTGAGCAGGGTTTGCTGTTTGCTTCATGGCTCGTGCGCGTGCGTGCACGTGCACGTGCACGTGCGCGTGCGCGCGTGTGTGTGTTGGATGCTTCTTGGTGGGGCTGGATCTTTCGAGCCTTTTGACTTCGGGTGCGCTCCTGCAGTCACCCCAAGTTGCGGGCCCACACTCGCATCCAGTCTGACTCAGTCTGACTGTGACTGTTGCTGCGCTTGTCGATCTTGATTGCCCGCGCGTTTCGCATTCTTGCCCCGTGCCAGGCAATACCTGCTACCTCAATGCCGTGACGCAGGTTGCCTCGAGTGAATGGACCTAAGGTGCTTTCTTACATGGTTCAGCGCACGGAAGGCAGTCGGCTCGGCCCGCGAGTTCGTGGCAGACCTGACATCCATGCTCCCTCAGCTTGTTTGACAACGCCCTGCTTGGGAGACTCAACATATGGCTTGGCAGCAGGCCTGCGCGATGGCCACACTGCACGAATGGTCCACTCTTCAAGTGCAGTGCCCGTCCCTCTGATCTGCTCGCAGGTGACTGCGTTGAATGCCTGTGCTATCCCACTTATCCCACTTGAGGTGGACATCCTGCAACGATTGCAAGCGGCTCAAGATGCTCCGTCTGGACCCTACGACAGAGCAGGATTTTCAGAAACTTGGTTCCATGGCAGTCCGGAGGCTCAGCCCTGCCAAGCTTCGGGAGCAGATTGCCATCGCCGCGCTTGGGCACTCAGCCTTTTGTGCCCTGAAATACAAAAAAAGTACCTAAATGATGCCACGACATCCCTCTTCGAGAAACTTATTTTGAGAGCTCAGGAGCTCTGATCTAAGGCCCATGTTCCGGGGCAGCGGACAGCAGGATGCCCACGAGTTCTTCTTGGAGCCTCCCGGCTAAACCCTGGCTTTGGCAGACAGCCGATCTGAAGGGGTTGAGAAGGGATTCGGAGGAGGGTTTTTCAGGTTCATGATGGTGAATCATGATTCGTTGCTGTGAGCTGGCACAGGTACATCAACCAGCTTCATGACGAGCTGCTGCGAGGTCACAAGGCTGAGCTTGTTGTGTGTTTGCAGAGGTTGCTGCAGCTGACGCACCTGTTATTCTTGTTTTGCCATGCTTGCTAGGAATGGCTAGCAAGCACTGCGCTGGAGGATCAACAGCCTGAGCTTGTTGGCGCCTTAGAGGCCCAAGGCAGACAGAGGCGGCAGCGAGATTTTCATGAACTTGAGGCAACGCAGAACCACTTAGACGCGGAGTTGCTGAAGCAGCTAACATGCACGGCGTCGGGGCCCTAATGGTAGTGTGGCCCGTGTGGCCCTTGTGTCTGGGGCTTGAGGGAGTGTTTCGTACTCTGTTGTAGCTCTCTGCAGCTGCTTTGTCCGAGTATGGCATTGCAACAGTGCAGGTGTGGGCGGTCGCGGCAAGTGGGAGCCTTGGTATTCCGAAACGTTGCAAAGCGACGACAGACAAGGATGTAGGCATGGAAGTAGGGCTCAGGGTTGGGCTTTCTGTCGGGAAGGCGGCGGTGGGGGGAGCTACAGCTTTCGGGTTTGGGTGCTGTAAAGGTCTTACCTCGTAAAGCTGCGTGGAAGCAAGCAACTTCCGATGCGGGTGGACTCTTCGTTGTTCGTCGGTAAGATATGTAAGATGTATTGGCTCGCCAGATGAGCGTTCGCAGGTACGAGGCAGTATGATGTGCACAGGAGCTCATGGTGTAGTGATGTGTAGTGTGCCCGAAGCCCGAGCCAGCCCAGCCCCAGGTGACGGAGCGTTTCCGAGACTTCTCCCTCGACTTCCGCCCCTTGGGCTCCAACATCCAGGGCCTAGGGCTCATGGCTCGGTAAAGTCTGGGAGGCCTTAGAAGGGGTTGTTGGTTAGGGCAGGGTTGGGGGTGTTAGGAGAGTTGCGGGGTGTTGGGGGGGGAATGTTGGAGGGTTGGGGGTTCGGGTTGGAGCGAACGCAGTCCAGGGAGCTTGAGGGTTTGCAAGGGGTTCGGTCTTTGGGTGGAGGGCAAGAAAGCCGAACTAAAATAAAGGCAAAAAGACAGCGAGGGAAGAGTCCGAGGCGGTGATGTGAGTCAGCTGTCCGTCGGGGCGATGTTTCGCAGCTACTTCGACTCAGAGACCGTCGAGGCGTTGGCAGTGGCATAGCCTTTCAACTCTTCAGTTGGCTAGTTTTGGGCAGAGGCTTGTAGGGAAGTGAAACAACCCAAGATTGCGCAAGCGGTAAACAGGCACGAAGCTTCTTCAAGCCAGAGCCACCGGCCAGGCCAAGTGCGAACACTGCGAAGCAGCGTCGGCACTGCTGGAGAGCGCGCGGCCTTTTGTTACTTGCCCTGGCTTCTGCTGTTTTCACCCTGCGTCCCGCACTCTCCCCACCCCCCAACCTCCGCTCCCCACCTTCCGCTCTCCCACCCACCCTCCGTTCCCCACCCTTCCCCACCACCCCCACCTTCCCACCCTCTCCGCCCTGCCCGCCCTCCCCTCCTCGGTTCAGGGTTTAGAGTTCCCCTGCCCCCGGTTGGGTTTCGTGCTTAGGGCGTAGAGTTTGGGGGTTGTGGGTTTTATAGGGTTAGGGCGGCTGTGGTTTGAGGCTGTTAGGGCGTTAGGGTTGTCCTGTCAGGGGCCCCGCGTTCGGGGCAATGCAGGAGACGCAGCTGTCGGAAGCCCCGCGCCTCCTTGTGCTGCATCTCAAGCGCTTCGCCGGGGCTCCCATTTCATGAGCTACTGAGCTCATGATCATGAGCTCGTGTGGTTCTGTGTTGTTGTTGAGGTGGTGTTCGGGCTTGTGGGTTTATGGGAGTGTGAGTTTGAGGAGTGGGGGAGGCGGCCTTAGGGCACGGCGTGTGATTCGTGATCCAAAGGTGCCGAACATGGAGAAGCAGTGCTACGAGAAGCAGCATCAAGCTGTCCACATCCCATACACGTCGCTTTCTCAGAGGGCGCACAGCTCCCTTAGCGGCTTGGCGTTTGCAGGGCCACAGCGGAGACAGCGGAGATCTGTCAGAGATCCCTTCAACAGCTTTAAGGTTTTTAAGACGTAACAGCCACCTCCGAGGCTGAACGTTGGCAGCCTCCTTGGCAAGGGCGAAGCGACAGGCGGGCCCTTTTCGTGTGTGTGCTCCGTAGAGATGCCCTTTTCTAAAGCTCCGAAGTCCGAAGTACCAGTATCAACGCATATTCTCTCTCACAGCCCCAAAATGCCCTCAACCCCCCGAACCCCCAGCAAGGGAACCCTGAACCCCCGGAGCCTTTCGAGTTGAGCTCCCTTGCAGGCTCGTCCCCGGCCCGGCTGCCAGCAAGGCCCCTGGCCTCGTCGGCCTCGTCGGAGCCTTGGGCTGTGGGGTGGGTTGGGTGATGCGTAACAAGGTTCCGGGAATTCGAGGGCTCGTTTGGGGTTGTGGTTGTTGTGGTTCTTTGGGTTCTTTGGGTTCTTTGGGTTCAGTGTTCTTGGGCTTCCCTTCGCTGCTGTACGTGCTGGTTGCTTCTATGTGGGCAGGCAAGGTGAACTCTCAATTCCTGTCGCTTCTGCATGGTAGCGGCTGGTAGCGGCTCAGGGATTTGGGGCTGGATGGCGTAGTTGAGGTTTCGATCTAGTTCCTGGTTGAAGTAGAGCGTTTGAGGGTTTAGTTCAAGGTTTTGGACTTCGGTTGAATGGGGGCTGAGATGCGGGTTTGGGCCAAGAGCTATGTCGGTCCAAGTACCTGGATTACCCGACCTCGGCAGCTCAGATGCAAAGCCCATCAAGACACTGAAAGTCAAAAAGACCGTCCAAAGTCCAGATCCTCAGGCCCTAAACTCCTAAACTGCTCCCAGGCCGGGTGGGGCCCCGGCTGAAGAGGTCGGGAGCCCCAAGCATGGCTTCATAGGCACAGAGAGCGGATGAGATGTTTGGCTTTGAGCCAAAGAGCAGTCGAGAACGAACCCTCTTCATCGTCAGATCGCGCAGCCTCGCAGAAGCCACCGGCATTCAGTCTCACGGGCAATCTTACCATCGGAGGGCTCCAGATTCTTGGATTTTCCCTTGCTCATCAACCTCAAACGGCCCAACATCATCCTAAACCATCCTAAGCCATCCCAAAGATATCCCAAGCCCTGGCCCTAAGCCCTGAATGGAAAAAAGGGCCCCAAAACCGTTAAAGGAATGTCCATAAGCCCGCCCCAAGCGCGCCATGAGGCCGACCCGGAGCCCGTGGCGTACAAGCTCCGTGCCGTCGTGGCTCACGAGGGATTGACGCCCAGGTGGCCAAGAGAGTTGCGGATTTTGGAGGGGGAACTGTCTGGTTTTTGAGGTCGTTGAGGGTGTTGCAGAAGTGTTACAGAGTTCCCGGAGGTTTAGAGTTTCGAGTTGAGCTTGGAAAGGGGGTTGGGGTACTGAAAGCCCAAACCCCAAGGCACCTGTTCGCAGGTCTGGGCACTACGTCTGCTACGCGGAGTCCTCCAAAGGCGAGTGGTTCCTCTACGACGACTCCCGCGTGAAGCAATATGCACGTGGCGAGGAGAAGCCCACCCCAAATGCCGGTGACGACCCATGAAGCGACCTATGCCGTAGCACATGTCTTTTGCAGCCCAAAGCAGCAGTCTTTTCCGAGACAAGACGACGATTTTGGCTTGTCGTGCAACCTGCGAAGTTTTCGGGGCGATTCTGCGTAAACATGTTCATTGTTGAGCTTAATCTAGTGTTTCCGCCAAGGCGAATGCTACTTGTTTCGTTGCAAGTATGCAAGTTCCACGTTTCCGCGCTTACAAGAGTTGAAGGCATTAAGGGGTTCATCAGGTATGGAACGTATCATGATAAATATCATCCCCAAAAGGTTTTAACTACAGGTTTGAAGGGGCTTGAGGGCGCAGCATCTTTGGGGCTGGAACAGACGGCTACTTTGGCTGGAGTTTGTCTCGTTTAGAGGCTTGAGGGCGCAGTATGTTTGGGCTTCAACAGTTCAAGAGCCTCAGGGTGCGTGCAGTGATTTTGGGTTTGAAGTTGGAAGGATCTGAGACCACAAAACGGAACCACCCCCGCTGCTGAAAAAGCCAAAAAAATAACCAGAAAAATCCTGAAGCAACCGAAACTCACCTGAAAACAGGCAAAACCCGCATGTCAGCTCGTAGGACGTTAGTGCAGCAACCCTAAACAGCCCTAAGCAACCCTAAACAACCCTAAAGAACCCTTAGCCCCAAGCAACCCGAAACCTCGCAATCAGAACATGATGCTCTGAGTGCGGCAGGAGCCATGGGCAACATTGGGAAGCAAGGCGTACATGCTGTGCCTTGGCAGTGAAGTCTGCAAGCCACACGCAAAATGCAAGAGCAGAGAACGAGCAGCGTAGGCCCTCCTAGCGCATCTTGGCGCATCTGAGCATATCCTTCCAGGTTCTACGTCCTCAATGGTTGGAAGCTCAGACTCTTTAGGTCTTCTTTGGAAGCCTCCATCCATTATCATCCTGCGTAATGTCTTCATGCTGACACTGTAGGTTGTACGTCCCGGTCATGTTTCGCAACGTAGATTCTGGCAGCTCTCGACCTTTCGAGGCCAGCAGCCGTCTCCTGAGAAGGACCCGGCGCCAAAGTAGCTACTGAGTGCCAGAAGCTGTCACACCGTGCGTCGGTGTTGTTCAAAGGTTCAGCTTCTTCGGGGGCTTGCTTGCAGCATCCTTCCTTAGAGGGCTTCAGGTTCGGGATGTCGACTGAGGGTCACCGAACTCTATGTGGGCGTTTTCATGGTTGTAGAGCTTTGCGATTCGATGAGTCGCATGGGGCGTAGCTGTGTCAAGGCTTTTGCAGCTGTCACGGCTTCCTCGGGAACCCAACGCAAAGACCGCCTCAACTTTGAGCGCTAGAGACTCCGAAAGTTCCCCCACGAATTCCCAAGAGTTCCGAGACCGGCAGACTCTTCCACCGAGCAGGTTTGGGTTCGCGAGGGTCGGTCTCGGCAGAATTCACCAGGAGATCTCATTTGAGAGAGCCTTAGAGCCCTCCAGCTTAGAGCCCTGGGCCGACTATGACTTTTAAGATCAGAATCGTTCAGGGTTTTGATCTGTGTTTTTTTCTCTCCTACGCCCTCGAAGTCCCTTTGCCACCTTTAGAGGGCTCAGGGCTGTAAGCCGCCTGAGGTTTAAAGGGGTTTACGGGGGAATTTGCGGTGTGGGGTGCTTCAGCTGTGCTTTTGTTTTGGGTGGGGGGGGTTCGGGCAGAGAGAAGAGGACCACTCTCTAGGTCATTACACTTGCTGTGCAAGGCTCGCCTAAATTGGATCTCCTGCCTGAAAGCTCTGCCAGAGCACGTGGGGTTGACGTGCTTGAGCCAGGGAGCACAAGGCAGGATGCTTGCCTGAATCTGCCCTGTGGATTACACCATTGATATGCCTGCATGGAATGTACAGCACTGCCTCTATGGGGTGTAGCGGGAAAAATGAGCAGTCTCAAGGTACGGCGGAAGTTGAGGGTTTTATTTCAAAGCTGTGGCGAGCTGCTTGTTCCTTACTGAAGCTAGATGGAGATTCGGGTGAGGGAGGCAGCCATGGTTTGCACAGGCATGCGGATTTTAGGCATGCGGATTTTAAAGCCGTAAAAAACTTAAGCCCTATAGGCCCTAACAAAGCAAGTTGCAGCTGGGGACACGGGGAATTTTGATGAAGCTTAACGCAGGGTACTCGGATCTCCACGAGAAGCATTGTGTTTGCAAATGGGTGGGGCCAACCGCGTCCCGCTCCCCCCCCTACCCCCCCCCCCCCCGGAAGTCTTGGAAACACTTGCAAGCTTGTTTCAGTATTGCGGCGATTTGCTCAAAGGTGTCTTTTGTTGTGTTTGCGCACTGTCGAAGCTGTCTGGGAGATTGGCTGTGGCAGTGGTTTGAGTGTGTTGCATTGTGTAAATCGTATTGTTGTATGGGTGCCCCCCCAGGCCCCAGGCCCCCGGCCCCCACCCCCAGCCCGGCCCCCCGCCTTTCATTAAGCCTTGCAAGGTAGCTTAAACAGATCGCGGAAAAGTGAAGTGTTTTTTGACTCTTGATCTCAACTCCCAACTGAGATTTTTGCAGATTCCCTAGCCGTTTGTGCATGGGTGGGCCGCGGGCCACTGGCTTGATTCGACTTGGTCGTGTCTTTCCGCAGCCTGGCTTCAAGGCAACATCGCATTGAAAGCGGCTAAGACAAGCTCATCGGCTAGTCTAGTCCAGAGCAGGGTGCTGACAAATGACTGAGTTGTAGACCCGTGGACAACAAACAGCCAGGGACATAGGGGTCTAAGGTCCTCGGTTTTCGGTTGAGCGTGTGTTGTGAGAGAATTTTGCAATACCTTACACAGCAGTTGTGGTGAATCTCATGATTCCTCTAAAGATGAGTGTGCGTGCTGCATTTCTCCTCGCTGCACCTAGTTTGCCCCGCTCTTAGGCTCGACGTGAGGTCGTTCATGCAGATGACCGGCTTGAACAGCAGTTCTTCTAGAGGTCACTGAAACATTGTGCTACGGACGTTGCTCCATTTCGGTCAACATGTACAAGTGCAAAGGGATAGACCCAGGTGCTGGGCGAGCCACTACCAGGGCTCTTGCCAGGCAGATGAGGTGGCGTGCCGCTCAGAGCACGAAACCTGACACACTAAAAGCCCACCTTAAACCCCCCCTCCGTTCCCTTCCTGTCTATTCCTTTTCCGTAAGCTCCCTTCCGTGCAAGGCCGGCGAGATCCAGGGTGAGGACGGCATGGCCCGGTGCCTTGGGGTTAGGCTGAGTAGGATTTGGAAAGTTTAGGATTTGGGGATTCTTGCTGCTTGGGGGCGATGGCCGAGGTTTGTGCACCGAAGTGCTCTGCGTCCTTCGAGTGCCCGCTGGATACGCCACTTACCTCAACGGTTGGGTCCCCAGATGCAGCCTAAGCCCAGCTTGAGAACCAGAAGCATGTTGCAGCGATCGCCAACAGCCGAAACTCCAATGTTTTTGAGGTATGGCTAGGACGTTCGAATCTCTCCAGCAAACACAGGCGCAGCCCCAATGCATGCTGCAGACCGTGGACCAGGCTGCTTCGCCACCTTGGCCCTGAGCCCTGACCGAAGCCCCACAAGAGGATCCCCAAACCGCCCAAACCTGCCCCAACCCCTACAAGCCCCCAACAACCCCAGAAGACGAAGGCGGTGTCCGAGGTGTCCTAGTTCAAGGATCCAACGATTTCGTGAGACCTCCCCAGAATCTGAGACCTGGGCCAGGCCTCCTACTGTGGCCTGCTTTGCCAGGCCCGCGGAGCTCTAAGGGCCTTTCGATGGCTTTGGTGCGTTGGTGGGGTGCAGCTTCTGATGTTGCCTTCTGCCGCAATGCCTGTCCTCAGATGCCCAGAACTCCCAACCCCTGCAACTTCAGCGTCGGAGTGTGTGTATGGCAGACAGTCGTGGCGGCCCTGTCAACTGGAGATGCAGACAGACCCTTGTCAAGAAAGATGCCAAGCATCCCTTGCGGCCCTAACATACCTCTTTATGTCTCAAGCCCCCCTGAAGCCTCTTCAGCCCGTAGCCTTCTAAAGCCTCTAAAGCTTTCCAAAGCCTTCTAAAGCCTTCCAAGCCCTATGCCATCTCACACCCCAAGCCCCCTGAGCCCTAAGCCCATGCTGCCCCCTATGGCGGTCCCAATGGCCATACGGAACTTCCATGGGCTCCAGGCGGACGCGCAGTGTCCGAGTGGTGCGTCCTGCCGGAAGGCGGTCTGGTTTTAGGGCAGGCTTAGGGTTGTGCAAAGAAACGGCTTTGGGCTTCTGGCATCTAAGCCGACATTCTTTCTGAGGAGTTTGTCGTCCTCGTCGTCGTTCTCTTGCGGCATCGTGTCTGTGAGGGTCTTCGAGCTTCACGGGTTGGAGGAGTGTAGTAACGGGATCATCCATCCAGGTTTCATGGAGCCCCCCTGGGTCCCTGTGAGTTCCAGCTCCATATGTACCTACAGTAAACCTATTCCCTAAACCCATTCCCTAAACCCTCAACCCTAACCCTAAACCCTAAACCCTAAACCCTAAACCCTAAACCCTCCCAAGTTTTCAAGGCCTTCAAAAGGCCCCAATAAAGTGGTGAGATCCAACCCGAGGTGGGCACTCAGGGCCTTGGCTTGTGCATCCACCCGCTGTCCTTCGCAGACTGGGTGCGGCGCTCGAACTGTTAAAGCCCATACCGACATTGCCCCTGGATTCGCTCGGAGAAGAGTCGGACTCCATCGGGCTAGACCCTGGTACTTGCCACACCCCCGAGGCCCGGCTTTCCAGCCGCGTGAAGCTGGCAATAGGCCTGGCAGCCGAAGACGGCCTGCCATGCCCGTGATGCGCTTCGATGTTTCTTCAATGTCGCTGGCAGTGGCCCCAATGACCCCCGAGTCAGCGTTCAGAACACACCCGAAACCCGCCGCTGCTGCATCCTCCGTGTGGCCCGAGAGAACTCGCAAAGGCACAATCGCAAGACCCCCCCGCGCCTTCAAGTTTCCAAGTTTCCGGAGGCTTCCCGAGCTCCGGAGCCTCGGGCTCGCCTGGAGCCTGGCAATCTCGAGTTCTTTCATCTGTAGGGGTTCTTGGGTGTTTTCTTGGTGATCTTTCCTTTTGCTTCTGGAAACCCCAGCAGCCTTGGCTCCCTGAGGCTTGAGGTTTTTGAGGGCAGGAAGGGTATTGGCTCTCCAATTGCCTTTCGGTGAGAGGATTTTCCCTGCCTAAGGCCAGTGAGATCCATCTCAATCCGGAAGAAGCACGTACAGCCTCGCAAGGAACCACTATGAAGCCGCGTCAAGCTCCTCGAACCAACCCACCTCTTTACCAACCCACCCTGTAAAAAGAATCCGCGCGGCTCAGAACGGAGAAGTCCCTCGGACTCACGCGAATGCGTCTAACGCGAATCGCCGAATCCCTAGGAGCAACAAGGGCTTCCAGGTGGCCAAGGCTTACTCGGCGCTGCAAAGCCTCAAGCGGTTGGGAGCTTAGGGTTCAATGGGCTTTGCGTTTTGCAAGGGGTTTCCGAATTTCCGGGGCTGTGGAGTGCTGTAGAGTGCTGTAGAGCCTTGGGTTAGCAGATCGTCTGGGATAGTGCGTTGGGCCAGTGGGCATTGCTGCATGACAGAGTTCGTAGCTGCGCCTGGAACCTGAAAGTTTGCGCATCGACGCCACAGCAGCCCACAGCACCCCACTCCTATAGACCCTGAGCCCAAACTCCTGCAAGGCGATACGCCATCTCGGATGGGGACGCAGATGTGTTGACTGTCAAGGACGTGGCATGCGCGTGAGCAAAGTCAACCTATAACTCAGAAGTTAATTGGCAATCAGGCAGTGATACGAGGACATGTTGCAAAAATTCCGTGCTATTTTGCATTTATTTATTCTTTTCGATAACTTTTCTTGCGTTGTTTTGTTGTTTCGGCGTGTTGTTCGCTCACGTCACGTGGTCATTCCCTCACGAAGTTCCATGAAGATAGAAGATTGGTATGAAGGAAGCACGAAGTCATTATTGTTTACGTTTTGATCTTTATAATTCTGAAAAAATCAAATAAGAATTTGGCAAGTCAAATCAAATATACTAATATAGGAAGTCCTTTAGCATAATATTAATACAGGTTGGTAATGTGCTATCGCGGGGGCTTATAAAAATACTAATCTACCCCGTTGCATTAATGATTATAATGTTAGTGTTCCGGCGGCATAATAAAGGAAAAGAGAATAATGAGCCGCCGAAATGAAGAACACGAAATCATTATCGTCGCTCGTTTTCTCGCTTGGTATTCTTATTATCTTCTTTCTAGCGTACTTACTTGGGGAAAAAGAGAATACCATGAACCAAGTGCGGACCGAGCATGTGGCCGACCTTAGTGACTCTTTCACCTTGTAGGAGATGGCCGCGGGAACGGAAAGGGCTCTTGGGGATTGGGTGGGATTGGTGCCTGGTTGGGGTGGGGCTCGAGTGATTATGCTCTTGACTCTCCGGAGCTTGAACCGGTGTGTTTGTAGCCGGGAGGACTGGAGGAGCCCTGATTCCTTGAATCTTTGATACGGATACGGTGGTTCGTTGAGTGGGTCCCTCTCTTTGGCCCTCGGAACATGAGTGAGGGAGCTAGATAGTTCTACAGAATATTCTGCTGGAATCCATTCATGTCTCAAACCTTGTTATTGGAAAGCCGTAGGGTTGTCGGATGTAGAGTGTAGGTGGAAATCTATTGCCACCAACGCTCTTGCAACAATTGACGAGAGTTGCTTCCGACTGGCCGACTAGCTCGCCTGAAATCCGGGAAAAATCTAGTTTTTCCTAGCTTGTTCTAGGTTTTTCTTTTCGCTGGCTTTCGCTCGCCTTCCCCAGCCTTCTCCAGCCTTTCGTCGCAGATCGGGGCCCGAGGCCAGGAAGGATTTAGCGAGCCAGGGTCTGAAGACTGGAATGTCGCAGCAAAAGCCAAGTTCACTTTGGAGCCTTAGGAAACAAGATTCCTGATTGCACAGAAGGTAAAAGTAAGAAGGCCACACAAGCCTGACACCCAAACCCCACGCCCCGACCGATGACTAAAAATTTGACTAGCTTTGCAGCACCAACAAACTGTAGATTCTGGAACAGGCAGACTTCACCCAAGGAAATTTGTACCTTACCCTAGCTTGTCATAGCTTTGCTTGGCTCTTCTTAGCTTTTCCTAGCTTAACCTGGCTTTCTCAGATTTCCTGTGGTTTTCTTTGGGGCGCTTTCGGAAATCTAGATGTTTCCATACTGCAAAGACGTACCGAATCAACGACGTACCTTATATCACCGAATGATACAGAGCCCAGGAGATGCTGGCTGCTGCCGCCACTCCTCTTAGCCTCGTGGCCCAGCACCCAGCTGCGGCCGAGACAAAGAATGCAAGGAAGGCAACAACGACAACGCCTCAAGACACGGAAATTGGTGGCAAAGCCTCAATCTCTTGAAACATGAAAGTGCCAGAAGTTGCCAGAATTCCCTTTTTAAGGACCGCGAGCGGCAGGTCCTCACCAACTTTGTGTCGCCCTCAGCAGTGTCAGTCCTACGCGCAGGGCGTTTGGAGTCCCGGATTTCGGGATTTCGGGGCTCAGAGTTTCAGGCTTGTTTTATCACTATATATCTTCTGAATGTTCGTCTCGTCATCGGTACTGTGACACTTGTTTCTGCTATCATGATTGCTTGCGGCTGTTTTTCAAACAGTAACCATTCCCAAACTTGGGAGCTAAACTCTTCGTGGCGCCAATATTACATGCAACTGGTAGTGTAGAAGCTAAGCATGTAACGTAGAATTCCGAGCGCGCCCGAGGAATCCATGGTGAAGAACGCCCTTCACAGCGCTGTCCTCAGGATCGGCTCGCCGGCTCGCCGTTTCAACTGCCCACCAAGTCAGAACCCATGAGCCACCGCGCTTCCCCAACAGCTTGTTGTTGCCCAATAAGCCCCCAATTGTTGCTGGCAAGCCCAACAACCCGCCCCATCGCGCGACTGGTGGACGGGTTCACAAGTCTCTTTTACATAAGACGCCGGCCTCAAGCTACAACGTTTACATCTGAAAGCCATGGGGAGCCGCAGTTCGATGTAGAGTGCAAAATGCAAGTGTCCTTGTGCAATGTGTTGCGGGCGACTTTCAAGTTAAGGCAGGATAGGGGCAAGGGCAATGCTAAGCCTGCGAAACACCTGTGAATGCAGCACCTTCTGTAACCCAAGGTAAGGTATTTAGGTCAAGCTCTACCAGGCTCTAGCTCCGAAGCCCTACATCTCGTGTGATCATCTCAAAGCCCTGCCGCGAAGCCAGAAAGACATCATAAGCCCACAAGCCGCCAATGCGCCGAGGTGCTCCCAAGACTGATCTCGTGTCGGAGGTTTCCACGGATCTGCACGCTCCTGAGCTTTAAGCTTCGCAAACTCTTTGAAAGACCCTCTGATCCTTAACCCTCAGTTCCCCTGGCCTCAGGAAATTCTTTGGCAAAAACATGGCCTCTGGCTTGCCTGGCTGGGAGCGGGAAGCCGAAAGCGTTGCTGAAGCCTCAGTGGCTTTGTAAGCTTGCAGTCTGCTTCTCGTTGTTCCCCACCCTCCGCTTTTGGGGTTGTCAGAGCCCGGTCTCCTGGCCTCGTCATTCCCAGGAGCGCCCTAGTGCCCTAGTGTAGCCCCCGCCATCTCAAAGAGTATCCGAGCATGCCTGGAGTGCCCACCCACAGATAAAGCTCGGGGAAGTGCCCATTTCAGACAGATCCCACACTTCACCCCCAGAGTCCCGCCAAGTATCCTTGGAGTGCCCGCCCCTCAAAAAAAGCTTCAACCGAGTATGCCTGGAGCACTAACCCCCCTGCGGTTCGGATCTCCGGGGCTTGCCAGAAGGAAATCGAAGTGGGAATGAGCCCCAAACTCTTTCTAGCTCCTGAAGCTGAGGTTTGGAATGTGGAGCACATAGATAGCTATGGTGCGGCAACTGGCCTGCCTGCGCCTGAGAGATGGCGCCCCCATGGCACCCGGAAGCGCACGAGTTCTCCCACTAACCTTCTTTCCCCAAGTGACAGACCCAATAGGCCCCAAGGTGCCCCACGGAATTGAAACACGAGATGCCAAGGCTGCGTGGGCTCATCGAGTTGGGCCTCATCTATCTCGCCTGTGGTGCCGTGTACAAGCACCTTGGGCCCATTTAAGAGCTGACAAGCTCTCTCTCTTTCCGTCAGCTGAGTGTTTGTCTGGGTCCTACGAACCCCAAACTTCTAAATCGCCCCGAAGTACCGGATATACCAGCCCGGAAGCCCTAAACCCGAGAAACGGCCAAGTCAGCAAAAGTAGCTGCGAGTCGCCTCGATTGGGACGATGACAAAATAGATCTGAGTCGGAAATGTCCTGAACCCAAGTCGAGTGCAGAAAGGACCATCTAGAGAACACCCAGCCTTCGGTTTTAGGTCTACGGGGTTTCACGGTTTAGATGGAATGGACACGCTCCATTCCCGTTTTCCTCTGTAGTTTTTCTGAGTCAAATGCTGTCTTGTTTTCTGACTCTCGTGCTGTCCGCTGCTATCCTGGTTTCTTCCTGTTTGTGGACTCGGTCTCCTCACCGGAACCCCGTAACGTCTAAACCTTAAGCGCCTCGAGAGTACTGAGCCATGCAGAGCCGCATAGGGCCGTGCGCATAGCTTTGCAGCGACCTCCGACCAAAAGCCCCAAAAGCCCCAAAAGCCCCAAAAGCCCCAAAAGCCCCAAAAGCCCCAAAAGCCCCAAAAGCCCAACAACAAGCCCGGAAAGCCCCGGGGTCGATGGATTTCCCTAAGCCCGAAAGCCTTATGGTTCAGGTACCAGATGCATGGTGCCCGAGGCCTCCTTGGCGTGCCGCGGAAGTGCTAGAGGGATGTGGTGGGTTGGGGGCCTTTTGTCGCACATAGTGACACACAGTGACACACTAAGTGACACACTAAGTGACACACAGTGACAGGTAGTGACAGGTAGTGACAGCATCCTGAGCCCTTTCTCTGAGCCCAGTTGGACTCCCTTCTTTGCTTTGTGCTGAGTTGAGCGAGTTGAGCTAAAGTTGAGCTTCAGTTGCTCTCTGCTTTTGTGCATTTCGGTCTTTTCGGGCCCTTGCTCGGACCAGGCTTGCAGCTCATCCCCCATGTGGACTTCTGGATGGACTATCCAAACCTAGTGGCCGACGGGGTGCAGTACTCCAAAGTGTGGGGCGCCAAGCTTCGGCGTGTGGAGCCCCGCGGAGTGTAAGGGAACGTCAGGGACCCCTGCTGCGACGGTTTGGGGTTCTCGTGCTTTTGTCCCCCTTCTAGGGCGGCTCGAGTTTCTTGAAACCCCTGTGTGATCCTTGTGGGAAGCCTTGTGGGAAGCCTGTGAGATCCTTGAAGGGTCGACTCTCCAAGCTCCCAGGCTCCTCTCGCAGATGGGCGGCAAGGCCCAAGGTTTCGAAAGCCGCGAGCTAAGAAGTCTGGCTGTGCATCTTATATGCCCTCAGCACTTAGGATCATGCAAAGTTTGGGAAGAAAGGAGGGGGGGGGCTCATGCGGCCTAATGCGGGGCCTCCGCACGCCAGGCTTTCCGCCAGCTTCGGCGGTCGCGCTCTCATCTTTTTCAAGACCGATCAAGATTTCAATCCCTGCACGATTCCTGCACCGACACCTCTCATTACCCCGCCTCGTCGCAGGAGAGAGACACCTTTGCAAACTTCGAGCCAAGCAGATGACATCGGCTGGCTCGTGAGCCCGTTAGTGAACCGCTGGGGTCTTGCGCCCCCCAGCTCAGACAAGTCGCCCTGTTAAACAAAAGCGCAGACCGCAGATCGCTGCGCTGTGGTCTAGAAAAGCACGTGTTATCCCAAGTTTGGATGAGGGCGACAACCTGCAGGAGGTGGCCGTAATGCAAGCGGCTTGCTTGGCTCGTGTTTGCCAGGTTTGGGGAGACAATGTGTGTCGTCCAACGTATCACGTGAGTAGGATCTGGTTTTTGGGGCTTACGCTTCCACTTTCCGTGATAATCAAGGGAGTCTAGTGTCTTAGAGTGCATCGCGCGGAGGGGTGCAATGGCAGTGCGACTGCTCAGACTGCTCATCGGATTTCTTCCGATAGCGCCTGCCAATGCTGCGTGCCACTTTGATATTCCCAAACGACCGAAGCAGCAGCAGAGCTTGAGACTCATCAAGCATGACTGGACCTCGCACCAACTAGTAGCAGAGGTGGCTGCAATCCTTCTGGAGGAGATCCTGATGTACGATGTTGTTCGGGTGACGCCGGATCTTGGGCCTGCGCACGATTTCAGGTCCGTTGCCATGGGCAGCTCGGATGCTAACTTCGAAGTCTGGCAAGGTGGGAAGGACAAGCAGATAGAGAAGTGGGTCCGATTGGGAAAGGCCATAGTTGCGAATAGCCATCGCATCTCGGGCTTCAGTGGCCTCTACACCCTGAGGCAAACCATCGAGCGCTTTCCACAGGCCGAGTTCTATCAGAATCTCGGAAACCCCGAGTTGCAGTGGACAACTTTGGTGGAAGGGGAGCCTGAGGCAGATCCTACAGGTCTGTGTTCTCGCCCAGAGTGGAAGTGCCGGAACTTCACCTGGCAGTCCCCATCCTGCCGAGGTTCGCAAGGTTCGCAAGGTTCGCGATGCTCGGGCCAAGTCTTGCACGACTACTCCCACTACACGCAGGGCATTCTGGAGCAGCAGATCGCCAACAACAATCTCTCGCTGTCCGTGGCCTACTTGACCTCGACCTCCAAGGAGAAGCAGATTTGGGAAGCAGTGGCTTCCAGGCGAGATCTACTTTTTCAGCACTACCACCCATCACCCGGGGTGGATGGAGTGCCTGTTGCAGACCTCGTCCCCATCCAGTTTCCGCCGAGGAAGTACGGCTGCAATGACACGGAGGCCATGGTTCCCGTGGGAGGATTTGGCTGCCACTTGGAAGGCCAACCTCTCATCAGCCTCGTCTCCCCGGCCTTGCAGGCATCCGGGCCGACAGTTACCTTGGATGCTCCTTTGCTGGTAAGCTACTAGCGAACTAAGCAGACATCGACCCCCCCCCCCCTTTCCCCCCCTCCCCCCCTCCCGCCCCTTGAGGCATCTCCTGATGCTGCCCACTTTGCTGCCAGCTTCAGCCTGGACCAGGAGGACCCTGGAAGTTATCGAGAATTCCAACCCCAAACCAATCTTAAGACCCCACAAAGCTCAAGCCAGAACCACAAGAAGTCAGCGATTCTACATTGCCGCGCCAGGACTATGAGCGCCTGTTTCTCGCCTGGAGAGAGGCAGACCTATGAATCCCGTCCCCTGAAACCCCAAAGAATTCGAATGCTAGAATGCCAGAATACCCTAGTGAGCCCCCGCTCCGCGGTGGCTCCCTAAGCAGGCGGACAGGGACCCGCACCTGGCCGCCTGCCGGTGGCTGAAGGAAACCGGCACGGGGAGGTGGGCTGTAGCGAGGGAAGTTCCCGGGTTTTTGCTTTGGGGGTGGGGGTGAGGAAGCTCTGCAGCAGATTCCAAATCAAAGATGAACCTAGGGATTTGGGCTTTTGGGTCGTTGGCCCCAACCCGAACGCCGCTCCAGCTCAAGAACCCAGAGCATAAATATTTGGGTTGCTTTCAAATTCTCAGGGTTTGTAGGGTTTATAAAGGGCACCAATCAGGAACCCATAGTGTAGGATCAACTTCTCCTTTTGCCCCAAGTTCACCAGCTTTCGACCTAGCCGGGTTCCCTGAAAACCCGCAGAACCAGGTGGGGGCGCTGGATCCGCTTCAGCAAGCAAGTCCGAATGATCGAGGAGCTTCGTCCCATTTCGTCCCCAAAGTCCTCCCTTCACCTTCGTGGCCCCTAACGTGCCCGAAGCTTTGGTAAGAGAGAGTTGAGGAGTTCCCTCCCATGCATGGCTGCTTTCCGACCTGCTACACCTTCTTGGTGCTGACATTGGGAACCGCCTTGGTCTTCAGGCGCCGCAAAAAGCATGGGCCCCCCAAGATACCCCAAAATGCCCGAAAAGCCCGACAGCCCAAATCTCAGCCCGAAGTCGCTTCAGGCAGCCCGACCTGCTCGAGAAGGCTATTCGGAGGTTGCGGGGGCTTGCGGAACCCAACCCGGAGCCTGCTCGTGACTTCCACGACCTGGAGAAGGCCTCAGAGCCGCTAGAGCCGCCAGAGCCGCTAGAGTTGCGAGAGATGGCCAACTAGCCCCCAACCCTTTGACCTCGCAACTTCTTAATCCAAATCTTGACTGCCCTCCTCAACCAGGCGCTCCAGGAGCAGGCGTCCCAAGCTACCTTCGGGGTCGGCCCCTGCCGTGGCATCGAGTTTGTTCAGGCAAGGTGGCGGGCCTGGGCTTCAGAGTGGCTTCAGGGGGCTACAGGGGGCTTGAGGGGGCTTCAGGCACCTTCTTACTGTAGGGGGGGGGGCTTTCACGGGCTTGAGGACTTGTAGGGTTGAGGGTTGCGATGATCACTAAGTCACTAAGTCACTAAGCCACTAAGCTCACTCCTGGTGGAGGTGAAGGCGGCGCTGCTCAAGGGCCTGGGCTTCATGAGCTTCTCGCGGGACGAGGAGAACTTCTGCCAAGGAAACGGTGACGGGTGCATCCCGCCACCTGCCTTTTCATGCTTCCGCCAGTATTGCCACACTCCGGGGGAGGTCCTGGTCTACATCATGACTTCGGGCCTTGTTCGGATTTCACTCAGTGCCATTACCTTCGCCTGCGCCACCGGAATGGTCGGGGCACTCCTGGCGGAGGTTCGGGCCACCATCGAGAAGAACAAGCAGGTTGATCCGACTTTACAAGCCGAGGATTGGTACACTCTCTTTTTGTCCAATCTACGAACTGTTGCCGGCATCATGGATGACTTCAAGTTTCTTCCAACTTTCTTTCTTACCTACATGATCGGACAAGATGTCTCCCGGTGGTTGCAGTGGCTTCGAACCATGTTCAGCGTGCAGGGCAGACTGCATGACGTGACGTTGGTTGTGGCCAGCTCGTACAGGAGGTTGAATGATCCAGCCACTGGCAAAGCACAGCGTCAGAGACTGTTTAGGTGGTACAGATATTTGAATGCAATCCATTACCTCGCCTACTTCAAGCTTGATCCTCGGGTGGGAGGATCGCCAGAACAGGTTGTGCAGGAGCTTCGGTCGGTGGGCCTGCTCACCGACGGGGAGGGCCAGCAACTCCTCTTCGCAAGGGCGAAGCTTCGTGACACGCTCGTGTCGTGGCTTGGCACGCTGTGGCACGAGGAGCTCGAGTGTGATTCGGTGCAAGCTGCAGACACGGAGACGTTCATGCGGAAGATGTGCGAGCTTCGTGGCATATTGGCCTCACTGGCAGACATGCCTGACATGCAGACGCCAGGGCCTCAGCGCACTGCCATCGCACTGACCCCACCTGACTCCACCCTCACGGATGTGTGTCATCTGAGGAGTCAGCTGATGAGGGTAATGATGGTCGTGGTCACAAACGTTCTGCTTGCTTTGGCGCTGGTGGGGTACCCGACCAAGATGTATGCTGAGACGAAGCAATGCTTTCAATTCTGGCCTTTGGTGGCCTCGTGCCTTTATTTCATTTGCTACAGGGGCATGCTGTTCCGTCCTCGGGGGGCTGAATTCGTGTAGCACGTGGTATGCAGACGGACTGCGGTTGCTCTGTGGGCCCTTGCATGCTCAGGCGTGTGATGTTCGTGTTGGACAAAGGCCCCTGCGTGAGCAAGAGTAGATGTAGAAAGCTCATGTGTTCGTCGTACTTTCTGCAGCCTTGTGTGACGACGCAGGCCCGTTCCATGCCAGTGGAGACTGTGTCAACGTGGACGCGCTGCTTGTCAGTACGGAGCGGTTCACTTTCCACGTGTTCCGCACATCCTTCAAGACCCTGAAGTCTGACTGTCAAGCCCAGCTTGGCCAAACGGTCCAAGCGAACACTGACTTCAAGCTGCGCCAGGGACTCCAGAATATTCCAAAGTAGAACCGAACCGAACGCCGATTTCATCAATGCATCGCCTACGCCCCGTTAAGGCCGCTCTGCACAGCTTCATGTAATGTGCCTTGCGGGAGTTTTGTCTAGTGTACAGCTATGTGGGCTATGTGGCTGAATTTATATAAACTCCATCTTTGCACAGCATCGACAAGTCCTTCGTATGAGGGGCTGTGATTTTCGGGTCTTGTTGGCAACACGCGCACAACGGCCGGCCAACAGGTCCATTGTTTCGCATTCTGAAAGTTATCGACCCAAGTGGGTTTCTGTGCTCTGCACTCTGCACGCAATTCGGAGAGACACTCCAGTGCCTCTGCGGCCTTACTCTCCAGAGACCAAAGGGGTAGCAAAATGTACCGCAGAATCTATACCCTCTGTGCCTATGTGTGCCTGCCCCTGCTGCTTTGCAGAAGCCGCATCACGTAAAAGCAACTGTCACCTGATCAGATCGACTTGCTCACCCGGATTTGACGAAGCCCTTGGCCTGTACCGGACTTTGTCTGTAAACCCAGCACCCCGGAATTGCAGAACCCCAGCCAAAGAAGGCCAAAGACTCAAAGACCTGAAGCTCACGTTATCGTCTGCCCTCCAAGCCCTGAGAAGCTGAAACTTCGGAGCCCTCCCATTGGGGCCGCAGAACCCCGAGTCTTGCCACTAGCGAGTTTCGGGTTGCAGCTTCGCAGAGCCTTGGGGTCCCACTGAGACGCCATGCCGAACGTTTATGAGATCAGGATCCGGGCTACAGGTGACATGGCAACCGTGCTTGAATATCAGCCATCCTCTTCTCATGCTTTCCGGGTGAGGCTCCCAAGTGGCCGTGCGGAGTGGCTGAAACAGATAGATGTCGACATGTTCGAACCTGTCCCTCCGGGGTATAAATATGACGATAGGGCGGTACAGGAGGAAGCACCGGCGCAGACAGGATTGCAGGAGCCCTTGCTGACAGGTGGACGGAACCGCGGGGGGTCTGCGGCTTGTGCTTACCTACAGGTCGTAATCGGTGTGATTTTGACCATAGGAACCGTTTTGTTGGCGATCGATCGGAACTCGCACTGTGACCCTGAAGATCTGCAGGGTGTGGAGCCACCCTACGATGGGAATCTGTTGCCTTTTCAGTTCATCCTCTCAGAGCGCAAGCAGTACATTCAGCTCTCCAAGATGATAGATGTATACGATGAGAATTGGGTCAGGATAGGCTACTTCTATGATCTCAACTTGTTCCTCTTTATGCGCTTCGGGTATTCGGACACATCCGGCCGGATCTGGTTTGAAGCCCGACGCCCCAGTCTGCTTACCCGCATCTTTCAACTGGGGAAGCAGTACTACCTTCAGCGGTGTGATGTCGGTGCCCGCGGCCGACATGGTGGGGTCTTCCATCTGAAAGAGGACTTCATGCAAGAGCCGTGGTTCTGTTTTCAAAACTGCTTGTCGATCTACAACATCACTCGCCGCTCTGCCAATCGTGAACATGCCGAAGGAGGAGACGTGCAGCCTATAGCGAACGCTGTGTTCAATTCCACGTTAGAGTGGTACCACAGAGGGATGATAACACCCAGCGCGAGGCATCGGTGGTACATGAACCTGACCGATGCAAGGGACGGGTCTGTCGTGGTCCTGGCCAAGCAGCGCTTTCGTCCCTGGCGCCGGATGTTCATGCAGGTGCTCCTGTCAAACTGGACGGTGGACATCTCGGAGGATCTGCCACTGCTGCCGAACTGGGTTGTCGGTTTCATGGCAGCGCTGGATGATGTGGATCGGGCAGATGATTAGAGAGCCAGGCAAGTGCCATCCGCATAAAGACAGGTCACCACATCCATGGTTGGAGCCAGTTGTTATATGAAGGCGCGCTGTATGCTATCAAAAGATGCTCGTCCTCCCCACCACTGGCTGAAGAAACAATGTCAGCGTCTTGGAATCCCTAAACCTGCAAAAGTACTGATTTCGCGCGCGTCGGACAAGTCGAGCGTCGAACTTTCTACAATGTAAGCATCAATTGCAAATAGTGGGTTGAGGTTGAAGCGCATATGTGATGTCGAACAGCTGCGCTTGCAAGCGATAGTGATTGAAATTCAGATGGTTTGAGGGTTTGGGCCACTTGAATTTTGGGTTCGGCCTCTGCATCTCGGGTCTCCTCGCCGCTCCCAAAGTCAGCTTCTGTGCATGCTTTGCCCCCAAGCCGTTGAAGCTGTCGTCTTTAGAACGCAGGCCTTGGGACCTGCTTAAACTTGCCAGGGTGATGTCGCATCAAGCTAAGCCTCGATCAACCTGAAGTTGCTGCCATGTCGGACGGCGTGCGGCCAGCGCTGATCTTGATTTGCCGCTGAGCCGCGCCCATGGTATCCAGCTTCCTTTGGTAGGGAAACCAAGATCTGAAGGATTCGAAGGATTTGTTTGCCAAAAGCCTGGAACTCCCCATGTGAGCCCGCGAGCCCGCGAGCCCGCGAGCCCGTGACGTCGCAGGTGGCCCCTCTGGCTCTGGCAAGTCAACCCTGGCGAAAAGGCAGCTCGACCTTCTGATTCGCAGTGTACGATCTGCTATGTACGTGTCGAGCTGTGGGGGGGGGGCGGGCCGTGCCGTAGCCTTTATTCATGTACTTACCCAGGCTCGGTGATGAGCTACAGGCAGCTGTGATTCACCAGGATGACTACTTCTTGAAGCCCTTCCTGCGTCGCACGGCTTAGTTGAGAGTGTTGAATCAAAGATTCAGCACACATTTCAAGGAGTCCCGAAGAGTGCCAGAGCCGCCACTCCTTGTTGCAGTCGGTTTTTTGGGGAGACTCCGAGGTTACCGGGACCGGGCCGCTTTGGCGTCGCAAGCAGAGAGCACGCCTTCCGGTTCACAAACTGTCCAATCTGTGTGCCCTCCCTGCCCAACGCCCCCCCTTCCCCCCCACCAATCAAAGGTAGATGATGCATATGAGGGGCCAGCAAACGTGGATTGGCCACGACTACAGCAAGACGCGTGCCTGGACGCTTGTTTAGCGAGAGAGAGAGAGACAACCACCGGCGGACTTCTTAAGACCCAACTCGGCCCGTAGAGTGACCAACGCGTCAACGGGCCACAATCTCACCGAAAGACAGACCTGCGGGCCAGCGTGGCTGGGCCTTCCTCAGGGGGGGGCCTCTCCGCTGTGGAGAGAGGGGCAGCATCTCAGCTTCAGATTAGGATGCTGCGTGCTGTTCTCCATAACCTAACCAAGCCAGGACACGGCATCTACAGCAAACGTCAGTCGTCATGGAGGGTCATCTGCTTGCTTTGGACGAGGCCGCACCTCCCAAACCATCCACAACCCGAAATCCTAACGCCTAAGCCCAAAAGTCGCCAAACGATTAACTCTAAACGCGCCGCAAACCACAAGGGGCAGAAGGGAAGCACTAACCCCTGAACCTAAACCCTCAACCTACCCTGAACCCTGACCCTGAACCCTGAAATTTAGGCCTACCATGAACCGGTGGCAGTGTGGAAGCCCTAAACCCCCAAGCCTAACCCTGTAAACCTTAAAGCCCGAAACCACGAACCAGGGAGGAGGAGGGGGAGAGACGTGTGGGCGACGATCAGGAGCTGGTTTCAGCAGCAAGGCTCTGCGTGATTCTGACATCTACCGCAGAAGTGTGCCCCGAGGCTGCAGCTTCATGAACCCAGAGGGCCTCAACCCTTATCAGCCTCACAGCTTGTAAGCCCGCCTCAACTTTGTAAGCCCCCGCTCCCAACCCCTCCCCCCCCAGGCAAGAGCCGGCGACTGAACCGCCGGCCCCGGCCGGCCGAAGAGCTCCAGGAGCTCGAGGCTTCAGCTTCTTGAGGGTTGCTGTCGTGCAGGGAAGTCTTGCAGACTTCGGGCAGGAGACCCTTGTGAGAGCCCCCCCAACACCCCCCTCGTAGAAAGACCCGAAAACATCCGGACCGTTTTGTTCAATACGAGTCTCGCGGCGCTTCATGGGGCTGAAGGGCTGTGAGACCTCAAAAGGATGCTCCCAGGCCATACGGCAATCTTTTTTGGAAGTCCTCAGCTTGGCGGAGTGTGGGCAGGGCTCTGCTCTTGCATTCTTGAGCCGTGGGCAGGATTATTTTGACAAGTACGTGTGGCCTTCCTTCGTGAGGCGGCCGGGCTGCACAATAAGGCCTAGCCCTCGCTCAAGGCCTCGAACCCTTGAAGTTTAAGGTCTCCTCAATCCAATGATCCGAAGACCCTAATCCCCAACCTAGAAGCTGCAGCTGTTGTGGAGTCAAAGCGGGCTCGGTGTGTCGTTGTTTTGGAGCCTAGCTGTTGTGTTTTAGGTATGTTTGGGAGCTTTAGGCATCTAGGGTGTTCCTAGTTAATCGTCATTAATCGTTTAGGACACCCGGACACGGTAACCTAGCCCGACATGATGAAACGGCCTTTAGGTATGGGCAGCCTGCCTTGGCAGCCCTTGAGGAGCTCTGTGGCCCGGCTGCGTCAGGAAACGTGGCCTAAGGGCTACAGTTACAGGGTAGAATCGTGCAGTAGCGTGTAAAAATAATAATGAGAGTAGAACTGGAACATGGCATAATCGTATACTCAAGCCCTGAAAAGATCACGAGCCACTTTAACCCAGAGACCCGATTTGTTCTAGAGGTTTTTCGGGGCTCCCCCGGGTTTCGAGATGGGTTCCCGAAAAGGTTTCTGGGGGTGTCCGGGTCCACTGTCTGGAATCGATATGCCGCTTACAGGGTGAAAGGTATTGGAAGCCTCATCGAAGGCCGGGATGCCGGCAAGTCTCTGCTGGTTCTGGATGCCGCGCAGGAGCTGGCCAAGCTGGCATCTCAGCTGCATGCTACATGCTGCTACAGTAGCTTTCAGACTTTCAGGGCTCTTCTTGAAGAGGCAGGAGACACCCGAGCTGGTGATGTTCCGGGCTTGGCTCACGCAATGTTTCCTGGGCGTCAGGATGCGTCAGGATGTCTTGCGGATCGAGGTCGGGTGGAATCCTAGTTTCAAGACCGCCTTGGAACCAAAAAGGGGGGGGTCCGGGACTTCTTGAATAATTCTCGGCACCTCTACGATGAGCTGTTACCAACACTGGCAGGTGGACGAGACCAGCGCTGCCCTTCGTCGCTGAGTGCCGCTGCGCGACGTCTGGCGGCTTGGGCCGGTTGACGCAGAGTTGGGGACACGGTGGGCGACTCCGGGGAGACAACTTGCGTGAACAAGAATCCGATGTCTGTACGAGCGAAGAGAAGTTGCGGGAAGAACCGTTTTCACCTTTGCTCCAGCGGCGCACTGAGACCACATCACCGTGGTTCGAGGAAAAAGAATACTGGCTTCCATGCTACAGCGCAGTCGGGGGCTGATGTCGTGCAATGTTTTGCACATGTCGGATGACTCAAATGACGGTCGGCAAAAAAGACCAGACCAGAACGGCGAGGAGGTCACTGGCAATCGGAAAGCGTGCGCACCGAGCCGATTGAAGAGCGCCAGATGGCCCCTCACCTGCAGATCTTCGCAGACCAGCTTTACCTTCGCACTGGCGTGGCCAGCTGGACACGGGGGAATGACAAGCCTTGCACCGTTGATCACGCCCCGCCTGCCTAGATGCAAAAGCGGAGGGACCCTCGAGTTTTGTGTGAGGGGTGCTTCAAGTTTGGGTTCAGGCTTGAGGTTCAGCTAAGGAGTGCACGGGGTACTATGCCTGGTGCCTGACTTCGACTCTAGAAGTCTAGGCCCTGCATCCCGAAACCTAAGCACACACTACAGTCTGCGCTTAGGCTTTTGTGCTTTGGACCGGGAACCGCGGTTTAAAGAGGAGTCAGGTAACCGATGCCGATGACGACAACGATGGAGGTGCTGTCGCAAGTCAGTTCGCACGCCTTCATGTGCGAATTCTGCAGGCAAGCTGAAGGATCACAGACGTAGCTTATTTTGAGACTCGCAAGTTGTGATTCAGCCTTTCATTCACACATTGGACATTCTTTGCGACTGCGAAATTCGTACTCCCTGCCGCCTTTCTCTAGGCTCACTTTCGGGCGCCATGCGCAATGGCACCGGTGGGCGCGTGTCCCAACGACTGCAGGACACGCTGCTGCGCTATGGGCAGGCTGAACGTGTTGACGTGTGTTGACGGGCCACAGTCAGCCTGAAGCCGGCAACACTCGGAAACCCCCCCCCTCAAAGCCTCAAAGGCCTAAACCCGAAAGCTGGGACTCTCGTCTTGATTCTGTCGACCTCCTATACCGACCCCACCCCAAAAAACCCCAAACCTACTCCTCAAATCCTGAGAATCCGCCGGACCCTGTCGAGGTGGGCCTGGTAGTGCACTTCTGCTTGTCGGGGAGCCTTGCCTGCCTTGATGTGAAGTCTTTGGGGCATTGGGGTTGCGGGAGGCAGCGCGCTTGGGGCTTTGGGCGGGAGTTTGAAGGGCTTCTTTTTTGGGCTATTTCGGGCCCATTTCCCAGGCGCCAAGTGAACCCAGAAACCCTAAGCCTAAAATCCTGAACAAGCACCTAACAAAGTCGAGGATCTCCATCTTCTCTTGCTATCTGGCCGTGCGGCATCAGCTGCCCATGGATCGGCTGCTTGAGCTGGTCGGCAAGACTCAGGACATGGATCGGACCAGTGTGGGCCATGTAGGCCCTTAACTTCTTCTAAACCATAATGTCTTGGAGGCTTCGGGGGGTGTTTGCGGGACTTTGCGAGAACCCGCAGGAGACCAGCGATTCCAGTTCAGACGCCTTGAGTGCGGGGAGCAGCCTTTTCATGGCCTTCGTGATTCACAAGGCGCTCGGGTAGGCCTGTCGCAGTTCGGCGACAGGCAGGGCTTGCTGATCACAAGCTGCAAGGATGACACTGCCTTAATCCCTATGCTGCCCTGCACCCTCTGCATAAGTTAACCCCCCCTTCACCCCCCCCGGCCATCACCCCGCCGCAAAGGCCATCATGCCATTGCGGGTGCCCGTGACCGTGGCAGTGACTCCGCTGGCTGCTCGAGTTTGGTGGCACTTTTCCAAGCGGTGACTTGCACCGCCCCTGAACTCCTCGAATCAGCCCCCAAGAATGTACCGGAAGCGCCCCCAAATCCGAATCCGCACCTTGCGGTCTGTTTGGGGGGCTCCCCGGGATCTTCAGAGCAGGCTGGAGGGCGTCTTATCCCAGGAGCCTTACAAGCAGACTGCAGCTGAGTTGCCTTGACGCAACAGGTGCAAAAAATGGTCTCGTAGCAAGTCACTCTGAAGCGGTGCTGCTTCTGACCTAGACCTTATGCCGTCAACATTCAGACATCTATGCCAACAATCCTACCCCTCTAAGCTGTGCTAGAACATCAGTGTGTTGGGGCTTTGTTGGGCCTTGTTGGGCTTGGTGAAAGGGCTCATGGCTTCACAAATCTTCACAAGGGCGGAAAGGAAGAACAGATGCAAAGGGAGCAGGAGCGGAGCAGGAGCTGAGCAGGTGCAAGAGTGATAATACAGCCCTAAAAGCCCCGAGCTCCTACAACGGTGCAGCAGCCTTGCAGAATCCTGAGTGAGCTTATACTAAACTCACAGCATGGCTAGGGCGACGAGCAAGCAAAGCTCCCAGAGTCTTGAATCACAGACCAGGTCTCGCCCAAAAGGACCCTATAGGAGTCGGTTGACGAAGTTGTTGACACTCCTGTCCGGAGGGTTTTGCCTGGAATTATCTAGTGCATTATGTGAACCAACAGGTAAGACGATGACACTGAAGTGACATGCGTTGATTGATGAACGGACGCACAAGCCCCCGAGGACGGGTCCTTTCACGCAGTCTTCACGATACTTGTGCCCCACTTCCCACCCAACTGCTGTGCCCACTGCTCCCTGTATACAGTCGACCCTACCCCGCCCTTCACAGCCCTACACACTGCTGCCTCATACCTGGATCGGTTCAAGGACCTCGGCATAAACATGACAGCTGCAAAGGAAACATGGGCCGGAAGCTGTAGTAGCTGTAGTGGCTTTTGGGATCGTGTACGGTTAGCGGCAGCGGCCGCTGCGGCAAAAGTCTTGGGTCCTGAGCCTCATCTGCCGAGCATCGAATGGCCCAGTTCGCAGATGTGGTCCGGCCCCGAGCTTTCTCCACCCCTCGCGGCCCTAGCCCATGCCGGCAGGGATTTCAGATGGGGAGTCTCCGGAGTTCAGCGTTGTCGGGAGCTGCGGAGTTTTGTTTGGGGATGGGTAGAATTTTGGTTTAGGCAGTTGCAGCTTGGCGGCTGCATGTTTCATTGTCTGGGGGTTGCCTGTTAAAGTGGATCTGTTATGTGTCGCTGGCTTTGCAACGCGGGAAAGTCACACGGCCCAAGCACTTTGACAAATACCTCACATCCAGGGCAAGAGCAATGTCTGAGCCCCAAGGCCCAAGGCCGCCATAGCCGAAGACCATTCTAGAAGCCAACCCGAGCCATCGAAGGCTGCGGCAGCAGCCTGCCTCCATGGGCTAGGTTTGCGCCTCGAGTCTGGATTTCGGGCCAGCTTCGAGCACTTTTTGATATCTGGCATCCGTCGCCTTATGCGCGCTTGGGGATCTTGGGGTCTTGGGGCATACGAAAAGTTCCTTTGCCGTGTTTCTTGCTTACACATGAGGGCTTTGCCGGGCTTTGCACGGTCAGAAAATCGCCTGGTCGCCTGTTGTCATCTCCTCCAAGCCATCATATCAGGAACCTACCTGATTTTGCGACTGATGGCCTTCTGAGATTTTTCATACCCGAGAGCCCCCCATGGCTTTCTGGCATTATTGCCCATGAGCCACTGAGCCTGGCTGAGACCGGTCGGACCTGGTGCGATGCCGGGCAGCTTGTCAAGCACTCCGCGAGAGTGCCTGCGACCCGCTCACGGCCCTCCTGGTGAAGGTGCCATGGGTGGGGAGTCTTTGGGGACTTGGGGCTGGGGCTCGGGTTCAGGGTTTCAGCTCAGGCATGAGGCGATGATGAGGCATGATGAATCATGATGAGGTGTTCGGATGTAGATACTTGGGGGTAGGCTGGTGATTGCCGGGAAGTGCAGTGGTGCACTGTTGCACGCTTCCGGAGGACTGTTCAGGATGTGGGTTCGAGAGGGTGCGAATGCGAGCGGGATTGAGGGTCAATGCAGAGATGCATTTCGTGCTGGGGAACAACTCGGGATCTAGAGATTTCAAAGGGTTGGCGAACAATTCTGGATATCGATTCTCAAAGGGTTGGCTACGGTACGCATGATAACAGCACAACCCTCTGGCCCTATGCTTTGTTGGCTTGTTGGGGCTGCTGAGGGCCGACCCACACCCACGCGAGCCGAGCAGCGTGCCCGGGCCACGGCTGATTCATCGCACCTTCGAGGTTTACAGATGGAGGTTTTGGGATGGGGTACCAGGATGCATCCGTATAAAGGTCCGGAGTACGACTCTCGGCTAGGCGTGGCAGCATGTTGGGTCAATATCATACTCTCGCCTAGGTCTTGCCTCCTCCGCAGATTCATATGATCTCTTCCTTTTCTTGTTCTCGCCCCCAGTCCTGTGCGCATTCCGGAGTTCAAAAGCTTTAATTGCGCTCCTGCCTGTGTGCACGCTCCTTGCGCAGAACTGTCATAGCTTTTTGGGCTTTGGATCGTGCTCCCACCCTACATTCCTGGCCTCACTTTCCTTGTTCTCCTGCCCCAGTCCCGTGAACATGTGTAGCATTGAGATGTCCACGATAAATGTTTTCATCCAAACTATCACAATCGGCTGGCGATCATTTTCTTCATTTTTGTCGTGGCCATACACGCTGGCATAGTGTTTAGTTTTCCTTGATCGTGCGCGGCGCGCCAAATGTAGAGGCCCCAAAAGCGAGAACATTCAACCATAAACCCTATACCCTAAACCCTTAACCCTAAACGGCCCCAAGCCCCAAGCCCCAAGCCCCAAGCCCCAAGCCCCAAGCCCCAAGCCCCAAGCCCCAAGCCCCAAGCACTGAAGCATGCCTTGCAGATGCAGATTGAGGTTGCTGCACTTCGGGCCATGGGCAGCGCCCCAGACTCAGAATCCCCTCTGCAAGAGGCGGCTTGGAATTCGTTTAAAACATGGGCCCGTTGGACTTAAAAGTTCTGGAAGCCGAACCAACGTGCCAACAACCACCTCCCCAAGCCGAGGTCAGTGCGCCAAAGGATGCGCACAGGCAGACGGTTGCCAATGCAGCAGCAGGCTTTCTGAGAGACAAAGAGGTCGGGGTGCCCAGCTTCCTGACACGCCTGGACCCCTGTGTAAGGCCTCCCTGGAACCCTCCTCGAAATCCCCACCGCTCCTGACCCACCACTTACCTCTGGCATGGACCCCGGACCTTTCTGGGCTGTGAATCTGACTGTTTCAGAAAAGAATCTGAAAACAGTTGAGCTGTAAGCCTAAGGGTGCTGTGGCCGCCTGACATGTCGTGGGGTGGGATGAAAATGTTCCACAACTGGGTCAAAAACAGCAAACCCGAACTTCTAAACCCTAAAGCCTAAACCCCACAGCCCAAGCCCTAAGAGCGGAAGAGCGGAGCAACAGGGCAACGGAGCACAAGGCGCCTCCCGGCTGTGGGAGGTGGGCGAGCGACCTGGGCTTGCGCCATAGAGGTCGAGGGGCTTAGGCGCCGACTGCACTGTAGGGCGCCTAAGCCTTGAGTTTAGGGTGTAAAGTTTCGGCTTTACGCAGATCTTCCGCGGAAGTGTGATTTGATGCTTTTGCTGCAATCAAGCTGCGGTGTAGATCTGTTCACCAGATGGTGCCCCCTTGCCATCTGCGCCATCTTTCGCCCAGCTTCTTCTTCTCCGCCGACGTTTCCTTCATGCGTTTCCGAATGGTCTTTAGCGGTTCTCTGTCTGGTTTTGCTTCTTGAATGGCCCGGCAATGCTTTCTCAAATTCGCTTCCAGAATCTCGCTTTCACGTGCCTGTTCGCCCTCGCTTTCCGAAGTTTTTGGTGGTAACGCTGGGAGAGGAACGCTGCAATTTCCCGAAAGTAAGTCCCTTAGTTAAAGGCCAGATAGTCACGCTGCTGCAAAATGGCGCCCCAAAACATCAAAAAGCGCTCGCCAGGGCCACCCCCACACCAAAAGGGCCCAACTCTTTGCGAGACGTGTGCATCCTTGTGCCGCTTCCCTGCAAGGCATCCGTTCGCCTTGTGGCCGTGGCCACCTTCGCTAAGGCAGCTGCCGGCTTGGCGCGCTCCGGCAAGTTGTCTCATGGTGTCAGTTGACGTGATTTTTTCAAGTCCAGTTTTTTTTTTGAAGTTCAAGTCTTGAGTTTGCACAGGGGTCTCTGATGCATCATGAAGTGCCCCAAGCCCTGAATGCTGACCTGTTCTTGGTGCGGGGATGCCAGGAGGACGCTGCAACTACAGCGGTTTCCGCGCTGGGCCCTGTGTGCCTCGGACGGGGGCAGCCTAAAGAGCTTTCATGACCCTGGACCGTAACCACCGGAATCTCTAGACTCTGGACCCTGAAGAGCTGCAACCTCTTCTGACGTAACCAGTCTTGTTTGGATAGCTCTGGCTGCCCTTGTTGCAGGTTCGTGCTGTAGAACTTTCCTCATCGTCCTTGCTTGACAGGGCCCAGCCCTGGAACCTTAAGACCTGAAGGACGAAGCTCTTGAGGCAGCAACGTAAGACTTTGCACCATTGCACCCTAGTGTCCCGAACCTTCCGGCTCGAAAGAACCCAAGTCCGCCTCAGCTGAGGATGACAGATGTGGACCCCGGGGTTGCGGCCTCTGGGGGTTGGGCCAGGGCGGGCTTTCTGCTGGAGCTCTTAGTCTTAGTTGGGATTCAGGCGGATTCAGGCCCGAAATAGACTAAACACTCCATCGAGACATGGTCGAGGCCTTTACGTTTCGGCACAGATGGCTGTAGGGACTTGGCGAGTCTTATCAGGCGGTTTCACGGTTTGGGCTTCAATGCTTCAGTGCCTCACCCGTCTCCAACCTTTGCCATCTTTGTCCAATTTTCCTAAACTCCCGAATCCCATCTACTTCCTCCCAGGTGAATGCTGCGGCTGGGAGGGCGCTCCTCCGCCTAGTGCCCCGAGAGCACTGCGCCGCCAAGCAGGCTTTGTCGGGACTTGGCCCGGTGTTTACAGACTGTCGGCGGGTTTTGGGGTTCCCGCGAGATTCACCGACCTTTAAAACCCGAAGCAAAGGTCAGGGCGACCCAATAGGCCGTGACGTCAACCCCCTCAAGCCTAAAACGCTCGAAATGGCCAGAGACCAAAGTCTCGAGAGCCTTTGAGCCCTCAGTCCTGGAAGTTGCCATCCCTCACCACAATCAAAGCCCCAACACAGAGACCGGGGGAGGTGGCGAGCCTGGCCCGCCGGCAGATGCGAAATCGAGATGAGTGGGTGCCGGGCTCAGCATCTTTGGGTTTTTGGGTGGAGTGGTTTAAAGTGGGTTGAGTGGCTTGAACGGGTTTAGGGAATCCTGCGTGAAAAGGGGCTCTTCAGGGCCCTCTGGTCCAGATGCTTCAGGTGATCTGTGCAGCGCTGGAGGCCCTGGCGCGCTTTGCGGGGAAATCCGACGCCCTGGTGACCTGGACTTTACGGAGTTTCCGGGTGGCTCTTTGTTTCCTTGTTTCCGTTTGCTCCAGAGATCCCAGAGATCCCCAGACCTTCCTCTCCTTCACTGGATCGCGCTCTTGCAATGACCGAAGCCTCAGCCCAGTGGGTCGAAACCCCGATGCCGCGAAAGCCGCGGAACTTTGAAGCACCAGCCCGACATGCAACCAGCAAAGGTTCAAGAAGTCGCCCCGTTGGTCCGAGGGAGTCCACTGTGGTGGCCCAGCCAAGTCGAGTTCCGGGCTTTGTGGGCTTGGGCTTCGTGGGGGCCTGTGAAGAAGGGTGAGAGATGGTGAGAGGCTTAGTCTCGCGCTACTTCAATGGGCTTCGCGATCTGGAGGTTGAGAGCTAGGCGTTTTGTTTTGTTTTTGGAGGGGGGGTGGCTTCTGCTTCTTCTTTCGTTGATGAGAGAGCAATGAAGGATGGATGTCGTCCAACGAATGGCAGTTTAGGGCTTTGAAGCCTTAACACGTGCCCTGCTCAGCACCCCAAGAGCCACTCAACGCCCTTCAAACCATCCTACTGAACGGCAGCACTCCAACACTCCCAGCGGCTGACCCCTAAGGCCCTAAACCCTAAGCCTAAGCCCCCGAACTTTTGTTTCTCCCCTTCTGGGTCATGGAAAGGACGGTGCGCCTCGCAGCCGCGAGGGCGCTGCCAGCTCTGGCTCCTCGAGGATACGGCCAGAGTTGGTGTGGCGAGACGGTTTGGGGATGTTTGGGGATGTTTGGAGATGGTTGTGGATGTTTGGGGCGTTCCTTCTAGGGAGCTTCTGTGTTTGGGTTTGGGATCAGCTGCTTTTTCCAAGCACCTACGCTTGCGCTACGAAACCTCTGCAGACACAGCTTCTGCAGGTACCCGGCCGTAAGCTCTCTCTATCCCAAAGCCCGAACAATCCGACTGGTAAGAACGTTCACACCGTTCATGGGCTTATAAGTGGTTTACATGGAGGGCTTGGTTTTCATAGGGTTTATCGGGTTTACGTAGGGTTTATAGGATATAGGGTTCGAAAACCGCTTGGCAGGAGATGCCGTCGCTTGTGCCGCCCTTAAGGCCTTGGATGCTCTGGAGGGTCCAAGGGGTTTGCTTGGATTCGTTGTCAGGATCAGACTCGTGCGGGTGTCGGCGGTCCCGTAAGAATCTGATTGTCCGAATTCCTCGAGTTCTTTTGACGCCTTCTTGAAAGAGGCAGGGGCAGACGACCATCAGCCGGCGGTGCGGCGCGTGGCTGCCGCAGCGCTGGCCGGGGACTCTGGCGGTGTATGAGTCGTAGGCCAGTCAGCTTGAGGAATGATGGTGGGTTGAAGTGCTCGGGGTGGGTGGCCACAGGATTCAACAAGTTGGGAGCTTGGCGGGCCCGGGCCCGGGGCCATGACACTCGGGAGACCGTGGTCTAGTTTATGGGATGTCGCGCCGGGTCGCGCTCGGTTCACTGATGTCCTTTGCCTCAAAAGCCCCGAGGGACATGTCACTCGGGGTGATGGGGGGCGGATGAGAAGGGGAATTGAGCTTCTGCTTATGTCCTTTGGGGTTTTCTGCCAGCTCCAAACAAGCGGCCTAAAATGCTGAGATCCATCTCGCCGCCTCGCCGTGGCAGCCGCTGCTGGACAAGAAGGACAACTTTCAGACTTTGTTTAGGAAGCCCTAAATGGGAGAGGCACATGGTTGTAACAACTTGTAACATGTTGCAGCAACTGACACAGGATTTCACAGGTCTCAGGTCCAGGCCCGAACTCGAGTCCGAGCTCTGAGCGCTGGCGAGGCGGCGGAATGGGAGGCCGCACGGAGGCCCAAGAGGAGGAAGGCAGAGGGTTCGAGACACGGAGGGTCATGAAGTTAACGCTGCTTTTTGTTGTTGTTTTGGGTGAGTAGGGGGAGTAGGAGGACGATGACGACAAGGGATGAACGATGATGACGTCAGATACTTTGGTATCTTGCGGCGATCACCTAGGCAGCTTCAATTTCTCAGGAGTTTGTTTCAAGAGGATCCACGAGTTGTTTCGGGAAAGGGCTTGTGGCCCGGGGCCAAAAAATCCTTTCTTGAAGCCATAGGCCCTAAGTGTAACTTGCAAGTTACTTCGCTCCTCAGGTATGTTGAGGGTTGAGCAGTTTGCGGGGGCTTGGGGACTTGTCCGCAGAGCTTGAGGAGTCCTAGTCCGGGCTTGAAGCTCTATGCCTGTGTGGAGGTGGCGCGTGCCGGCACGGCTTGGTGATGGGGACCAGCAGAGTTTTTTGTCTTGGAGCTGCCTTGGGGCTTGGGGAACTACGGTAACTACGGCCTGACTGCCCTTGTTTGAGTGGCAGTCACTGTGCCAGCTGGTTCCGTCTCTAATTGTTTCGACCATCGAAGAGCGGACAACGGGGTTTGCGGGGGTTGCTCAGGGGACTTTGCGAGCTCTGAGTGGCCGAAGGGCTTGGACTCAGAGGCTGCTGGCATGGAAAAATGTATTGCGGCGTATTGCGTAGAGTTGCGTAGAGTTGCGTAGAGCTGCGTAGAGTTGTGTCGCGCCCTTTGTTGGCAGGCAGTTGGCGGCTCACCTGTTGCCGTTGGGCTCAAGGTGAGTCGCTCCGAACACTCACAGGCCGATCGAGGCACCCGTAGGCCCTGCCACGCAGTGCGCATGGCAATGGGCCGCAATGGAGTTGGATCGCTGCTGCTGCTGATCTGCATCGCGTCGAGCCGTGCTAGCGAGTCCTTCGACGCCTTCGACGCGGCGCCTGCGGCAGCGTCCAAGGAGTCCAAAGCGTCCAAGGCAAGCCCCGAACCCAATTCTGAACAAGCCCACAAAACAAATCAGGAGAGGGAGAGAGGCACAGAGAGAGAAAGAACGGTAGCACGTGCCCCTTGGGGCGCTCTTCCTTCCGGGGGGATCACATGCGCTGGAAGGAAGGAAGGAAGGAAGGAAGAGAAAGAAAGAAAGAAAGAGCAGGGCAAAGAAAGACAGGGAGGGAGTCTTTTCGGAGAGGGGTTCTAAAGCGTGCAGATGAAGAAGAGAGGGATGAGGGGGTGAGTCTTTGGACACCCCCACCAGATCTTTGAGAACACCACCTTCCTGCCCGCGTGCAGACCGCCCCAAGGGGTTTGTCCAAAAGAAGCCCCTCGAAAGACAGACAAGAGCGCTAGCGCGCAAGTGCCAGAAAGAGGCCGCCGCCAGCTCCAAGCCCCACCGCCTCGAGCACCTCCGCTTCCAGCGCAGCCTCGTGGCCGACACGGCCGAGGAGGCGGCGGAAGTCCGTGCCAAAGAGAAGCCGCTGGGTTTTGTTTTCGGGATGTTCATGGCAAAGGTTACGGACTTAGGGCAAAGTTGAGGGTCCATGGTTAAGTCCTGGCTAGGAGAAAACAAACCATTTCTTTTCCTAGCCCTGGCTAAGAGAAAACAAACCAGCCACGTCTAAGAAAAAAACGCGTCCGGGCCCGTCGGCGTGTTCTTACTTTCCTAGCCTTGGCTGAAAGCTGCAGGCCCCGCTGGCAGAACCGCATAATATGGCCACGGTTAGGAAATACACCTACATTAGAGTCGCAATAAGCAGGCAATCCTGATAGTTTCGTACCAGCAAGCAAACACGACACCAAACGCAAAAAATGTCATTTGGAACGCGCCCGAAGTCAACGTATCATTTCAGAACGCGCGCACACGCACGTTTGAACGTGTCAAAACCGACGCGTGGTGCTTGATCCTGTCTTCTGGGCTGTCTCCTTGTGTTCCAAAATGACACTTTCCTGTGTTCCAAAATGACGCTTTCTTGTGTTCCAAATTGACGTTTTCCTGTGTTCCAAATTGACCCCTTTTCCCTTGCCGGGAGGACTCAGGCTTCTTCAGGCTTCTTTTACAATTCTTTTACATGTTTTCAGGTCGTACTCTGGAGCCGCTGCAACCACCAGCTATATAGGAGCAGCGACCGAAACCGCGAAACCCTATCCTTTGTCCATCTTAGTCCCGAAGACCCTCCAACCTTGAACTGCAGGCGCTCCGACCCTCGGATCCCTAAACCCTAAAACACCCTCAACGTTGCTTCCAACCACTAGCCTCTTGAAACATCTTCCAGGCCCCAATCTCCGAGTACTAGGAGTTCCAAGCCGCCCAGCCTGTCAGCCGTCAGCTCAGGAAGGTCTTCGAGCAAGGGGAGCACACTAGGGCCCGCAAGGCCAGGTCGAAGTCTTATTGCACTGGGAGAAATCTTGGTGCTTTGCAGATTCCAAGGGGGAGAATCGGGCCCACCACTTTGCAGGTTTGGGCTTGGGGGTGGGAGCTTCTAACGTTTGGCTCGTGGTTGGTTCTGAGGTCAGGGGCCTTGGCCTGCGCAGAACCACGTGAGAACCACGTGCGAACTTTGAACCGCTCCGCTGCACCCTCTGAGTTCAAGAGGGCAGGCACACGTCATGGAACAGTCTTGCAGAGGCCCTCTTCGAGAAGCGCCTCGCAGCCTGCTACGGGGACGACGCGTGTCGCAAGGAACGCAGGGCAGGGGGAGAGGGGGGTGCAGCGTCGTTCTCGGGGCCTTATCTAAGTTCACCGTTCCAGGGCTGTGGGATCGGACCAAGGGATCTGAGTTGTAGGACACCGCCGTTCACCTAAACTCACATGGTAGTCCGGAAGGCTGTGGCAGCGCGGCAGCTGGAGATCGAGCACCAGGCATCGGACGCGTGATGAAAGAGCGGACCCAGACTTCAACCTTGGGCCCTAGAACCCCTCTAGCTCACTCCAAGTTCGACAGCTTCTTTTTTCAAGGTGGCCAGCGGCACAGCGCCTGCTGCTGTAGTCGAGGGTCGGGAGGAGCGCGGGAGCGAAGCGGCACTCCCCAAAACTCCCAAAGCCCCTAAACCGCAAATATGGTGCAGTTGCCCAGGTACCCCCTGTGGGATCGCACTTTTTCATCTGCACAACCGCAATCCAAAACATGTGGCACCAGGTGAACCCTAATGTGCAACATAAAAAAGGCACCTTGGGGCCTAAAGTAGTGGCAGTGGTGAGGAGTCCTGCTGCAAAAAGGGTTTTGGGGTTTAGAGTTTCAGGGCTTAGGGATTTCAAGGTTTTGTGGGTTTTGGGCTTGAAGGGTTGTCGGGTTTGTTTAGGGTTGCATGTTTTAGGTAGGGTTTGGGGCTTCAGGGTCTTAGGGTTCAGGGGTTTCTTAGTACCAACAATTTGTTCTCCATCAAAATCTATTCCAGAGGAGAGAGAAGTTATAGCTCCTCAAGAAAGAACAAAATGATACAACACAATCATGTAATCCGAGATCTAGAGCATTTCCAAGAACTACTCCTATGTGTGAATAACAGTTCATGTGAGAAGAAGACAGAACTAGTTCTACGGTGTAATAATGGTGAGGGTTTGCGTGAGGGTTTTGGGTTTAGGGGTGAGGTTGGGGAGGTGGGGGAGGTCAAGGAGGTGGGGGAGGTCAAGGAGGTGGGGGAGGTGGGGAGGTGGGGGAGGTGGGGAGGTGGGGAGGTGGGGAGGTGGGGGGGTGGGGAAGGAGGTGGTTGGTTGGTTTGGGAAGTCACCCGGCAAGGAGAAAACAGAGGAGGCTCCGAAGTCCACCGGATGGCTCAGGCCGGTACCATCTAAGTGTTTTCGCGGAGCTTTGGGGGGGGTTTTGAGGCTGTAGATGTTTGCAGGTTTGAAGCTTGCAAAGGGCTGAAGGCTTCAGGCTCAGGCTCTAAACCCAAGAATTTCGTTGATGTATGAGAAACATAAAGCTGGTCATTCATACATACATATATATATATATATATGCACACCAATAAATGTATTGCAAGGTCTGCGTTTCATGATGGCTTCTCGGCGATCATGATAAGAAAGGGTGCGCGCCTTCTAGGGATTCTAGGGGTGCGTCTCTCCATGGTGCTGTACTGAAGTTGGGCAACAAAAGTACGACTCTTGTAGCTGTTGCTCGACCATGACATTGGCATGTTGCAGTACTTCCGGTGCAGCTCCTGCCAGAAGCTGCACTCCACACTGATTACCGGGTACCGGGCCAGGAGCAATCATCCTGACCTGGCTTAGAGCAATGCTGACAAACAGCCGATAGCAAACCTTCAACACCTGCGATCAGCACATTCTGGGCTCATGTGGGGAGAGGCAGAAGATTGGGGCGGCCTTGGGCTATGTGCACGCAGCTTGGACATCATTATCTGCCTGACAGTTGGTTGACGCCTACACGCCGCAGAACCGACCGCGAAAGAGAGTTCCGGATCGAAGCCTCCCAAACAGATCACCAAAATGTAACTCCTTGGAGCTTTGCGTCGTTGTGGTTTGCAGATGACCTCGAGGCCTTATCTGGTTGAAATTTCAATCGTTTAAGGTAGGTGAAGGGGTGGCGGCCCGGGCTCGCGAAATGCTAAGCAATTCGCGGCTTTTGGATGCCAGGGCTCGCGAAACGTGACGCTGTCGATTTCGAGGGGCTCACGCAATGCGGAACGGCTCACTTTTGGATGTCTGGGCCTAACGACTTACTGGAGGGTTTTGGAGGTCTGGGCTGATTCCCCAAACAGTGCTTCGACCCTGAGAGGGTTCTAACGTGCAGGCTAGATCGGCCCGGGCGCCTCGCCCACTGCGGACCATGGGTCATTTTCTCGAGGCTTGCTCGCGTCTTGGACGAACATCGCGCTCCCGACTAGGCGCGGGCGCGCTCGCCGCCTTCGCTTTTGGACTTCCGGTCTCGCGAATTGCAAAACCTTTTTGACGATTTTGGACTTCTTGGCTCGCATGGCCTCCCACTGTTTGGGGTCTACGCAGGCATACTTGGGAAGAGGCATGTCAACATGTTTCCGCATAGCATGTGTGTAGACCCAGGATCTCGTTTCGAAGCCTCGCGAAGGCGGCATGTGAAGATTCAGTGTTGGGGTGACCCGGCAGCGCTAGAAGTTTCACCGCAGCGGATCGGAGTCGCTCTGCGCAGTGCAATCTGTGCAAACGCTGCAAACTGTGCAAACATGGAGCGGCGGTGCTTTCTTCAAGGCTTTGTGGTGCGATTTCGGGTTAGAAGCTTGGGTTCAGGATTCGGGCTTGGCGCCACGGGTTTTGCCTGCGAATCTGTCAAGATGTAATGCTAGCAAGGGCATTCGGTGAGGGAGTGCATTCGTTTCCGCAGCCCCCAGTGCTCTCCATCGCTCCTTCGCGGGAAGAGCATGGGCAAAGCAACTATTCCGCGCCGCAAGTGCCTGACGCTGAAGTCCCAAGTTCGACAGCGATTCAATGCACGGGCAGAGCCCGTGCCCATCCAGCATCTACCCGAGGTATCCCAGGAAGTCAACAGTATCCCGGATCCCCGTACCCCTGTCACAATCCGGTACACTACCAGACACCCCTCCATCTCCCAAATCCCCTCAAAACCCCAAAAGCCATGCCGGGTGCCTGGACATGACGACGCCGCAGAGAGCAAGCTCGGAGGAGAGCGAGGCATCGAACGCGGAGACTGTGGGTGAGGCCTCGTCGGGTGTGTGTGTGTGTGTGTGCGCGGCGTTTTCGACATGGCGTTTCATCACTGCGTCCGTGGATCGGGGGTGTGGGGTGGTTGGGGGCCCAGAAAAATTTCTAGAAGGTGAGAGCTGCGGGTGGGACCTGGCAAGCAGGGGACACCGGCAGTTGCTGTTTCGTGAAACGCATGAATGTGATTTAATACTTGGTTCATTCACATTCTTCTGCATGTTGTTGGGGGCTTGCGCAGCCGCTCGATGTAACCAAGCGCCAGCTTTACCCGAGGGGAGTTTGTTGAGCACCTTCCTTCGCACCATCGGTCTGATTTGGGCCTCGGCTGTTGCTTTTGACCACAACCACCCGCGCAACGACTTTTCAGCCACGCGCGCCAGATCTCAAGCGGCCTCAGGCGTGCAACTCAGCTAGGCGGGGGGGGTGGCTGCAGAGTTTTCGAGAACTCCTGAAAGGGCCGTTTTCATTGGCAGATGCAACGCTTTCACAATGGGGATTCACAGTTCGGAGGTCGCCTGCGGTCGGGGATCACAAAATGCGAAACTGTCGTTGCCTTTGGATTTCTGGGCTCGTGGGATGCGAAGCTGACGTCGCTTTTGAAGGCGTGTGTGCGTGCGAAACACAGAGCTGGGCTTAAACTCTTGTGGACGTCTGGGCTTACGAAATGCGAATCTGTCCGCGCTTTTGGGTGCCATGGCTCACGAAAAATCGAAACTGTCGTCGCTTTTAGACGTCTGCGCTTGCGGAATCTGAAATTGTCCACGCTTTTGGAGTTCTGGCCTCTTGAAAGAAGCTGAGGACGTCCGTTCGGAGCTCCCGTGGCTCCAAAGTCGTTGTAGTACAGACGTAGAACGCGTTTCATGGGGTCATCTTGGAGTGCTTGGTTGGAGGGCCTGCATTTTGTTTGGGCCTTCGTTTGTTGGGGGAGTAGCCCGTTTTGACACAAGGCCTTGGGGCTCCACTGATGTTTGGAAGCACAAATTCTCTTTTGACACGGCGCTTCGGGGCTCAAGTGTATGACCTCGGAGTTGGGGCACCGAGATGGTCTAGTGACCCCACCACGAACCGCTTCAGGCTGCCGATGAACCAGTGCCGAAGAGCGAGCTGAAGCGTTTGCGCAAGGCCGAGCGCAAGGAGCAGAGAAGGCTGCATGCAAAGGAGCAGAGGCCGGATGCACACCGTTTCCCGAGAGTGTCTTTTCCAATTCAATGAACTGGTCCTGGTAGCTTCTGGCAGAGTGGGCTGAACAGTATCCCCCGCAGGCAGCAGAAGAAGAAGATGCAGAGGCAGCGAAAGCAAGAGCTGCGGCAGGAACACCTGGAGTCGCTGAGCGCGGCAGAGAGAGCCGAGTTCCTGGAGAAGGAGCGTGAGGCCCACGGAAGATTGGATGGAGCGAATCTTTCTTGCCCTGAATCACCTGCTGCGGATTCTTGCAGTCGGTGGTTTGGGATTCAGGGTGCCAGGTTCAGAGGTAAATGAATACAGGGTGCGTCGCACCAGGCTGGAAAAGAGAGGAAGGCGGCCATTCAAGCGACGCTGGACCACGCCTTCCAGCACGGCCGGCCACGCATCGCCATCAACTGCAGCTTCAGTGACACGATGGACGTGAGGGAGCTGACGTCCTTGGCCAAGCAGGTTCAGTTGGCGTATACGCAGACCAGGGACTCGAACTCCAAAGTGCAGCTGCACATCACCTCTCTCCATGCTGAAAACCCGGTGATGCGATCGCTGGAGTCACAGGGCATGAAAAGCTGGAAGCTACATCTGCATGAGGAGTCGGTCTGGGATGTCTTTGCCTCGGAAGCAAGGCACTGGGGATGTGGTCCTCATGGGTCTTCCTAAGTTACGACTCCCAAGCCCTGAAGACCAGAAGCAAATACCTTCTCTTCGACAAGAGCAGGGGCAGTATTGTGGAATTCTGTTCTTGTGGTGTCTGTGGTTTCTTATGTTTCTCCTCCGTACAAGCAACATACGGGAACAACCTAAAGACGGAGCAGGAACAACATCCCTGCCGGCAAAGATTCGTAAGCTCCTCCGCAGATGCACTGAGTCACTGAGCAGGGATGGCCGCCTGGTCATCCTCACGCCGGATGCCGAAGAGGAGCTGCTGGAGGTGATGGAAGAGGAGGCCCCGCCTTCTGTGTCTTTACACACAGATTTCTTTTTGTATATGGATTTCTATATGTATATGTATATGTCTATGTCTATGTCTATGTCTGTGTATGTGTATATGTATATGTATATGTATATGTATATGTATATGTATATGTATGGATTTCAAACAATAGATACATAAATCCCAGGCCTGAAAACCTAAGCCTCAATGGATCCGAGGTCTACGTCGTGGGTGGCATCGTGGATCGTTCTGCCGGGGCCCAAGCAGCTCCCAAACGGCTGCACCTTTCGATTGCTCTCTACGGCGAGGCACTGTCTGATGTTCGGGCTTCGGCCTGGGTGTTGGTGCCAAGGTGAAGAAGATGCAGAGCAGAACGCAGGCGGTCGAGCGGGGCGCAACGAAGCACCCTGCCACGAAGTGATTTAGGCTCGAGCCCGCAGCCCCTCCAGCCCCCTACGAAGCAGGAAGCCAGCGAGAGCTTTCGGCCCGGGCACCACAACCCTAAACCCTCAACCGAGGCTCCGCAAGCTTCCCCTGAAGAGCTTTGGCCCCGCTGGCTGCTGCCCGGTGCTGAACATCGACTGCGTGGCCCCTCGGATGGATGGGGTTCAAATTGAGAGGTTCGGAGAGACATGTTCATAGGGTCTCTTCGAACAGTGGTTTGTTTGGGAGTGGTTCCTGGGTCTGGAGCTTTTGCCATTTGTGGTTTTAGGGTGTTTGCATGTGCATGAGGGAAAACGGAAGGGCCTCCGAGAACCCAAAGCTCAAACTCAGCGTCCAAAGTGGTCTTCATGCTTCTGCTGTTCGGCTCCGAGCCCCCTTTGAAGCGAGGTCCGAATACTGTGTGAGTGGCTGAAGGGAGATGGCAGTTGGCAGGAGGCTTAGCATCAGCATGGGTCAGGTCATGATTTCCCCTTGCCCTTCGCGTTGTGGCGCTGTGCCTTCGTGAGGCAAGACGTGTTTGAGCTCTGTCTGTCAGGGCCTGAGATACACTCAACCAACCCTAAACCCTAAACCCTAAACCCCAAACCCTGAACCCTGAACCCTAAACCCCAAACCCCAAACCCCAAACACCAAACCCTAAACCCCGGAAGCTTCTTCTTTCCGGCTCTGCACAGCGCTCCCCGATGGCTCTGTTCCTGAGCCCCTTGGCTACCACCGCAGACCTGAGAGGCCACCTCGCCGTGTGGGCGACCGCGCCGCGCGTGGCTAAGTGGGGTTCCAGCTATGCGTGGTTTAAGGGGACATGCCCTAAGCATGAAGCCACCCTCTGGGGTTTTCGGGGAGGGTTAGTCTCCAAAGCCCTCGAAGGCAGGGGTGAGGACTTTGGGGTTTTAGGGTTCAAGGGTTCAAGCCAGGCCTCCTTTCCCGCCCGAAAATCCTATCTAAAGTTCTTGAAGAGGCAACCAAGACTACACCCCCTCCCCTCTACATGTCAGGCCTCAGCTCCGGAACCTAGTGTACGCCAAAGTTTGCTCGCCTAAACCCAGGTCTTGACCAAGCGGCAGCGCCGGACCCAGCGCGCCCTCGAGCGGGCGGAGGCCAGATGCTTTTGGATCTTCTGGGTGGTTGTTCCTTTCAGGCTTAGTTGGCTTCTGAACAGAATTCGGGGAGGATGTTAGATTTCACGGAGGCAATAACTTGTGCAGTTGGAGGCTGGTGTGGTCTCCAGATGTCTCTCATGCCGAGGACATTACCAACGCAGCCCTGCCAACACCCACGCTACCCAAAGCTCCTCAAAGCCCAGGGGGCCCATAGATTAGACATGAGTGCATACGTTTTAAGACATGCGTTACATTCCTAACTGCAGCCTCCCCCCCCATGAGCCCTTGTTATGGACTCCGTTTGTTTGTTTTTTTTGGGGGGGCCGCCTGGTGAGAGAGTGACCACCCTGCACCCGCACAAAAACAAAAGGCGCCCGCACACTCGCAGCCAAAAAGCAAACGCGCTCACGCACCCACAGACAAAAACTGACAAAAACCACGTGCCGCCCACCACCCCTCTCCCCACGTCCTCCCCCACAGGAAACCCTATAAAGAGAGAAAGGGCGAATCGCCAAAGCACATGAACTATTTCCTCGCCCTTATGTCTTTGGCCTTTTAGACAGAGGTTGTCCTATTGACACATAGAGGAATCCATAAAAACGTAGAGAAAAGAGAGTGTTATGATTTTACAAGAAATAGAATAGAATACAGGAGGAGAAACGGTTTCCGACAAGAAATTAAGGGTTTTCGGGTTAGATACATATACACACAGCCGTGGAGGTTATTCTAGGAATATATGCACGAGGCAGATGTTCCCTATGTTTCAAAAGAAAACCCGACTTCCTCACTGGAAACTTGGATTTCTTTTACATGTCCATACAGAATAATGTTTTCCTATCGACATTACAAAAACAGACAGGGCTTTCCTGCTCAAGGGCTCGCTGCAACATGCCTCCTCACCCGCAGCCAACACAAGAACAACCCCCCCCCCCCCCCCCCCCCCCCCAACCGGTAGCAAGCCCCCCCCCCCCCGCACCCGCGGCAAAGAACGCGCCCCCGCACCCGCAGCAACAAAAAAGAAGAGCGCGCCCGCAACAAAGAAGCAACCGCACAATAATACAAAGCACTCTTATCCCCCCCCTTGTTAATTCAGGGCTTTTGACCAGGCCGGGGCCCCGATGCCCGCGGCATAAGCCTCGGTTCAGCTTCAAGAAGGAGCCGGTTGCGCAGTAGCCCCTCGACCCCTCCTTGGACTCGAGGGCATAGGCCATGCAGCCAGGGCCTCAGACAACAAGCCTCTATTTGCAGTCTAGGACATTCTCCGGCCAGCGGAAGTTTGCGGCATGACGTTGTCTTGAAGGTACACAGAGCCCTTCGCAAACGCGGGGCTTCAAACGTCAGCTCGTCTCTATAATGTGATCTTGAACTTCGAATCTCGTCTTAGAGTCTAGGATGCGAAGGAGTGGGGCTGAGGTTTGTAGCTGGATTCTGGTGTAGGACTTGTAAAGTCGGACGAACATGCTCATGATGCCAGGGTGCTGCTGTGGGCGCAACAACAGCACCAAATCAAAGCTAGCCATGCTGGCATCAACGTGCAATGTCTGCAACAACATTGTTGCAATACCTGGAGCTTGAACACCTCGAAAAGCTGCCGAACAGACCTGGAGCTGTCAATCTTAGCTGAGTTTTTAGTTGCATGATCGCTTCTTGATCCTCATACCAGGAACTCTATTCCCGATGAATAGCTCTGTCGAGCTAACGCCCAATCGGCCAAGTGAGAGCCCGAGGTGCGAGTAAATCTGCGCTCCCGGTGGCGAAGGATGCCTCGAGTTCTCGGGTATTGCGTTGTTTTTGTTTGTCGTTTCGAAGGGCCAGAGGTGTTAGGAACGTGAGCAGCTTGCGGGCTTCTTCGAACCAGATGCAGGTGCCTCGCAAATGATCATGGGCGTCGGTTCTTCAGGGCCACTACGGTTAGACCTCTGAAAGGCCAACATCCCAGAATCCGTCGGACGCGAAAAGCAACAACGAATCAGTGAGGAGACCTCCGTGAGATTCCGCAGAACGAGCTGTTGGGCATGTGTTCAGGCCGGAGCGGTAGCTTCGGGTGTGCGGGGAGGGGAGGGGGGGGTTCCCCGCGGGCGTGCTGCTCGGGAATCGACATTCCCCGACGGCGCGGAAGTTTAGGCACCTCACCCTAAACTGAGCATCACTAGATAGGCAACATCATTAGAAGGGTCTCCGTGCAGCCTACAGTATGCATTTCCAGTTGCCCGATGCTGTGCCTGTGGCTGCAGGTAGTGCTTGCAGGCAGTCCCTACAGGACCGCCTCGCAAGCAACACGTGCAAGTCCAGATACCTTACCCTAAGCCTAACATCACTTAACAGGTTCTGTACCACCTGCGCAAACCTGTTGATGTCAGACATTGTCAGTCTCCCACGACCCCAAAAATCTGAAGGTTCCTGGGCCTATCGCAACCTAAACACTTGAAACCCCAAGAACCCGACTCTCCCCCCCCTCTCCCCCCCGCCCCCCTCCCAGTCCCCCTCCCTTCCCCTTGAACAGGTTTTGCACGTAGTCGGATTCAGGGACTGCTAACCGACTTGCGACCAACGAAGCCAGAGGAAGCCAAAACTAGCTTGGAGAACCTCCGTCCCCCCGCCTCGTTGTGGTCGCCATGATTGACTACAAGCACGGAAACTGGGGAATGAAAGTCCTCCTCATGTGGAGGGGGTCCGTGATCCCAAAAGCGCTTGTGTGGTCTATCCCGTGCGCAACGATTACAGTGCTCTTGCACGTCTTCTGGGTGACGGCAAAGGGCGATAGCAGTACGGAGATGGAGGGGATCAATACCATCTATTCTGGCTACACCTTCGTAATTGGCTTTCTCATTGTTTTTCGAAGCAATCAGGCGTACTCACGGTTTTGGGAGAGCGTCACTTTGTTTCACCAGATCACGGGGGAGTGGACCAGCGCTGTCAGCAACCTACTCTCCTTCTGTAGTCCCAGCGAAGAAAAGCAGCCGGAAGTGGAGGAGTTTCGACAGTACCTCATCCGCTTGCTCAGCCTTCTCCACTGCAATGCCCTGCAAACAATCTGTGACCTCGCAGACGACACCCTGGAGGTTCTTAATCTGGGTGGCATCGACGCAGAAAGCCTGCTGCACCTGCGGACGAGTCCGGATCGCTGTGAGATTGTGATGTTGTGGATTGAGCGCTTGATTGTGGAAGCAGACAGGAAGAAGACCTTGGAGGTGCCTCCCCCGATCCTCTCGCGAGCGTTCCAAGAGCTCTCCCGTGGCATGGTCAGCGTGACCAATGTGCGGAAGATCCGCAAGGCCTCTGAATCCCTCCTCCCAAAGAGCCCCCCCCTCCCCCCCCCCCAAAAAAAAAACCGAAGTTTCAAAAAGCCGCCCCTTAGCCAAAATAACCACCATTCAACCACCACAAAAGCCTCTCGAAAGGTACCGTTCCCTTTCCCGTACTCGCAGTACCTGTCGTATATGTTGATCATCCACTGGTTCCTCACGCCACTCGTGGCCAGTCAGACGGTCTTGAAGCCTTGGTGGGCCGGTATTATTGTCCCTGGGCTACCTGTTTTTTTTTTCCTATGCTGTTCTGCTGCTGTGCCTGTTTTTTTACTTTCCTGCGTTGGGGGACGAGTAGGCCTCAAGGACACGGCAAACCTTTTCAGCTCAGGCTTATGGCTTAGGGATAAACAGGGGTACGGTTGTAGGCATGCTGGGCGGTGCAGATGCGAGAAAGTTTAATCAGCTGAATCATGCGACTGATTTCAGGTTTTTGTGGTTTCTACATCGTACTGGACGCTGTTCTACATAGCGCAGGAGACGCTTGGAGATGCGTCAGAATGCTGGAGGCATGATCGTCGTCCTCTCTTTAAGCCGTTGTATAAGCCCCTAAGAGTTGCCAACAACCTCCCGAACAAAAGCCCTCAAAAAACCCAATTAGAACCACCCCCCGCCCCCCCCCCCCCCCCCCCCCCCGCCAAAAAAAAAAGAAATCCAAACAAACAAACAAAACACAACGCCCCAAGGAACCCACAGCCCACTTCAAAAAACCCGAATAACAGGCCACCTGAGGCCAAAGCCTCCAAGCGCGCCCAAGGATCGACCAGCCCTTCGGGGAGGACGCGAACGACCTGCCCGTGACCTTCTCTCTCCTTCAGACAGAGGGCTCCCTTAAGAAGGGGTATGTACATGGGTAGTTAGTTAGATGGGTATGACGATCATGATTCATAGGTCTTGATAAGTCTTTACGATGTGTTCTGGGCCGCGGCTCGGGTTGTGGTTCAGGTTTGGGAGGGCCTCTAAGCTTCTGTGGGATGAGCAGTCGGGTTCACGAAGCCCTAAGGTGAGGGATATGCAGCGCGAGTTCAATGCCAAGCTGGAGCTGCTTGGTGCACTTCAAAGTAAGTAAGAAAGCTAGTGAAGCAAGCCAGTAAGTAAGTGAGTATGTATGTAAGTGAGTGAGTGAGTAAGTAAGTAGGTAAGGTGTTCTCATTATTCGGTTTTTCGGGCCAGTTTCCCCCCAGAGTGTAAAAAACACATGTGAGAACACTGTAGGGATCCGCGCCTTGACGTGGGAGTGCCTGAATGGAGTCTTTGCAGCGCATCGGTAGCCGATGCGTCAAGCTTCTGCCGCTTCGCCTGAGGTTCTTTGTCCAGCCGCTGTCGTGGACCGTGCCTCCTTTCAGCCTGGACGTGGAAGAATCAGTTCAAGTCAAAGTCTTGAACTCGAGCTTCTCGTGCCTCAGCAGGGATCACAGTCACAGTCCCCATGATACCAAGCCTTGAAAAGCCTGGAAGGGCAGCGTCTCAAAGACTCAAAGATCCTGAAGTCCCAAACTTCCCAAACCACCCGTCTGCGCCTCGCAGGTTTCGAGGCCATGCCGACGAGGTCTCAGTCTCCAGATCTTCACGCAGAATCAGCGCTGGGCCAGACGACATCTTTACGACCATCGCCAAGGACCCGGTCCTAAGTGCGAGCTTCTTCATCCCGTCGGAGCTGCCAAAGGATGTCTCTGTCAATCATCGGCTGGAGCTTCCCGAACTGCGAGTGTTCTTGTCACAACTGCTACCGCCGGAGTTGGAGCTCAACACCAGCCTATGGAAAGAGCTGGAAAGCAAAGTCCTTGCCGGGGGGCCCGCGGAACCGGACACCGACAGGCTCGGCGACAGGGTCGCCGACAAGGTGACCGACAAGGTCGCCGACAAGGTCGCCGACCTTAGGTCGACTCGAATCTCTCCCCACGAGCTGTCACAGAGGCTGGCCAGCTACTTGAAGGCCAGGCCTCCCACACTTGACGGGGAGTTGCGGATGCTGGATCAGCTGCTGGCCGACAAGTTCCGGCTTCTGGAGAGAATATGATGCTTTTTTGGGGCACCTCCTCTCCACTGCCTACACAAAGAGCAGGTTGGCCGGTATGTGGGTCTGGGATGCAAGCTCTCGAAGGCAAATACGAAAGATGGCGACACTGGGGCAATTTTCGAATAAGAGTTGCCGCAGTTGCCACACTTCAGCAGCTAGCAGCTGCTGTAGCGGTTCGAGACTTCTTAGAGTCTTAGAGCTTCTTGAAAAACACCTCCTTTTCCCGGTAGTCCATATCCATGCGTGGGAGAGCCAATGGGCTCTGACACGCTGCGTGCTTCTACCCAGACTTGTTCGCGAGGTTCAAAAGAGGATCGAACCTCAGCGCTGAAACGGATGAAGCCGCTCAGACCCCAAAAGAACCTGTGCCCTGTAGAAGCCTGGAAGCCTACAACTTCACACGGACCTGCTCTCTAAGAGGCTTGCATTTCAGCTGATGGTTGCTCTTGTTTACAGGGTCAGTTCGAGTGTTTCTCTTCGTGTTCTGCAGATCGGCTATGGACTCCTGACCGTCCCCAACCGTGACTCAGTTCACCTTATTCTTGAGTCCAAAATGCCTTCAGCCCGTTGAACATGATGTTGGTCGACGCGCTAATCCCTAAACCCTAAACCCTAATTCTCTCCCCTATTGTGCTTGCTCTATTTATTCCCTAATCTAGGGCATCAAAGGAGGGAGATCCAAGCCGTCAACTCTCAGGCCTAAACCCTCAACCCTAAACCCTACACCCTAAACCCTACGCGAAAAAAACACTGCCAGGCAAAAGCCAAAAGCCTCTGAGCAGGGCACGTGCAGGAGCTGAGGGCGCGCCGCGAAAAAGTCACCTTAGCCGGGGGCGGGTGGGGGCAGGAGATGCGGAGATCAGGCGTAATACAGTAGAACATAGTAGAACCATCTTTACCATAAGGCGTTGCCAGTGATCTTGCCACGTCGCGGCGAAAGCACGAAACAAATAGGGCTACAAGTACCGGTTGACATGAATGCCTAGTAGATGTACCATTACAGGACCGGTGAATTCTTCTGATATGAACTGCTCCTGCCCTGACCACCGCTGCGAAACTGCAAAGGCCACTTTTTTTTTGACACCCACCAAGCTACTAGCACGCCGCGTGGCCGTTCCGCCTGTGAGACATCGCGATACCTGTGATTTCAGAGAGTCCCGGAGACCATCGCCGCGCAGATCATCACCAGATTTTCACTAGTTTTTCCCGGAGCCCCGGCCATTGATCGCCGAACGAAAATCAACAAGCTTCGGTGTGAGCATGTTGGCTAAGGTCACCCGGCGCAACGTGAACGCATGATTTTCTTCACATAACTGTCCTCCACTGCCTTGTTGACCGTGAACGACCAGAGCGCCTCAGTGGGGTGACTCGGCGGCACCCGGCCGCAGCAATCCAACTCGATGCATTGACGCATCACGAAATCCCCCGCTCTCTGGCTGCCGCGTGGGCGCCAATCTTCGACCAGTCTACGCGGCCATACTTGGATGGTTAGGGCCGGCTGTCGGTGCACTCGCTGGTTTGGCTTTTGGGTTTAGGGTTTCGGGTTGGGGGTGTGTGTAGGGTTGGGGCTCTGTCAAGGAGCTGGGGTTGGAGATTAACGGCTGCGCCGTCGAAAAAGGCTCACACTCGAGAGATTTCACAAGCAGTGTCGTGCCGCCACCAATCAACTGTTCAGTCCTTGGGGCAGAAATCTCATGTGGTGCACGAATGGGGAGAAGGGGGGGGGCACTCTGGCCCTGTCTAGCCAGTTCGCACTTCGCACCCGAGCAGGCGTGGATGCGCTGTCGGCCCGACTCCGCGCAACCCTGGAAAACGATGCTCGAGCCATTGTCGTTTCGCTGGACGGGCGTAGTGCATACGACTGCATTTCCCATGCGGCGTTTCTGCGCAAGCTGTGCGAGGTGGCGCCCGCACTCGTGCCTTTTGCGCGCGTTTTTTCCGGCCAGGCATCGGAATACCAATGGTGGGACGACGGCGGGGTGCGCCACGGCATACGGCATACGCCAGGCAGAGGGCTGCTAACAAAGCGATTGCCCCCGCCTTTTTCGCCCTCGGCCAACATGAGGCGTTGCGCCGGGCAGCCTCGCAGCTTCTCTACGTCTCGACCGCGCCTGTCACCAGATCCAGGGCGGCGCGTGCTCTGTTTGGGTCGGGCAGGAGGACGTAGAGGTCATCGAAGAAGGCCATGACTGATTCACCTTGCCGTAACTGGCATATTTGCCAACTTGGGCAAAACGCGCGTCTTCAACTACGAAGGAGGCCCGGCGCCGCCAGGCATCGCCGACTTGGGGCCCGACCAGGTTGCTTTCCTCGTCGCCTTGAGGAACTGATGTGGCAGCGGGTTCGCCTGCGCTTGAATGCCTCCAAAACACGTGTGTGGAATGCGGCTGGCGTGTGGGTCGGTGACCTTGCTGCCAGCCCGGAACAGCGCGGTCTGACTGCGACAGGTGTCCCCATCTTCTCCAGGATCTTCCTGCCATCCATGACACTCCAACCTGCTGGCTGCTTCTTTCTTGTTGCGCGGCGGCGCACTCCGGTCGATTCCACTGCAAGCCACGCGGCCTTTCGCTGCGGGCCAAGATCAGGCAGTGCTAGCGTGCCTCAACACACGTTTGTTGGGCCCAGAACGGGCTCCCACCGCTTGCCACAGCCCGTGCCCAGCCTGCCCTGCGCGATGGCGGCCTTGGCCTACGCAGTGCGGCGCGGCATGCTCCCGCCGCTTATCGGTCCTCCTGGGCCGACGCCTCTCGGGACCCACCCTTCGTGCGCGCTCGTTGACACTCTCGATGGGGGGTCGCTGGCACCCGAAGCCCTGCAGTCTGCGCTCTTAGCTCCCGCTTCCTTGTCTGCGTCCGGCTATGTGCCATCGACTTGGTCTGAGCTTTTGTCGTCCCCTCCTCCACACCCGCCCGACGTCGACCTCAACTGCTGTGCGGAATTCTGTTCCACGCGGCAAACAGAACGCTAACCTTCCACGGTGATGCTTTGTCGGCTGCAAAGTGTGGGCCAGTGCTTCGCCACCAGCACGAGTGGAGAGAGCATATTGATGCGGATGGCAAGCCGCCTCGAAATCATTCGAAAGCTGCTGTGCCAGCGTGCGCGCAACAAGCCTGCGCAGCAGGTCACCAACGACAAGGCCGCGCGTGCCACCGGCGGGTTTACGAATGGCAGCCCATCGCGAGTCCAGCAACAATGGCATCAGGCACCTGCGCGCGAGCGAGTAGGTTGGCAACTTCACAGAAGAGGCCGGAGGTATCCTCGTCGTCGAGCACAAGGCGCAGGATTTCTGCTCTGTGACCGCCCGGCCGGGGGCAGCACCGTCGGAGGTTTGTCAAGACCGCAGACCCAGCCAGCGCAACCGGCGTTTCTGCAGAACGTCGGGAGGCATGGGCCTGTATGGGTGGGCAGGGTCAGTCAGCTCCCGGAGCGTGGCGACCAGGGCCTGGCGAGCAGCCGCAAGCTCACCAACATAGGTATATCGAGTAGCATCTAGTAACTAGTAGCACGCTCGGCGCCCGGCCGACCTATTGTGCCTCTCCCCGCGTGCGAGCCCGGTGGATGGACGGCCCAGCACGATGCGGCGTTGCGCGACGAGTGTGCGCGCCAAAGTGGGCAAATGCCGGTCCGGATTTCTGGTGAAGAGACTGTGCGGGAGGCCGTGAAAGACTATGCACTTTGCACCTTCACCTCCAACGATGTTTTGTGTTGCAACCGGGTCGCGGCCAAGCGAGGTGAAGGGGGATCGATTTCGTCGCTATGCCGCACCGCGACATGCAGTGGGCGCTTCAACCGATACGGCACGACGCCGGCATTGCGGCTTGGCGACCTGGCTGGGTTTGCCTTGGGTGTGCTCGGGATGTCCAGCTGGATGACATCCATGTCCCCTCAAATGCCGGAAAGGCATGCGGAGGGTGCGGCAGCCGGCTTTGGTGGGAGTACGACCGGGCCACCAAGCGCTGGCACCTTCGCTGCTCCCACTGCTGCAACCGGCCGGCTCTGCCTGCGCTGCCACAAGCCACTGGCGTTGTCGTGCGGCCCGCCCTTGGGTGATGTGTGGGAGAGCACCAACTCGTGGTTGCATGTCCCACTTCTCCAGGCAGCTGCAGACCTCGCGGTCGCTGCGCTTGCGGAATGGCAAGCCGACCCGCGCGCTGCCGACTGGGGAGAAGCCCGGCACCTGCTCATGGTGTCCTAACCGGTGGGCCCGCATACGTTGGTAGCAGCTCTGGCACGTGCCGTTGAGGCCGCGCCAGCACACGAGCACCACCTGCCGGATCTCATCTCACGCATCCAGGACGTGGGCTTGCCCAGCAGTGCGCGTGTCCACGTCGGATGGACAGCCGGGAGCCGGATGGGTACTTGCTTGCGCCCGTGCAAGAGGCCTTGCTCGAATGCTATGGAGACATGCATTTTGCGTCGGCCCTTGACCGGCACTCCAATCGCTTTCACCCAGCAATTGCTCCTTGCCGCACTCCGTCGGTCAGGCGGAACCAGGTGCGGCCGCAGCGCCAGATGCTGACGGCGCCTGTGCAGGCAATGATGAGGCGGGGCTATCAACGAGCATCTCCGCGTCATGCTGGCTGACGAGGACTCCGTCAAGGAGCTGGTCTTGCATCTCCACGAGCGCGGGGTGTTGCGCGAGGGCATATAGCGCCGGCATAAGCGGGTCTCCCTCTTCGCCACTTTCGCACGATGGACGACATGCCCAACGCCGTCCGCGTCCTGCCAGGCATACGCGCTGGGCTCGGAGTAGAATTAGCGCGCGTAAGGGAGCAGAGGCTGGAGGGCGGGACGCTCGAAGAGGCTACGCAACATGGCCTGGCCGGCGACATGGTCGAATGCGCCGACCGCGTCTACCGACAAGATGGTGGCGCGGGGCGTGGCCTCCGTGGCGGTGCGCAGCAGGCGCGTGACAGCTTCCGGCGGACGTGCTCAGCCCGAACTCAAAAGGGCGGCAAGCGTCCTGCAGTTGTGGGGCAAACTGCTGGGGCAGGACGCGTCTAACAAGAAACCCCTTTCGCCTTCCTGGACGATATCTACATCGTCGCGAACCCGGAGCGTGTCCGCCCCTTCCATCGCTGACCTGACCCGCGACGTCTCGGAGCCCGTCTGGGTTGGTGACTGGTTTCTCCCGCCCTGCTCGGCCACGAGGCCTACATCCGCGAGCGACTCCGCCTCAAGCGCGCCGAGCATGACACGCTGCTCAGCCGTATCCCACGGCTTGACAGCTTGCAGGCAGCCTGACTGCTGCTTCATTTCTGCGCGGTGCCCGCTAGCTTCCTACTCCGGGCCCTCCCGCCCCACCTCACGGAAGGGTTCGCGCGTGACCACGATGATGCCGTTGCACGTTGCCTTGCAGAGCTCCTCCAACTCGTGCCGAGCAACTGCCTGGACACAGTCTGCGGACGGCGCGGCTTGCCTGGCGGTGTGGCGGACTCGGCCTGCGTTCTGCATGTGCAGATCGTGACGCTGCGCACTGGGCTTCCTCGTGTGATACCTTTCCCGTCATCCAGGCTCGGGCACCCGGGGCTGCTGAACGCTTGCTCAGTGCCCTCGATGGCAGAATCCCCCGGCCCTCTGCCGCCGCTAACAGCGCGCGGGAGCGCCTTTGCGACCTTGGTCGGCCGCGCCCCCAGCACGAAAGGGAGGGGATGACCCTGGCAATGCCTTGCGGGGCTGGCAGCGCGAGGGCCAGAGCATGCGATGAGCACGTCACTCTGCTCGCGCCTTCGCCGTCTCTCCCACCCACGAGGCCGTGCGTTCCGTGTCTTTCTACTCCGGCGGCTGCGCCTGGACTGCAGCTGCCTGCGCCACGTCGGGGGTCCTCGACGCGCGCGACCGCTCGAAGGAGCGGTCGCGCGCGTTTGCCGAGAGGGCGGCGCTCGCGTCGTGAGGAATGTGCGTGTTGCGGACAAGAACATTGGGGAACCCCGCCCACGGGCTGACGTCCCGAGCCTGGCCACTGCGTCGCCGCGGCAGCGAGGCGCAAGAGGCAAGGCACGTGTCCGGAACTGCAGCGGGCACGGCGCTGCCGCCTCGTCGTGATCGGGCTTGAGGTGGCGTAGAGCAGCTCCGGTTCCCCCATGGTTGGCGTGTTGCTGCGGCTGGACGGCGTCGAAGTCGAAGCAGTAGAGGTGGATGGCCACGTTGTCCTTGCTCTGCAAGCGGTGCGTGAATTGGGGCTCGAGCTCATCCACCCTTCGCCAGCACCCCCAAGCCCGCGGTCCAGCAGCCCCTCGCGTGCGCGGACCGAGGCATCCCGCTCCCGCAGCCACTGCTCCCGCAGCCACCTCTCCCGCGCCAGCCCTGTGAGTGCCAGCAACTCCCCGCACAGAACGCCGAGGCGGCGACTTCCAACCCCTCCACCCGCGCGCCCACGCCTCGAGCCCGCCCGCCGCCGGCGTCGCCCTCCGCACCGCGGGTGCCGCGGCGGGCAAAACCAGTCCCGCCTCTCCGCCCTCAGTGCGCCGGCCCCGTCCACCTCCTCCCTTTTTGCTAGGCGCCCAGGTGCAGCGGCTTCCCCGTTTGGGGCTGCCACGGCCTCTCCGTTCCAGCCTGTCGGGCAGCAACACTGTCCGTTTCCTTTTCTGACGCAGCCGCTGCCTCAGAGGCTTTTGCAGTGGTGGCGCGGCCCTTCCCACCTAGCCTGCCTAGGTCCTGACTGCCGGCGCCGCGGGCTGATGTCGAGCCGGGGCGCTCTGTCACCGCAGCAGCGCGGCGCAAGCGACACGGCACGTACCCCGAGCTCTTCCGCGCCTGGTCGTCATTGGCCTGGAAGTGGGTGGGCGCTTTGGCATTAAAGCAGCCACCTTCCTGCGCCTCCTGGCCCGCCACCGAGCCGCCACCATCCCAGCGCACCTCCGACCAGCGGCTCAGGCCGCCTGGGTTGCGCGATGGGCGGCGCTCCTGGCCGTTGCGGCCCAGCGCGCGTTCGCATCTTCCTTGCTCGAGCTGCCCTTGCGGGCGAGAGCAACGGCGATGATGCCGTGCCTGAGCTGCACGAATCTGCACGAGGTCCTGGCCGATGGCCGCTGGGATCGCCCCCCGCCCGCCAGCCGCGTGCCGCCCCGGCGGTGAGGCCCCTCCCTCCCCGCGCCCCCGCGAAGACACGCTGCGGAAAAAGGCGCGAGAAAAAAAAAAAAGGTTCTTGAGCCAAAATGGCCTCGTCCTCGCTGACTCTGCTGAGTCGCCGCCGCTCGCCTCTCGCTTGGGGTGAGCCCGGGTCGGTGGTTACAGTAGACTGGGTTCGGTAGGGCTCGGAGGTCTGCTGCGCTGGGACCGCGTTCGGATGCTTGCAACAAGGGAGCGCGGAAAAAAAAAATTATCATTGGCCATGTGCAATTTTATAGTTACTGTGAAGGTCCGAACCCCGAACCCTGAACCAACGGCCTTTTTCAGGGCCGCCAGTTTCACCACGTTGTGCACCTCCGGGTCGCCTGCTTTCTAACGGCCTTGCCTGAAAAGGCAGGTGGAGGAACGAAAGGGGAACAAGGCGATCCACTGATGCCGGGGCTATACGCGCTCGGCCAACATGCGGCCCTTCTCCACCTCCACTTTCAGTTGCGGCCAGATGAACGCCTCTATGCTTTTCTGGATGACGTCTACGTCACGTCCACGCCGGAGAGGACCCTCCCCGCCCTGCGGTCAGCGCAAGAGGCTCTGTCCCAACACGCCAACGTCCAAGTCCACCTCGGGCAAGACGCGGGCGTGGAACGCCGCTGGCGAGGAGCCTCCGGGCCTGGTCGCGGCCCTGTCCCACCGTGAGGGAGATCCACCCTGTTGGACAGGGAGTTGGGCCTTGCCGCCTCAGGAACAAGGGCTGGTGGTGCTGGGGGCTCCTATTGGAAGCCGCGAGTACGTTGCGCGCATCCTGCAGGAGAAGCGAGGACAGCAGGACCTCCTTCTCGCGCGGTTGCCGGCCGTCCAAGACCTCCAGAGCGCGTGGCTTTTGCTACTGCTCTGCGCGGCGCCCCGGTGTAACTACCTGCTGCGCACGGTGCCGCGGAGCGCAACAGCGTCGTACGCGGCGTCGCACGACGAAGCGATACTGCGTTGCCTGGCGACCTTGCTCCCCCCTGGCCATTCCTGGCCCCTCTCCCCTCCCCTGGCCCTGGCCCTGGCCCCCTAACCTCCCCGACACCCGCGCTTGGCGCCCTGGCCCCTCCCTGACCCTGGCCGCCGACCCTGGCCGCCCCCTCTGGCCGTACCGCTGGACCTCCCACCTGAGAGCGAGCGGCGAGCCCACTTGCCACTGCGCATGGGTGATCCCGAGCTGCCAGGACTTCGTGGGGAGTTCCGCATCTTCCTGCTTCGGCGGTTGCGACTGGCGTTGCCGCTCGCCCCACACCGATGCCGCTGCGGTGGAACCCTCGATGAGCTCGGGGACCACCGTTCCGCCTGCGCACAGGTTGGGGTGCTCGCGCATCGAGCTGGGCCACTGGAGCGGGCTGTTGCTCGCATCTGCCGTGAGGCCGGCGCGCGGGTGGCCACCAGCGTCGCTCTGCGGGACCTCAACCTTGATGTGCCGGCGACGGACGGCCGGAGGATCGAGGTGGTGGCCAACGGCCTGCCACAAAGGCAGGGGGCGCAGATCGCGGTTGATACTACCTTGGTCTGCCCCGTCCGACGCGACGGGCAGGCGCGACCGGGCGCGGATGTGCGGCCGGGCCTGGCTTTGGAGCAGGCGCACGTACCCTGAGCTCCAGCCGGGCGGACGGGGCCGTTGCCGCCTCGTCGTGTTCGGCCTTGAGGTCGGGGGCCGCTTCAGCGGGACGCTGGCGTTCATTCGCCGCCTCACACGGATCCGCAGCCGCACGCGGGCCTCCTGGGCTCAAATTGCCGCGGCGCGGGCACCGACACGGCGGTGGACTGCCCTTGCAGCGCTCGCAGCCATGCGGGCCCACGCGCAGTCCCTGCTGGAGCTGCCGGTCTGTCCGCGAGACGCCGGTGATGGCGCAGAGATCCCCTTGGGGGACTTGCTAGCTGAGCGGCCGTGAAGGACCGAGAACTCTCACGTGCAGGTGAAAAAAGAGGCGAGAAAAAAAACAAAAACATTTCGTTTGCAAGTGGCAAACGAAACCATCCCAAGCATCTGCAAACGATGCAGACGACACTGCAGCTGTCCGGCTCAGGTTCGTTCGGGGCGTCGCGGCAGCTATACTACGAATAGTTAGAGGTGAATTTTGTGAAGGCCATTTTCGTGATATTTTTACACAAGCTGCGTTGTGTTGTAAAAAGAAGTATCGCCGTTGTTTGAGCTGGGAGCCATGGCCTTGACAAGCGCCCGTCTCCAAAGCAGAAGGCTGCTTCCGAACCTATTGTGCCGGGACCTCAGTGCTCAAGCATCCTAATATGTCCGAGTGAAAGAAGGGCAACCGGCAAAAAACAAATGTGGTGAACGTCGAGGCAAAGCTACTTCTAGTTCAGGGTTTCCGTCCACGTTTGCGATTAATCAGAAAAAGGTCGTGAAGTAGCCAAGATCAAGAAAAGACCAATGAACGCGGCCCGCTCGGGCCGGAAGCGTGCAGAAGCTCTGTGTTGATGGTGAAAGGAGGCTCATGATGGCCCATGTTGTTGGAGCTGCCTGAGCTGCCTTGCAAGGCCGGAAGACTTTGCGAGCTGTTGGGGCATCTTCCACGACTTCACCTGTCGCTCCGACAAAGCCCGAGGGCTGCGGCTTTGGCGCATGGAATCGTTGTGTGTCTTTTGGTGCATTGTCGCATCAACCAGCCATTTGCAAAGAGACGGAGCCCCCCTAGGCTCGTAGGTGTAACCGAACCAGAAAGCTTTTGCGAGCGCGACTTCGCTCACACTTAGTGCGTTGCCAAGGGCAGTTGCGAGCTCACCTGGTCAATTCTGTGCTGGCCTAAGAGTACCGCGCAGCTGCACAGCTAGGGTCTTGGAAGTCTACGTTTTCGGTAACGATGGGCAGTTTTTCTAAGCACTGCCCTCGACCCCAGACCCAACTAAGTTCTGAGGCCGTTCCGATGGTGGCCTTTGGCTTCATGGACAATACAGTGCACATCTCAGTGGGCTCGAAAACCCCCAAGCATCACCAGACTATCACAAGCCATCCTTAGGTCATGTTGCATGCGGGCAACGCTATTGATGCGACACTCGGTGTGACATTCGGGCTCAGCACGCTGGCTGCAGCGGCGTGTGGGCAGTTTCTCGGCTTGCATTGGTGGGCTGGAGTTCTTCCTTTTGTGTGTGTGTAGCAACGTCGTGCCCCTGCGTGGTTACCTTGCGGTTTTAAGTTGTCAGCACCCTAGAGCAACTTGAGCCAAGGGTATGCTCAGACATGGCGGGCGCGACATGGCCGCAGCAAAAGGGGCACTTTTTGTTTTGTCTAAAGAGTTTCTTTTAGAGTCATGTTTGCAACTTGTGCTGTTGCCCAGTCTGGTAGCCAGAGTCTCTCCAGAGGGGAGTGGTGAACGAGCTAACGTGTGGAGCGACGAAAAACAAGGTTGCAATAAGTGATGATCTTGAGATCTCGATTTGGCCGGCTTCTACTGAACTGCCAACCCTGTCAACTTCGTAAGCGTTCCGAAGCCCAAAGCTCCCCTCAACCTGTTCTTAAAGCTCTCCCCCCAAAGCCCAAGAAGCCTTCCCCCCCCTTGTTGTTTGGGCCCCCCACTTCGCCCCAGAAAGCCTTCTAAACGCCAGCGAGGTGACCTTCGGCGGAGTCATCGAGGCTTTGGCCGCGAAGGTGGGACTCCCGGCGGCGCACTTGACCGAGGCCCCGTTTGAGGGAGGGCACTTAAAGGGGACGCTCGCTTCCTCGACGGCAGCATCAGCGAGCGTGAGTGCTTGCCGAAAAGGCTCAAACAGTTTGAAGCATGGTTATAATGGCGAAACACACACATCTCAAAGCCATCGCATCCTGCATCCCTTCTCCTTTGGCCTGCTTTTGCAAGTCGGGCTCGTGCTCAGATGTGCTCAGGAGCAGTTGAGCAGCGGAACAGTGAAGAGGGTGGCCGAGCTGCAGGAGTTGACGGGTTGAGGTTTTTATGTCTAACCTGCTTTGGGGCAGCTGGCGGGAGCTGTCACGACTCAACCGGCTCAGGGGAACAGAACAGGTTCTAGTAACTCTAGTATGTTCTAGTGACCCTGGTTCGACGGGCGTTTTCTCGGAGAGGGATCTTGAGCCCTGGGCCAGATCCGATGTTGAAGTACCAGCTAGGCCGCCGTTGTAGGGTTGCAGCAAGTTGATTTAACATCTGCAGACTGATTTGCAGCGTTTTTTTTTCAATGCAGGACGTACTGAAAACGCTACACTCTACGCCGACCTGCTCAATGCCTCACATGCTGTAATTCAGAACACAGACGTAACTTTCATAACAGCTGCAACCGTTAAAGCCGTTAAAGCCCAAATGCTTTAGTTGCTAAAGCAGCACCCCGTCGGGGCCCCGAACCCCCCTGACCCCAAACGAAGAAAGCACCATGAACACCCTACGCAAAATATTCAAACTTACGACGGCATCAACTCTATGAAACGTGCGAAGACGTGCGAAGAAAAGAGACCTCCTGAGGTTGGCTTGCTGGGAAGCCTCCTGGGCGTGCCTGGGGGCCCAGACTGTAAGAGGGACCCCTTGTGTTTGCTGTGCGATCTTGGGGCATTTTGGGGTTTAATCGGCTAGGCTTCAGATGATCCAGATGTGTCTGGCGAGTTTCACACCTAGGTGAACCTGTAACGAGGTGGTTGTAAAGAGCTTGTTGGTGACGTGTGCCAACCAAACACACACGAAGAAGGGAGCTTCCAAAAATGCAAAACTCAGACTCCGAGGTTCAGTGGTTGCTCACTGGGCCTGCTCAATCTGTTCATTATCGCACCGGGCTCGGTTTGAGCGAGGCACATGCCGTTTGTGTTTGCAGCTTCTCAGAAATTCAGAGACAGTATGTTCAAGTGGAACACCCCTAAACTGACAAAACCTACTACTATGCCTCAACTCCAAAGCCCTGTACAGGGGCATCGCTTTACCTGATCCGGCGCCTCGCCAGATGAGAAAGAGATGAGCACAAGACAGCACAACACCTCCCCTCAGCGCCCAACACCGACAAGCGAGGCCCCCCCACCCCCCCCGTGAAATATCACGTAAAGGACACGGACCGCACGCGGGAGCTGAAGCTGGCGGCTGAGAGCGAGGCCTGCGGGCCCGGGGCCCCGGCCGATGGGGTCTTTGAGGGTTTCAAGGATTGAAGGCTTACAATGTTGAGGAAGTTGAGGAGTTTGTAAAGTGTTCAGGGATGTTCAGGGTGTAGAGGGCGCCTGGGTTTTTTCGGGCTCTGGATGGATTTCCGTTGATTTCTTCTGCCAGCTTGTTTTCTTTTGTTCGGTAAGCTTGTTTAGATTCTGGGAGCTGCTGGAGTTTTTTTATCTGGCCGGCCCACAACACCAGGCTTGTAACAGGCCCCCGGGCGCTCATGGCGCGACAAGGGGTTTGTAACATTTTGTAGCAAACATCGGTTCCTGCGACAAGGCTTGCGCGACAAGGCTTGCGACAAGTGGCGCCTGCCAGAATGCCATGCGACAAAGGCTTGAAACAAAGCTGGCACCAAAGGGGTTTGTAACAAGGTGGGGGCCGACCCCCCGGGACAAGGGGGGTATTGGGCCAAGAATTTGAGAACATGGAGCTAGACTGGCACGTGCTTCGCCCTGCAGCTCAAGACCCAGCCCTGTACAAGCTTGCCAGAGTCATGAGCCCTTCCCGTCGCCACCCTCAGGTTCAGTGTCGAGATCAGCAATGCTACTGGCTTAGTTGTTGTTTTTTTTTTTTTTGTGTGTGTGTGTGTGTGTTTTTTTTTTTTTTTTTTTTTGTGTGTGTGTGTGTGTTGTTTCTGTACAGGGGCCCCTGAGTCAGCACTTGCTGGAACCCGGTCGTCCGAAAGAAGGAAACTAGGTGAACCATTAGTGTGGGAAAGCAGTAACAGAGTGAGCGTTTGTCTTCCTCTATTGTCTGAGTCTGCCCTAGCCAGGTATCCAAAGGCAACCGGACTCTAGCCATCACAAGGCCGTGCGACCTGGGTGCACTGCCATCACCGTCGAAGGCCCGCAGGATGTCAAAGGCCTGGTCATGTGAGTCACACTTTCGACCTCAGCCTCAGACCAGAGAACGTTAGACGTAGTTCGACAACCGCTGCAACTGCAAGTATGATTGATAGCCCGCAATTTGACGAAACTGTTGCAATCGAATGCTGTCAGAGAACCATCGCCCGAAGCAGCTGTGATGGAGTGAGGCGTCATCGCATCCGTGACGAATGCCATTGCGTCGGAAGGTATCATGATCAGGCGAGGTGCGGAGAACTTGGCCACAAGCAAAACCCAGACTCTTCGGAGACATTGCTGCTTAATATGCCCGATGCACCACACAAGCCTTACTCTGCCACGCCCAATTTCAGCTCCTGCCGCCCTGTGTCCAGGGACATGTCTGGGCACCGGGACTCAGAAGCCGAAGGTGTCCCGAGAGCGACTCAAGGGTTCAATGCTTGTTGGTGAGGGAGGGCTGGGGGTGTGGCAGAGGTTGTTGGGGTTTGTAAGGTGTTGAAGGGTCGTGCCCCCCATTTTCTTTTGCGATGGTGTCCATCTCAGATTCTTGACCCCAGCGTGTAGTAGGTCTATGTGGGACCTCGAGGGCAACGGGCGGAATCCCAACAGTATGTTTGTTTTTCACCTTGCCACCTCCTGATGAGGGTCTTCTTCGGCGATGTTTCTTGTTCCTTAGCGGGCAGCACCAGGGCATCGCTTGCCAGCGTCGGAGATCCGGAGGGTCTGGTAGCGTGTGGCCGTGGGTTGTTGAAGAGAGACCCAGTCCCGAGCACCAAGCCAAGACCGAAGCTTGCATTCTGGTTGGTCTTCCGAAGGGGTGAGGGCCTCCTGCTGGAGAATGTCACACATATGGCTTCACTAGTAGATGACAGATGGCACCATGGCCATGCTCGGAGGGCCTGCGTTTTCGGAGCAGTTTTTTTTTGCAGGCCACTTGACGCTGACGTTCTATGTCACCAAAGACGGAGAGGAGGCCTCGCAGGAATGATAATATGAATCATGATAGTAATCATCATCATAATCATAATAGTAACAGTAATAATAATCGTGAGAAGAACAAGCCTAAGCTCTGAAGTGCTTGAAGAACTTGCTTAGCCCCATCAGCTGCGAAGCAGGTGGACGATGATGACCTCAAAAGCCTGGGCCGTTCCATCATGGCGGCTTGCAACGATCCAAAATTTCATCAGCAGCTGAGATGCAAACCACCGTCTTTCTACCATGTTTCTAGCCCAAACCTGCCGACTGCCTTCACGACAGATGCAAGGAAGCTTGAGAAGAGGATGAATTCTGAAGTGGAGGCGTCTCTCTGCACAGAACCGCGCCTACGCGGACATTACTTCCAAGAGCAATCTTTGTCATGAAAGTGTCCACACACGCATGGCTTGGCGCAATGATTCGTCGAGGGTTCGCGTTTCGCTCCGCTGTCAGGATAGCTGTCTCGTGTGTGCTGTTGTTGGTGACGGGGCTGAGAAATGGAGTAGCGACTTTTGCTAGCTGAATCCCCTCCTGGGCTCTTCAAGCTCCCGAAAATCCCACAGGAGCTGAAGATGCAGTTAGCAAGAGCCCAAGAGGCCCTTGCATCAGCCATCAAGGAAAAGGAGACTGCAGAGAAGATTATGGAGGAGCAGTGTTGCGGGTAAGGCTTGAGAAAGCCTGCGGGGTGAGGGGTACTCTCAACTTCGATGCTTTAATTTAGCTGCAGTTGGCTGGAGTTTGGTAAACCCCTTGGCCTCTATCTTGCCGAGTCCGCCCCAAACCCCCAAATCTCCATGGCCGGCAAAGCTGAAGCGGGGAGTGGAGAATGGCTGCACTTCATATTCTTGTCTTTCTTGCAGCCCTGACAGAAATACTACCTCCGAGTCACTGGGAAGAATGGCGAGACGCCTGCATCACATGAGAGCTCCCCATCCAGTGCATGAACTGCACGATGCCTCGGGTGTTGCTCTGCGCAGCAACGTGAGCAGTTCCAATTGGCGAGGGGCTGATTGACCCTGCCAAGTTGCTCACCCTTGTTGGGCTCGCGGTCCGTATTCCACCAGCGGTAGCCCAGCATGTGTACGGAATCTCGAATCGTTTCCGTTTCACCTTGTACACTCTCCTCACTTAATCATAATGGACAAGTGGCAGCTCCTATGAGCCAAAGGCGTTCATATCAGAGAAAAACAGGCACTTCGGCTGCAAAGGCCTCCGAACATGCCTAGTGGCACGTCCAGCTGCGATGGGAGAAAGTCACAGTGACCGACTCCTGCTCGACCTGTTCAATGCTATTCCCATTTGCCACGGGACACAAAAGCAAGTGCCACAAGTGTAGCATGGTTGGCAAATCAGAATCAATACAGACACATGCACATTTTTTTTTGCATGTGTACATACGCATACATGACTATATTACATACACATCTGTGAATGTACTGATGCGTATGGAGCAGCCCAGGGTGTTCCACTGACTCCGCGACGCCGTGCAATGCAAGGGGAAGCTTTCCACCACCTTCGTGACCTCATAGACGCAGCGGAGGACAACGGGAGCCTCCAGTGGTCCTTAAATGCATCTGCAGTCTTGAATGGCTCAACTAAGAGCTTGGCTGAGTTGGGAGATGAGGCTTTGCGCCGAAGTTTGGAGGAAAGGCTGAGGCCAATGGGCCCCGGCAGCTGGGCTGAGGCATTGGCCTATGAGGCCACCCGTCAGGAGCCTCTTCAAGAGATCTTCGAGCTGCTAGGTCTCGACTCCAAGCTGCGCCATCATCGACGTCCCCTGTCAGTGCCAGAGAAGGCACAGGTGGTGCGGTCTGTTGCGGGGGAGCTGCAGAAGCAGCTGGCAGACCAGAGGCTGTTTGTCAGTGCACCTCCACGGCCCTGGTGCTCGGCTTTGCTGCGGGAGATAACCTCGGCAATCCTGGACGTTTGCTACGAGAGCTTGCGGGAACCTTCTTCCAGGGACCTTCCCGTGCCCCTGCAGACGGACGTGAAGCTTTCGGCGCTGCTCCGCAGTGGGTCGTCACGTGAGATCATTGATCGCCTCGTATGGCTGAATATGCAAGAGCCGGGTCTCGGAGACCAAATCACTTTGACGTTGCATGTCGTGCTGCCCCGCCTGAACGACATGCGCTTGCTTGTGTTCAGCCGAGTGCTCTGCAAGATTTGCAAAGGAGAGGAGACCGCAACTTCGCCGGTAGCCAAGATCGACCTGTCGTTTGAGGAGCACGCCTCCTTGGCATGCGCCGTGGTGAGGGCTGTCCTACTGAGCGACTTGACAAGTCTACCCTTCGAGTTGGAGGAGCAGATCCATGACATCAGGTTCTCGCCTTACCTGCCGGAACCTGAGCGGAATGGGCTTCTGGAGCTCCTGGCGGCCACCGCAGCGCCCCCGTCCACCAGGACATCGTCTCCGAAAGGATCACAGCCCAGGCGGGCCTTTATTCGGTCGATGCCTGTGGAAGAGCGACAGGAGTCCCCCAACCCCAACTGGCAGCTCCTCGGCTCCAGGATTGAGTTGTCCCAGCGACCTCGCGTGATGCCGTCGACCCCTTCGACTCCGTCGGCACCATCCCGGCGTCCTGCCTCGGCTTCGGCGGTGGGCCGTGGCGCGCAGCTGCGCGCGCTCCGCCGCCCAGCGGCCCGGATGCAGGAGCCAGCGCCCCAACCCAGACCGAGGCGCCCACGCATGAACGATTCCTTCGGCTTCGGCTACGACATGCCTCTGGGGCCGCCAGAAAGGCCAGAGGTCTATGAAGAGCCCATTCTGCGGAGGCCTTGGAGGCCGGCGTCCTTGCCACCCTCACCGCGGCAAGCAAATGTGCAGCGAGAGGTCAGGGACCGGCGCTGTGGGAGCCTAGGTCTGGAACAGGTTGTACGATTCATGTTTTTATGTTTTTGATGATCGAATGCAACATATCGTAGCCGTCGTAGCCGGAAGAGACGCTGCCAATTTTTAGTCAGCGGCAGGGTTCCTAGTGCAGGCACGTGCTGGAGTCAGATCCTTTCTTCTGCCGACATTGTGGGCTGAGCCGTGCGGACGTGGATTCCCCGATGTCTCAGCTCGGTGGCCCAAAGCGAGTCTCTGAGCCTGGAGGGCCAGGAGGTATGCGAGGGATGGGAGGGTTGGGCGGGATGGGTGGGATGGCTGGGATGGGCGGCATGGTCGGGATGGGGGGTGGGATGGGCGGGATGGGCGGGATGGGTGGTGGGATAGGTGGGATGGGTGGGATGGGTGGGATGGGTGGGATGGGAGGGATGGGAGGGATGGGAGGGATGGGTGGTGGGATGATGGGAGGAGGGGATAGCCCGACCCTGAAGCGAGCTGCTGCTGTTTTTCAGCGTCTGGCAGAAGCGGCCGAGCAGCAGAACTCTCCACGGCTGCGGGTGCCAAACTGGACCATCTAGTTAGAATCTTCGAGTATGGCGCAAGAGTTCAATGAGTTCAGTCTTGCAGCTGCTAGTGTATTGCCTTTGTCTCACCCATTCGTCCGGGCGCTTTCCTGCAAGAACCGCACATAAATAAGCCCAAGGACAGGATTCATTGATGCTGGTGCCACTTAGAGGAAAGCTGCCTCCGGCCCTGTATTCTTCATGTAAATGTTGTGCCGCCAATGCACCGTGGCAGCATTGCCACCGTTAGGAAAGGCGAATCCCCGCTAATGTTGGAACATTGACTGGCAAGGCCATGGACCATGCTGGAAGTTGCAGTCAAGACTCTGCGATTGTCCAACAATCTTCAACCCCACGCTGCACCGGCTCTCAGACGAGTGTGGGGACATGGTATGCGCATGGCATAGCATAGTCAGCCCTCCCGTGAGCGTCGGTTCGAAGCCGAAGCCAAACCGGCTCCTCAAACCCCCACCAAAACCAAGCAAACTCAGCCGTCAATGTAGAAATTAACTTGAGAGCCTCCCCCGACCCCGAAGGCCCAGACTGCGGAACCCCCAATCTCAGCTGGTAGTGGGGGGGGATGGAGCTGAATGGCCCGCAGCTCAAGGGCAGATGACGAGGAACCAGGAGCGCGACACGAGGCCGAAAGGACCTTGGCAGAGTGGGAGCCCTCAAAGGGGCTTAATGAGTTGGGACAGGCAAGAAAAACCCCGAAGATTTTTCCGAAGGCCTCACAAAGCCCTCACCGCTGGCAGGCACGAAGATGGGGCTCCGAACTCTTCGGAGGCCATCGGTTCGAAGCCCTTTCTGAAGAAGTCCGAAGCCCTAAGCTCCCTAAGCCTTGGGTCCACGGGATAGGAACGAGGTTGGCTCCTGTAGAGGTTTCAGCTCCGGAGCTGAGTCTGATGGTGTCGCAACAGGGCGTCTAGGAGTTGCAAGAAGAGTCCGGCTCTATGAATTGAAGCACATTTTTTCGTGAGTTGTTACGGTCTCTGCTGGCTTCCGCCTGGCGGGGCACGCGGGGGTCTCAGGGCTTGTAGGGTTCATCGGTGCCTCGGGGGACAGGTGCCTCAAGGCTGATGGGCTTCGAAGTCCAGCCTCAACCTTCAAAGCCTTGTCAAAAGAGCACTGACGCCCCGAAAAGGAGGCAGTTGCCAGCAGAACCACTGGCGGGCGTCAGACATCCAGCTCGCGAGTCGTGGCCGCTGAGCTGCCTTCAACATCAAAAGAGGCGTCCAACCAAAAGGTTGGAGTTGGAGGAAGGATTGGTGGCAGGTGATCTGAAACTTCTGTTTGATTCCTATAGGGTTTCAGGAAACTCTTGTAGATGTGCATTCCGAGCATCGTCGGAAACAGCTCATCTGCCTTGTCTGAGGCCAGCAGGACGCGATTCACAATGACCAGTCCTTAGCCAGAGAGACATGGAAGCCTTTGCTCGCTGAGGACATGCTAGGAACTGACACGGCCCGGATAGCAGTTTGTGTTTTTTGCATGACGAGATGCTGGGATGTGGTGCGGAAGGATGGGTTAACATCTAAACAGTCTAAACAGCCTTTGAAATCTTTGTCCTAGATCCCAAGGAGATCCCTACATTGTCTATGGAAAGACAGGCTTTGGTTCTCTCACACGAAGGAAGCCCGCGGGTCCCCAGAATGTCCTGAAACCAGTTTGGTTGAGGCTTGGTTGAAGCTTGGCGGTCCTACCAGTCTCCGAAGGAATTTCTTCGGGGTCGCTGAGGGTCCATCGCGGCAGCCGCAACGGACAAAAACACCGACTCCCGTGTTCTGTCCACTTCTCCATTCAGTATCGAGGGGGGGGGGGGGCGCCTTACACATTAGTGGTCCAGGTGCGGGGATTAGAAGCAGGGAAGCAAGCCGAGCCCAAAGCGAACAGAGTTGCATGGGGAGTCTAGCACCTGGCAAACCTCCCGAATTGGGACTTCCACTTTCTGCTCAAGGCCGGACAGCATGGAGATCGCCAAGATGAGGGAGGAGTACTTGCAGAACTCTCCAGTCTACCCGTGCTTTCCCAGGAGTCGGCGGCTTAGTTTCCACAGATCATTTGCAGATGCAACATGTCCGTTTAGAAGCCTCCACCTCATTGTTTTTGTTAACGATGGTGCTTAGTCCATGGCCTTGGTTGTTTTGCGCCTACTTCACGCGTTCGACTAGTAGGTTTATCAGCGCTGCCAGCGCGAGTGGTATGTAAGATACGTGAAGCTTCCCTTGACGACTCCACAAAGTGAACCACCAAGCCTCTCGAGCTGCAAGGGCTGCAGCCCTTTCGAGTGGAGCTGTACTTCCTGCTCGAGGAACCCAGCTCAAGTGCCTTGGTCTAGGGCGCAGAGAGAGTTCACTATGTCACTAGGCGCGGAGGTCCGGACAAAAAATGCCTTGCGGTCCTGGTTTCGCTGCGAGAACAAACTGACACTCCCCATTTCGGTCCCCTGGCCTGCGCCCAGGTGCTGCTGCCAAGCTCCTTTCTATTGTGATCTTTGCCCGCCTCCCGGAAAACCATGCACACCTTTGCCAAATGCCAAACTGAAAGAGCCCCAAAGCCCAGACTTAATTACGGGTACATCCGTGCGAGATGTTGCCGGAACTTGTGGGTTTCTGCGTGTTTATGGCGGGATGGCAACGAAACTTAGCAGATGCTCCGAATTTCCCTGCCAGTGGCCGAGGCATGCATCGTCCTGTCAATTGCCTTGTTCATGTTGGAGACCATGCCAGAGCTCGGAGCAGTACAAGCACTTTGCATGCAAGAAGAGGGCCGGCTCTGGGGGCAATGTTCGGGCTGTGGCTGTGACGTTCAACTCGGCCTGGGCTCATCCAAGGAAGAGTTCTGGACCCGCCCTTAGCTGTTGCTGCGGATCTGATGATGTAAGACGAGCTGAAGCCCGTACCCCCACCCACCCCACTGCACACACATGGCGTTCCCAAAGCCCTAAACAACTCCTGAGCACCGCCACAGCAACACTACACGTGACGGCCCATAGAGCATCTCCTGAGGGTGGCATCTGAATGCTTCTTCACCGTTGTTTTTCTCGTGGAGTATCTCGCCAGACTCCTCGTGCCTCGACTTTGATCTTGCTTTTGGGTCAGTGGGTCTGTGGCAAAAGGGCGTCAGCACCGGCTGTGCGAGGTGTTCGATGTCACCGGCGTCCCTATTTGGACGTTCATCAGGACCGCGCACCTTCGCGCACCTTCACACAGGCAGAATATCAGAATGCAGAGGCGTAGAGACAGAGACGGGAAAGCAACAAGTGTGCATGGCCTTTCCTCCTGTCGAAGGCATCCATGTCGCTTGATATGCGTCGCCCGACACTCCGGTTCGCCCCACTGTTCTTGAGCAGAGAGGCCAAGAAGAAGAAGAAGAAGAAGAAGAAGAAGAAGAAGAAGAAGAAGAAGAAGAAGAAGAAGAAGAAGAAGAAGAAGAAGAAGAAGAAGAAGAAGAAGAAGAAGAAGAAGAAGAAGAAGAAGAAGAAGCAGAAGAAGAATAATAAGGATAAACAGAATAGGAGAGCTGAGAACTCTTGCATGGGTGGGCTTTTTGACCAGAGCTTGAGGACGCCCATGAACATCGTGGACGTGGTGGCAGTGCTTCCTTTTTTCATGATCGCGGTCCTGCAGTCGGGTCAAGCCATAGGCTGCGGCGGCTACGGGCTGACATGTGGTGTCCCAAACGTTTCAGCACACCCAAGTCCAAACCGAAAGTTCTCTTCTTTTCAAGTTATGGCCGACCTCCCCAAGACCCGACTTTAAAAGTATCGGCGTGCTCTCCCTCAATCCGCCCTGGTGAGGTTTCATCCGCGCAGTGAGGCTTGTACGTCTTTTCCGAATTTTCAAGCTCCTTGCACGCCAGGAGGTTTCTGAGGGTCTCCAGGCTATTTCTCTTGGTTCATGATGTGCTGTGCTTTGCATGCGACACTTCAGCCAAGGCTTGGGCGTTATTCAACCGGCCTGAAAATGATGATGGTAGCTCTAGGCATCTCGGCGCGCACGCAATCCCTCAGCACCGTCAAGGCTCCCTCATCAACAGCAGCAATGCCATTCTTCGTGACCGCGTGAAGCATAAACAGGGTTGAAGGCTTGGGGTTGGAGCCTCCTTGAGGGTTGAGGGGGTCCGCCCGTAAGCGGGTGCGACGACAGTGAGGCAACAGCGGGCAAGCACTGAGCGTCTTGGTGTTTTTCCTGGGGATCGGCTGCGTGCTCTTCTCCAGCAACCTGGCCATTAATTATTGCTGGTGGTTATCCGGTTTTCTTGTTTATCAAACTCCGTTGATGGCGTGGGGTCCAGTCCCCCCGCCCGGGTCTCCTAGCCCCAGCTTCCTCCTGCGGAAAAAACCCACCCAGAAAATCCCCCTGGAGTCCCGCAGCCACAAGAATTTGGCAGAGAATGTCACAGAGAATCCCGCCGCCCAGCGAATCCCGCAGAGTGTCCCTGGAGTGCCACCATCAGAGTGCCCACTCCCGGAGAGGACTCCCTCAAGTGTCCCACTCCGAATCTCACAGATGATCCCTTCCATCTCTAATCCAGATCCCGGTAGTGCCCTTTGCTTAGTTTTGGTTACGGGTTGCTCGCAGGAGAAGACGCAATCTCTGATTCGTTTTTGCTTTTGAGCCAACGGATTGAATTCGCTCGCGACTTCCATCAGAACCATTGCGCGGTTGACCGAGTGCCCCCATTAATCTAAGTACTTGGTGCTCAGGTGTGGTGTACCATGTGGAGAAGCTCTCATGCCCAGCAGCTCTCCTGCATGTTCTGAAATCGTGAGGCAGACGGTCATTGCACTGCGGAGAAGACAAAGGAGTAGCACTTAGTCAGGCCAAGCCTTTGCTGTACCTAAGGCTCCAACGTCAGTATGCAGCATGGTCAGCCCAACACCCAAGAGCAATAGTCAATAGCCGTACAGTGGCCGCCAGTGGCCGTAGCACAGCCAAACCACGTTGCTTGTTCTTGTGGATTCGTGTGAGGACCGGGCTCGGTTCAACCAGACAGAATTAGCCACCTACCTCCAGGCAGCAGATGCTCTGGTGTTTTGCCGCGATGCCTGCTGTTGCGTGTGGAAAGTATGAAAAAAGCCTCGCAGCAAGCCGAGCAGGAGTGCCATATCACTCGCAAGTCCGATTTCGGCCTTTGCTGCAATGAGTTTGATGCCCCGGTGGATTTCCCGTCCATATTGTCGCGCGGCAGCAAGATAGGAACATGATTGCACTGGACCCTAACAAAGCCCCACGTAGCTGCCACTCCAGCTGGAGCACAGACGTCGATGAACGGCGACAGGCGCTTGAATTGTGCTGGCTTGGGGGACGTAAACCACTAAACGCATGGCAAGCGAATGTAGATCAAAGCATTTCGGTCCATGCTTCGTCTGAGGTCGACCTTCTGGTGGCTGCTTGGCAGCAGATGTCCCATGCTTTTCGAACATCAGGTTTCCGTGGCCCATGGCATGGCAGACGCCCACAGGATTGTACGCCACCATGCTGAACTGTCCTTTTTGTGGTGGGCCAATCGATCTGGGTTGGTGGCCGAGTCGGCCGAGCCGCTCCCGCAATACCCCCATAGCCGGCACTCAGCTGGAGGATCATGAGCATCAGCAGCCAAGGCCTAAACCAGGGTACGGGCAAGCTGAGCATCAGAGCATCACAAGCAGGGGTCGAGTTGCAAAGGCGCCTAACCCGAGTTGCGAGGATGGAGGTGCTCAGCGCATGCCCTGAGGCAATTAGGTTGGCGAAGAGCGAAGATCTTCTGCCTCCCGCCAGTTCGGACAGTTCTGCTAAGCTGCTCAGGTCCATCGTGACGATGACAACCGTGGGCTATGGCGACACCGTTCCGCGCACGAATGCCGGCAAGGTCGCAGGCCAGGGGCTGTGCTGAGGGCGTCCGTCTGTCTGGCTGGCTGTATGTCTGTCTGCGAGTGTGATCAGCTCCCTCTATCGCAAGTCTTGGATTTTAGGCCCCAGGCCCATGACCCTGAACCGCAACCTTTTCTCGACCGCCTGACTTTGGGATCCAGCCCCCTTCATATGGCCCACTACAGCAAATGTAAGTCTTGGCCCCTCCTCCTTTGAGAAATGGGTCATACAGCTCCGGAAGCCTTACCAAATCGTATCATAGACCAAGAGCCCTAAGAACCATCAGAAACAATCGTCCCGACGCCCGTTCGGCTGAGAGGCGCCTTTACCATGTGCTCCGGTATTCTGCTCCTGGCGCTGCCCATCGCCTTGATTGGCGCTCGATTCCAAGAGGCCTACAACATGGCCGTGTCCTCCAGGCGGAGCGGGTTTCGGGATGTTTCGGGACCGGGCATGACCGACCCCATGACAAACATCTTGAACTGTTTAGAGAATTTCTCTTACTCATAGCGCTCGGGTTGGGGGTCGCTTCGGCGGACCTGTCCAGGGGAAGCCCGGCTCTTCAGCTGCCTGGCTTGGCACTGGCTTTTCGCTTTCGCGTTTGCTCTGCTGGGCATCTGCCCAAAGCAACACTTTGGATCACTTTTTTGGGGGCATCTGTTTGGGCAACCGAGGGTTCGCAGAAAAGCGAAAGCGGCTGCCTGAGCAGAAGGGTTCTCGCTGGGTCGCTGGGCATCACAAGCAGCCTGATTGGATTTTGCGCGCCGTGCGCTGCTGTCAGGAACGTGAAGATCCCCCGACAAAGGCCATCAGTACACGCTTGCGGCTTGCCGGCACAGCAAGCCCTAAATGCAAAGGTAGAGCAGAGGCTATCTCGGACTGAGGCCTGAACATGTTATGTGCAGTGTGGTCATTGTTAGAGATTTGGGGGGGGGGGGGGGGGGGGGGGGCGGGGTGGACGGCAAGCGGATTGAAGCATGGGTTTTTTGATGAGCGGGATAACAAAGGGTGCTTGAATGGGAGTAAGCTACGACTGCCGGAAAGCTTTTACACGGAACGTTGAAGCCTTGAAGCCCGAAAAAGAACGAGGCTTAAGTCCTAATTCAGCATTCTAGCTCGCCGGACTTTTCGGTACAGTTGTGCCCGTTTGTCTCGGGACCTTGCGCTCTGGGCCCTAACGGGGCTCCCGCAGACATACGGTGTGACCAGTTACGCGCAAGGTAGCGCAGCAGTCCACCAGCACCAAGATACGGCAAATTCTACCATATCCTACGAAACAAGACGCCCCTGCGCAAGCCAGAAAGCCCGTCCCTTGAAGGGAGAGCGAGTCCAGGCGGCTCCTCCGGTTCTCGAACGCCTCCATGACGCGGCTGGCCCGCGAATTGGCGAAGGTGGATTGGGCTTAAAGGCTTAAAGTTTAGAGAAGTTCAGAGTTTGACAAGATTTGGCTGTTTAAAGTAGAAAAGCTTCAAGTTGTCAAAGTTTAGCACGATCTCCACCCCTTTCTGCTTATCCCGCGGCTTTGTCGGGCAGTGGAGACGCAAGAGTTGAGAGATGGCGGATAAGGGCTCAGGCTTCAAAATGTTTCGAAGTTCATGGGGGCTTCTGCGTCCAATTCGACTTGGCCTACAGCTGAACTTAGGGGAATGTCTTTCCAAAGTCGTAGCGATGCATTGCGTCCCCAACCAACCTGCTAACCTCCCGCCAAGTCCTAAACTGCAACCGCAGGAACTCGATGAGGCAGCCACCATGCGTGATGACATCCGCATGCAACTTGACACCGATGGCTTGATGGAGCATGAGGGACGAAATAGCTGCAGTCATGGTCAAGCGCACACTCTTTGGAGCAGGGAAGCGGTTAGCCCAAACCCACTGCGCGAACCTCTCCCGCCCTTCTATTCGCAGAAAGCAGATTCTGCCAAGGTTCGAAAAAGCCGAGAAGCAATCGCAGGCGCAGGTGCTGAGCTGTGGCATCACGGTGGTGCAACGCCTCGGCCTTGGATGTGTGTCGCTGTCGGGGTTAGGAAGCTCTGGCTGCATCTCTTTTGAGAGCTTATGTGCAAGTTGTGGTTAGCAAGAGTTGGGATTCCAAGGTTTCAAGGGGGTGTTTTGGGGGGTTTGAGACTCTGCGTCTGTTCAGCCTCAGGTCTAAAAAAGCCCCGAGCCGAAGCCCGAAGCCGAAGTCCTTGACCCGCCAGACGGTCTAGAGACACCTGGCACCCAAGTCGCAGATCCTTTCAGCCCTAATCCTAGGCCAAGTTGCATGTTTGGTGTTTGCAGTTGTGACCCCAAATCACGCCTGGCCCTCTCCCCCCCCCCCCCCCCCCCAAAAAAAAAAAAGAAGCCAAAAAACAGCAAAGAACATCACAGTGCCCGGGCGCTCCCCTCAAGAACAGCTCCGAAGCTTTCGATAACCCTTCTTGTGTCTCAGGCCTACAGCACTACTCAGATGAAGCTTTGGCAGTACGACGCGAGAAGTCAGAGAGGAATCCTTGCCAGAGCCTGAGAAAACATTGGCACCTGTTAGGACGGTCTGCAGAGGTCCTCGGGAGGAAGGGTTCTGGCCAAAAACCCAAAAATGGTGGAATGAGGAGGAGGATAGTGGACTCGAGGCCTCGGATGAACTGCCAGCAGTCCTGTGTGGGGGCATGGCGAGGCTGGCAAGTAGTGGCAAATACTAGCGCCCTGCGCGGCTTCGCGCCCCGGCATCGCGGGATTTGTGGCGTGAGGCTACTGAGGCGGTAAACGTTCAGAGCATGGAGCACCACGCCGGGCGTTGGAGTGCTGCCCACACAGTTTCCTGTACTGATGTGTTTCCTGACTCAATACTCGCAAACGTCGCATCCTTGCAGTGCGGTTTTCTTTGCCGTGGACAAATGGTGCGCCCACCGTGCAGAAGGCAATCTAGGCACCCTAAGCCAGGCTGCTAGGCAGGTGGCAACCAAACACCCACCTACAGGTCAAAGAAAAAGCCGAAATCTCAAACTCTTCGTAGTCTGTGTGCATGATCGGTTTGTGCGAGTGCCACGCTGAGGCCCGCACCCTCCCGAGGCCACCGAGCGGGGCGCCCGGTCATGTGGGGTTGCAAAGGCTTGAAAAAGGCAGAGACCGTTCTACATGGCTTGAACTGTGAAAAGGAAGCAGATGGTGAGCCTTTGTTTCCTTCTCGATGGCCCTTGCATAGACATAGACGTGGACATGCAGTGGAAGTGGTCTAGCAGCCTAGCATGGTCTAGCCGCCAATCGGGTGTTTGTGAGAGTTTTGTACCTGTTTAGCCGATCTTCCTTCTCAGAAGCCACGCCTGCTGCATTCAACCACCAACATAATCCGCTTCTATCAAACCGAGCACGCACCACATCTCACCGCCCTCATGAAACAACGCCATAGCTACGCTTCTTTAATTAAAGCACGCGCGCGGACCGACGAACATACAGAGTCAAGGAAAGTTTGTTCAGGTCCTTTCCCATCACCCCTCGTGGAGAAGATGCCAGGCTCGTTCCTGTCGGGGCCTCGGGGGCTTGAGCTGCCTGATTCCAGTCCAGAAGCATCAGGTCTTCAGGGAAGACACGTTGTATCTCGTGGTCTATCCCCTTCAATTTCCTTTGCTTGCCATTTCTTTGAACTATGTTCCTTTATTCAGTGGAGCTTAGAATGGAAAGACCGGCGCAAAACGATGTCGCATGTCTGCTCATATCCCCCCCCTGCAGATGTCACAGAGCCTGGGTGCAAAAGATTCTCAGGGGTGAGTGGGTACAAACTCGGATGCCACAAGTTTCTGGCAGGGTGCAAGCTGGATGCAAAAAGGTTCTTCGGGCTAAAGGCGACTGGATTTCGATCTTTGGCATCGGCCGCGACTGTGCGGTGCTCCTACCATCACGAATCCCTCGCTTTCTCAGGCTTCCACCGCGAACATGTTTCAGAGCAAGTCCGTGACGTTCGAGGCACCTTGCTGAAGTGAGCTGAGTGTGAGCTGGGGCAAGCCGCAGGCTTGGTGCTTCTTGCCGCATCTCGCTGCCCCTTTCATTTCGATGCATCTCTCTGTTGTGCAATCCCCGGCGACAATGCCTACAGGGCCTACACTGTCCTACCGCCCAGTCTTAATTACTGTCGCTGCTGCTGTGCCCGCGACTGGCTGCGACAATATGCTGCCGCTTGCTTGCCGCAGAAACGGCGATGACGGGTACTCGTGCCTTCTCTTTTTCGCCTTGCGGCTGTTGCTATCCACTCGTTTCCTGCCTCTCTCTGCAAGTGGCAAGGCTGATACGTTCGGATGTTGCGATTGCTCAGCCCTGTCTTGAAGGTTGTGAGGGTCATGCCTTCGTGGGTAAGAAGCTTGGCCACATGCAAATCATCCCATTTCATGCTTTGCAACAGCAACACATAGTCCCGACTTCGTACCCAGTCGGTAGACAGCAATAGTAGCAACAGAAGGCAGGGAGTGTGTCAGGTTTGCGCAGGTGAACACCGGCTAGTCGTGCGATGTTCACGGATTGGTGGACATGTTGTTGCTAAGCGAATCTCAATTACATTGAAGCTCCTTTCCGGTGACGCACGTCTAGTCATGCCGGGGGTTTGAAAAGCCAAGATCGCCATTTATCATAACTAGGGTCTACAGTAGCTTGGCCTTTTGGAACATGAAATCATCAGGTCTAGCAACGGGGAACTGCTTGAAACCGATGGGGGCTCATCGCATGAATCATATTGAACCATCATAACCGCCAGATGTCAGCCGTGGAATGCTTCTTTGAGAAACTTTGACACTAGTGCTCAAGGACCGGAGACTTAGACCCCAGAAGCCCCCTAAGCCTTGAGCCGAACAACAAGTGACTGCCCCTTGTGCTGCGAGGAGACAATGGGAGAGCGCCAGAGCAGTGGCCAACCAGGTGGCCCTTTCTGCTGGTCGCGCCTCTATAGAACTACTATGAACGCCTACGAGTTACTTTGGATTACTACGACTTACTGTGAATGTCTATGAATGATTCATAGCGCCTTGGCGTTGGGGTTGACTGTGATGTTTCGGGCCGTTCCGGTTGGAAGGACTCTCGAATCAGGGCGGTGTGGTCAGAGCCTCGAGCATTTAGTACACCTCTACTACCACTACTACCACTACCGCTACCCCTACACCTACCCCTACCCTTACCACCACGACGACGACGACGATTGCTGCTGCTGCTACTGCTACTGCTACTCGCTACTCCTACTCCTACTCCTGCTCCTACCAAGCAGATGTAAAAAAAGGTCGAGACATGTAAAAGATCAGATCGCGCCCGAGTTCAGACTGAAGAAGCCTTGCATGTAGCGGACTTGGCAGGAAGCCCGGCATGAAGTCTTCTGCATCCTGATCCGCCCCTGTGCACATGGGGCCTGTTGAGTACAACGGTGGACGTCGGGTTTCGGATTACCGGATTGCGACAGTGAAAGAGGGGTGCCAATACTTTAAGTACGTTTCTGTGGCCAGTAGTCGGTGGGCTGTGTTGCTCTCAGCTGCGCAGCCTCCAGAAGAGGGGCGATCCCGCGAATGCGGATTGCAAGGCTTGAGTGTGATCATAGCCGTGATCCCTGAGCCCCGGACCGTCAGATGCCGTTTACACGGTTAGACTCTTAGACTCGGTGGCACACACAACCGCAAGCGCAAGCAACGCCTTATCCTGCATACTCCGGTTAGTAGTAGGCAGGCGCCCGAACGATTGCAAACCCGCTGAGTGGATCCGGTTACCTGGCAGCTAAGAGAGCTGACAGCCGACCTCCATCTCAGTCCGCAAACGTGGAGAAAGAATCAGAATTGCATCGTTGTCACTACGTCATGATTGCTTCGGTGAACTAACTCATCATAGTTGGCACGGTTTTTGCTTTTCTCGGCGGCGCGGTCTCGCATTCTCAGGTTGAAGAGCCGATCGTAGGAACGCAGGGTTCAGGCTTCTTTTGGGAGGCGAAGAAGTTTTCGAAGTGTTCGCAACTTCAGGATGAGCCTTCGATACTGATTCTTCAGAGCACAAGCCGCAAGCCTCGGCCGGACTCATGCTTTGATATGGCTGGCGCTGGCCAGGAGCGGGAGGTGTCCGACGAGGATTGGGAGGAGGATGACTACTTTGACGATGGGGCAATGGATATCATGGATGAGGAGCTGGAGGAACTGCAGGAAATGGAGCAGATCGAGGAGCTGGAGGCGAAGCAGGTTGCCTGGCGTCAGCAGGTGGCGATGGCCATGGAGAGCGGTGACCCCGTCAACGGCCTCCCGCAGGGCCTCCGCATGCGCGTCGGTGAGCAGGAGACGCGAGATGAGGAGGCTGTATCACCCTCGGCCACGAAGCTGGCGCCGCAGCCGGTGGCAGCCACACGATGGGAGTTCTGGCTTCTTGCCTTGGTCTGTTTGGTGAGCTTTTGCACAACCCTCCACTTCACCTGGAACCATCTTCTTGCCGGCCCCACGCGCGAGGTGGGCACCGGCACGGGTGGTCCCAGTGGCCCACCCTGTAGGCAGTGCAAGGCGGAGTGGTGGCAGGACTTCTGGCAATGGCGACTTCAGGAACTCGAAGGTCAGGGTCGCTCAGAGCCACCTCGGGGTATGCAGTGGGAATGGGGGGACTCCGCGAACAACACCGACTGGTATCAGTCCAGCGCGGAGTTTGTGGACGAGCTGGTGCGGCCCTTTGCCGACCCGGGCTTGGGCCCTGTGCTGCACCTGGGCTGTGGAGATGCACCTGTCCCCGAGCTGCTGCTGCGAGCCGGCTTTCCGAATTCCATGCACATCGACATCGCCCCCCAGGTCATCGAGGTCATGAGACGCCGGTATCCTGTCAAAGAGTTTCCAGGCAAGGCGCCTACACGAAGGATCAATATGGGTCCTCTCCAAAGTCAGCCGATGCAAGCTACGTGTTTATCGTGCTTGGACATGGCGAACTTGTCTGCATGCGTTGGTCGTGACCCCCTGCGAACCGAAGCCTTGCAAACCGTGGAGGTGCCCCAAAAACTCGGGAACAGTTGGCCTCTACCCTGCTAGGCCTGGGCTTTTCGACCCGCGACTTCCTGAAAAGCGGGCCTCCGGCCGATGCGAGAGGCTTGACGCATTCATGTTGCATGTTTTGTTCGTGGCTTTTGAAGAGAGAGAGAGAGAGAGAGAGAGAGAGAGAGAGGTAGCCATTTTGGCTCAAGTCGGGGTAGAGAAGAAACCCGCCCTCTCTCTTCTGGATTGAGCCAGTGTGCAGCCTCCAGTGTTCAAGCAGCGTAAACCCGGGGGAGGACGGCATAATGCTTTTGGGCTGTTGGGGTGACCTCTAGGTGGGGGGCTATTGCCAGATCGGGGCCTTGCTTATCCAGCGTAACCCGAGATAACACCCCGTCCAAGCCGGGGCTGCCAACAGAGGGGAGCTCAATTTTGGGGGTTTGTCTCATGTTTCGGGGGTCGAGTTCTGGAACCAGTAAGGGGTGAGACTTACCGAGTGCTCAGGCTTGCAGTGGGCATGTTGTAAGTTGCACTGTACCCGTTAGACTGCTAAAGCTGCAGCCTGGCCATGGCCGCCTTTAAGACAGGTGTTCGGGCAGCAACGGGGAGGGCACGTTCTTGGCGGGGTGTCGTGTACGGGCGCGCCCTAAAGTCCCAGCCCACCAGAACTCCCGCTAACGCGGGAGTGAAGGGGTTGGGGGGGCGGGGTTTGCGTAGCCGGCCCACTCCCGGGAACAAGGATGCCATCAGGCTCCGGTAGAAGACAGCTCAATTAGGGGTGGGCCCCTGAGTCAGGGCAGAGACCAGGGGGGTGCATGCTACCAACAAACCAACCCGAGGTGTGCCACCTGCGTGCAACAGATACGCGGGGGCCGTTAATTCAAGCACGCTTTTGCCTGCCACAGAATTTTTTCATCAGACAGATTGGGACATTCACTCAGAAGGCTTACACCAGCGAGGAACTCATTGGGGAGGCTGGCCCTCCGCAACCAGACGCCTAAGCAAACCGAAGAGACCAGTTTTCGCCAGCTGAGCCAATGAGGGTGACACAAAAAAAAACCATGGAGGGGGAGGTGACGCCAGAGGAGGAAGCAACGGGGCCGACACAGCCGCAGAAGCAATGCCACCAGAGGGGCCGACGGGAGAACGAGCCCGGGGCTACACCGACATCGAGATGAACTGAGGGAGAGTGACGCATCAGAGCCTGAATCTGATGACGATGGGGGCCCTCACCGATTAGTGGCTTTAAACTATGGTTTCCCAAGTCGGGGGCCCCAGAAGTAGAAGAGGTTGGGGGCTGTGTAGGGGTCGCATGAGTTTGGGTAAAGTGGGGCCTGGCAGCTAGTTTCACGACAACATGGCCCAGAAACGTAGGGGCACGGATGTCACCACGCAACCCCGAAGTTGATGGCCTAGATGTAGGGTTCATGTTGTGGGGGTGTAGGTACTTGGAGTCCTAAGTGGGGGCCTGAGGTGAACGGGAGCGTGAGCGCGGTCAGAGTAGCAGTACAGAGCTCCCAGTGGTGTCGTGAACCGAGGGGTGTCGGGGGCGGGGAGGTTGGCTTTTCGGAAGGTTGAGGCGGTTTGTGGGGGCTTGGGGAGTTCAGGGAAGAGGGGCTGTGGGATTTGCGGGGGCTGGCCCGGTTAGGACACTAAGGACACTAAGGACACCCACTGAGGTGCTATTGGGGGCGCCGCGCGGCTGCCAACAGGGCAGTCAGGGACATCTTAAAAGTCTCACGTGACGCGGGAGCGGGGCGCGCCTTGGCGAAGGGTCCGTCCCTATGCCCCTAAGCAAAGCAAAGCAAAGCAAAGCAAAGAGAGAGAGAGAGAGAGAGAGAGAGAGAGAGAGAGAGAGAGAGAGAGAGAGAGAGAGAGAGAGAGAGAGAGAGAGAGAGAGAGAGAGAGAGAGAAAGAGAGAGAGAACTAATTGGCCCTAACAACTATGTGTGTTAGAGGGATGATGAAACCCGATGCTGGTCAGCCGTATCAGGCGTCAGGTGTCACCGACGGGACCGTGGGGGCCGCCCCTGGGCTAATGAGCCCGGGGAACCACACAGCACAGAAGGGCCCAACTGCAGGAGTCCGTCGTTACAATTTCACCCAGACCTGACTCACCTCCGGGCGCGCCTGGTGCGCGGGGGTCTCCCCCAAGCCCTGCAGAAGAAGAAGAAGAGAGAGAGAGAGAGAGAGAGAGAGAGAGAGAGAGAGAGGGGGGGGAGAATCAAGTTTTGTGTGCAAGTTCGGGGCGTTGGGGTGCGCATGTCGGGTGACCAGGGTCAGGGCCCCAAGATTCCAAAATCTCTAGAGGATTCTGACTCTGGCAGACCAAGGATACTGTGCTGTTCTGGACAAGGCGCCCATGGGACCAAATCAAAGGTGGTGAAGTGCACGCAAAAGCCCGCAGGTACTTCTATCTGCGAGTTTGGACAGAATACCACACATGCAGGGGACATGCAGCCCTGATTCGCACAGGCCTTCTTCAGGTGCGACGCTAGCATTCTTACAAGGGTTGGGGCTGAAAGCTGCAATCTTCCAGGGGCTTGGGCTTTCCAGCTTTCTGCCGCACCTTCTGGTGACCCGCCTGAAGTTTTGACTTGGACCCTGCGAATGAGAGGCCGGTATCTGGGATTGGCTGCAAGAGGAGGCCCCGCAGATGCTGCCACACCTGCTCCGCCTGGTTCGGAAAGCGCTGGTGCCACCTCCAGACGACGCTTGAAAAATCGTGATCCGTCTTGAAACCTGAATCCTGAAGCAGAGACCTGACCCCAAGAAGCCCTAAAGCGCCAAAAGGAAAGCGTCTACATCATCGCCACAAAGCAGACGCCTTCGGAGCTGGCGGATACGCTGGCAAGTGTGCACAGCAGCGCGGCTCTCGACTTCCATGTGCCCGGGCTCAGCTTTCATCATTGGGTTCTATTGTTTATTTCTTTGTTCGCACCTTGGGCAAATGCAGGTGCCCTGTTTGTAGCTTCCTACAGAGTCTTGCTTTATCTCACGCTGGTAGAAATACACATCGGGCAGCTCCCGCAGAGGGGATTCGCGCTTTGGGGACTTGCTCCCGACATGTTCTCAGGATTGGTCCTAAAAGGGCCGAAGGTATCAGCATACACCAGGCGTTGTGAGAGTCACATGTAGTGCCCACATCGGAGCTATGAATGGCATGTCGCTTGGTGTTCAAGGTCGAAGCCACGAGAAGGCTTGGAAACAGTGGCGTGGCTTGGGGATACGTGCTGACCGTTCTCTGATTAATACCAGACGATCAACATCGCAGCTCAAGGTTCGGATGGCTAGCGGCTAGCCAACTCGCTGCAAAATTGGCGAGCAAAGTCTGTGCTAGCAAGCTTGTCCGTCTGCATCCACCGTCCTAGCGACGAGACCTGAACACAGAGTTAGCAGCAGAAGCAATCAAAGGGCCCTTCCAGATTGCATCATATGCTGCCACATTGGAACATCGTAGCGTCGCTGTTATCGTGTGGTCGCGGTCGTGGGTGGGTGGTTTGATGGCCGTCACCATGGTATGAGTGCCCATGATTCTGTACAGCTTCCAGCTGCCCCTGAATGGACGATTGAAGCCGCATGTTCTTCTGGCAAACCGCTCCAAAGGTTGTCGTCATGGCCGGGAGAGTTCGAGTGCACTAGTTCAGGGCCAGTGTGTCCCCTCAGTCCTAAACCTGTGACGCGCTTTGGCTCCTGAGCTCCCGGGAAGGGAGGGGGAGGGAGTAGCTTGAATTTTGCTTCGAGCCGGGCTCCTTTGACCCAAGCATGTCGAGTGTGAGTGGGGGCCTCGATTCAGGGTTTGACTGTGCAGGGCTCAACCAGGGAAAGCTACCTGTCTTTTCACCCCCCCTCGTCTCTCGAGGTTGGTGTGCCGGCGGGGACACAGATGAAGAGAATGCTCCTCGGCATGAATCGTTAGCGGAATCAACGGAGACAAGCCACCTAGCCCTGAGCTCAAGGCTGATTCCCTCACCCCTTTCACCCCTTCCCGTCTCCAAAGACAAAACGCGCAACCGTTGGGTTCTGACCACCGAAGGCTGGAAGTGACAGGACGATTCAAATCGAAGACTTGCCGGATATGTGGGGGAACTCAGCCGTCTTCGTTGCGCACGGCTGGAGAGCTGGAGGTTGATGCAAGTCTGCAACCCAAGAACCGCAAGAACCGCAAGATCGTGTCAGCTGAGTTGGGGGTGCAAGGATTTCGGGGTTGGCCTGAGCCTTGACGTGGAGGAGACAGGGTAGCAGAGAATGCAGATCCAATCTCAGGCCCAAGCGTGGGCCGGCCTACTGGCCGATGCCTCGGGATGCTAAGTTCTGGGCTTCCATGCTCACCTGAATCCTCTTACAAGATGTTCAAACTGATGCCTTCCAAGGACTGAACCCTTTATGGGCGTGTGCGTGGTGGGGGTCTCCTTCTCAGAAGTCACAAGCAAGCATCACCCAAGCCACTTCAAGCCCCTCTGGCCCACTACAGGGCAAAGAGAACGGAAGCCACTGCTCCCAGGTGTTAAGCACCATTCTCGTTGCCCTGACCTATGGGGTGGTGGGCTGAGCAGAGCACAGGTGCTGCACCACTTCAGTGCGCTGCCACGTGAAGTGTGCTCTGAGTGACTTCGACTGCTCCCCCTCTGCTGAGGCAGCATCGGGCGATGAGGACCAGTCCTTAGGACGACTCGGTTTGGTACAGTTCGCCTTGCAGGAGGGTTCCCTTGAAAGAGAGGCTAGTTCCAGAAAGGAGTTGAAGAAGGTCTTTGGCGAATGCTCTCAATGCTCTCAATCCTCTCATGCTGAATGCGTGCACGATACGGGGGTCATGCGGGGGGCCATGCCCAATCCGCAGGGCGAGCCCGGAATAGTGTTTGTTTTCGCTATCCAGGCCTTTCAAACTTTGCTTTCGGAGCCTCAACAGCCCTCAAAAGCAGCCCAAGCACCTCACTGCGCCCTAAACCTTTGAAACTTCCTTGCAGGGCCCCTAAGAGGGCCCACTTGGGGCCGATTCAGAGGCAACACTCCCCGCTGTCAAAGGTCTCCAGCCTCGGACAGGTGGCCCTCGGCCTCATCTGGGCCGAGGCTAGAAACCCTCCAGAGGGCTTGAGGATGCTTGAAGGGTCTTTGGATGGGAGGCTCGGGTTGAGTTTGAAGCCCCAAGCAAGGCGTTTTCTAACCCTTCAGCATGAGCTTCTTGAAGGGTTTCGCAGTAAGCTAGTCAGACTCAGGGTGAAGCTTCTCCCGGCCCTTGTCCTGGCCAAAACCACAGCTTGAAGCTGCAACGGTGAAACGGACTATCATCGAAAGGACCGAATCTGAAAGCATGCTTTTTTGGGGAGCAGCTGCAGAGCCCGAGACGAAATTGGCCTGGCGCTATCCGCAAGTCAGGCGGGCGTCGCAGTCGTTAGTACCTTGTTCCTGCTCTTCGGAAATGCGGGCGAGCTGAGCCGGTCTCCTGAAACGTGGCAGCCCAAGCGCTTTGGGCTGAAGGCATCGGTTGCTAGGGCTAGCGCGGAGAATTGCCAGTCCAGGAAAGCATGTTTGCAACGCCGTAGTATGCCGTAGAACCTTCTCCCTGACACCTTCTCCCTGACTCTGCGCAGCAGTTCAAGGTGCTATCCGATCCCGGCGGAGGTTGAGCAGCTACTGAAGCAGCGTCTTGCTGAGTTGGCTGAGTAGTACGGACCGTATGGAGGGTTCATCTCTCGGTGCTGACCGGGTTCCAGTGGCTCAGGATTTTGGGAGATGTCTGCTAGGTTTGGGTGGCCCTTGCTTATTCTCCAATGTCTTGCAACACCGGGGGGGGATGTGCCGGCCTAGCGTAGTGCAAGACCGTGTGCATCGGAACTGCCACCACTCACAAACGTGCTCCTTCAGCCTTCAAGCACTCGTACTCTTCTCCTTCAGCTACGGTCACCACACCTTGTATTGCGCGGCTACTTGCTGCTCTGGATGATGGCCTGATGGCTGAACACACACGTCCAGTGCAGAGGTCTTTGCCGCTCGATGGCCTGAAGAACATCCCTGCCCGACAGGACTGGAAACCTCGAGTCTAGGACATTCTTTTTGTGGTCTCAACAAGCTTGAGCGCGCTCGAAAGACACTAGTTGCACGCCTCTTGATGACCTTGCATCAGATGTGGTGGCTGCGCAGTGATGCGTCTCTGCAGGACAGCTCCTCCCAAGAATCGTACTGCGTGGAGGGCTCAGTGCGGAAGTATGCTGCGGCAAAGAGATTGACACAAGGATGTTGCGTATTCATTCATTGTGTACTTGTGCCCTTGGAAAGGTTAGATGTTGCCTTTGGCGTCCCAGAAACGCAAAGGCCTCAGAATGAAGTAGGAGGAGGATTTGCTTTTGACAAAAGCCATGACAGCACAAGTGCTAACTTCCGAACAGGGCCGATACGCT